GACCCTCGTTTTCCAGGTATTCCCTATGGTTTGGATTGCTGTCTTCCCCTGGTTGACGCTTTTCTGGAGCTCGTCCCAACCTCCAAACCGGGCTCCAGCCAGCCCACCAAGGGGAATGTGATTTGTTCGGATTGGTTTAAAAGAGGCAGGGCCCGAATGCCTGGGAAAGAAACCTTTGGCACATATGGGCATAGGTCAAAAATAAACCACCAGGAATTGGACCGCAGGTTTCAGTCCTTGCTTCCATGTACCAGTGTTCCATGTTGGGGTTACCCTATTTTTGACCCACACCCACATTGCTTGTGGAATATTGTTTAGGAGACACCCACGGGCAAGCGACACCCACGGGCAGCATGATGGGCAAGCAAACGGAGCCTAGCTTTAGGGTCGCAAGTAAACGTCTTCATTGGGCGAACGTCATCACCAATGTTGCTTGAGTCGTGTTCCAGACCCTAGCAGAATATGATTTCCATATTGATCTATATTGGAAAGCGAGGACCCCGAAGAGCTTGACGTTGGAGGTTTTTCAGTTGAATCGCAGGGTGCGTGGATGGCCAAGAGGCAGACCCCAAAAACGGTCTTTTGCATTGGACAGCCCGCCTTCGTTGTTCTCGGTAGATCAGGGAACCTCACGATAGAAAACCGGTTTGCCCTGAACCCCGAAAGTAGGCGCATCACACATCACACAACCTTGACCGCACAATGAGCATCACACAGCTTTGAGCAAGCTATTTGTGCATTCCCCACCGCAGGAAACAAATGAGCTGGATAGAGTGAGGGCCAGTTTTGAGCCCTGAGGCTAGCTCCGTCAACGCAGCAGGCGAGTGGTTCGGGTTCAGTTTTCAGGGGACCCGTTGAACAGGTGCTAAGAAACGGGTTCCGATCGCCTGCGCCAAAGGAACATCATGTGAGTAGCATGTCCGATAGACTTCCCAATTTCGACCAGAATTCGGTTCCGATTATGGGGATGATTGAGCAGTCTGGTATCTCGCGAAACTCATGCTTTTGCTTGTTCGCTCTTGTTTCTTGAACATTTGGCCGCCGCAAACAAACCGCTTGGAAGAAACCATCGAATCACTGGTGTTCTTCTTAGGTTAGTTTGGTTAGACATAGAAAGCATGGGTTAAGTTGTTTTTTTCATGGACCAGGGACATTATGTGTCCAACAAGTCATACAATTGTACTGCATCCGCCAAGCGGCTGAAATGACGCAGGTCGCATCCTGGGACAGTCAAAAATGCATCCCCGTTTTCCGTGACTCTTGGGGGCCCTCATCATGGCTTCCGTGGTCAAGGGACCCGCTAGCGGGTTCTAATACACCCATTCCGATCGCTTGCGCAAGACAATAAACTTGTTTGTTGGCACCCGACAGGCACCCATTTGAGCCCATTGAACGGGTCACCCTTGGTCCGAAGCGAGTTTCCTGAATCTGATACAGTAGCTGGACAACAAGTTCTTGGTAAATGAGAGCTAAGAAAGACAACATGATGGTGGTGGAGCCACTTACGTCACAACCAGACTTAACGCAACTTGCGGCAGTCCTTTATTGAGATTGACCCGCAGGTTCCTGAAATGAAAGAGTGCAATCAACAGCAAAGGGGCGCGTCCTGAAAACTAGCATTCTTGCCCCTACACACGATTTGTTTTTTGCTCTGGCGTTTTTTCAACCGTCCAACAAGGGTTTGAACAACACCCAAGTACAACGCAGATGGCAACAAAACACAAATCACAACTCGCACACACACACACACACACATCTTGCCGATGTTCAGCGTCCACGGTGCAGAGTACATCTTGAAACAGGCTGTTTATCCATACTGTTGCGATGAAAAAGCTTGGGCGGTGCCAGTGCTGCTGATTCCTGGCTGTTAAGTCTCTTTTTGTTGGATCCCGCTTGTTGGTTTGTTTTAAGAGTAAACCGAAGGGAACACTGGGGGGGGGGGGGGCTCAAAAAGGGTTTTACACTGTCCCTGTGGCTAGGTACAGGTGTTTCATTTGTGATTGAAGCCTATGCCCATCTACGGGCCTATGGATCTTTCTCCCGAACCGGGGTCCGTGGGTCTCGGGAAATCGGTGTAAAGGCCCGCTGGCGGCCGCAGCAGTTGGATTCAGAGGTGCGAGAGACACGAGACGCATGCCTTTTCAGGGATCGCATTTGATGGGTTCTAGGCAGGCTTTGGGGGGGTGGGGTGGGCGTGGGGTGGGATCGGGTGGTGGGGTGGGGTGTGGTGCGCTGCGGGGTGGTGTGGTGTGGTGTGGGGTGGGGTGGTGTGGTGTGGTGTGGTGCGGTGCGGTGTGGGGTGGTGTGTTGTGGTGTGGGGTGGGGTGGGGTGGGGGGGGTGGTGTGGTGTGGTGCGGTGTGGTGTGGTGTGGTGTGGTGTGGTGTGGTGTGGTGTGGTGTGGTGTGGGGTGGGGTGGGGTGGCGTGGGGTGGGGTGGGGTGGCGTGGGGTGGGGTGGGGTGGGGTGGGGTGGGGTGGGGTGGGGTGGGGTGGGGTGGGGTGGGGTGGGGTGGGGGGTGGTGGTGGGTGGGGTGGGGTGGGTGGGTCGGGTGGGTGGGTCAAAATTACTTTTCATGTGTGCTGTCAGCGTCATGATTATTCATTGCCAGCCTAATCGCTGAAAGCATTGGGCCTCGTGCGCACTTGGCGAGGCTCTGAGCTGCCCATGCCAGAGAGGCTGTCTCTGATCAAGCTCCTCGTTGAGTCAGTCAGCCGTGTTATGCCGGTTTTCAAGGCTTAGTTCCAGTGTCAACGGGCGTCAACGGTTTTTTTTAGGAGCTTTAACTGGATACTTTTGCCCAGCCCAGGACTGTCAGCTCGGCCAGACACAGGCGGTGGGGCCGATCACCGAGGAGGCCATCCACAGTCAGGCGGAGATCATCGCAGACTGCGTGCGTGAGGGAAGCGGAAGCTCGGCCTTACAAAACTGGAGTGGTCTATGGTTAATCGATGCTAATTGCAAAGATGTTGCCTTTCGCATTGCATGGGACATCATTGGGCCATTGTGACATATTGCATGTGACTGATCACACATTTGATGACCCAAATGTTTGGCACACGGCCCTTGTTTTGACAGAGGAATCGCCAATTCCTGCCAGCTCGAAGGTGGCAGCTGCAGGCCTGGTGGTTACCGAGCAAGATCTGCCGCGCTTCTTCTACGTGTGTCACAACGTGACCCTGCGCTATGTTTCTTCTGAAGGGTGAGCTGGGCCGCGGGGGCTGCCTGCTTTGACTGTACGATTGCGACCTAGCCACATCCCGCCGCCCACAAGTCAGCGGACCATAGCGGCCCACTGTCAGCCAAGCCAGGCAGCAGATCAAGGCTGTTGTGTTTGCTCCTTGATATGCCTCGATTCTGATAATGCTTGGGAAGCAAAGGAATCTCAAAAGACACAATGTGTGTGTGTGTGTCTGACTTTGCCTGGTGGCTGACTCGTGAATGCAGCGATGTTTGGACCACTGCATTTGGTTTGGATATGTTTTGATAGTCATGAAACAGTTCCCCTGAGGGAACATGCTGGAACATGCGGGAACATGCGGGAACATTGATGGCAAATCACATCAAGGCACTATGGCGCTGAAATGCGCTGAAGAATGGAGGGAGCGTGTTGCAGCAAGGGCCCAGTGTCAAGGTCAAAGTCAGGGTCTTAGGCGCGTCAGCCATCGGCAGGCATGTCAGTTGAAATTTGATCCTTCAATGAATGTGTTGCTTTGCATGCCTTCCACGCAGACTTTGAGATCAGCAGAGCAGAGATGGGCAGAGCAAGGCAAGCAAGCAGGCGGGAGTCAGAGTTAAAAGATGTTAACAGGGCAGCAAGCAGATCCAACCAGACAGCAGCTGTGTCTCAGCATGTCAGACAGACAGACAACTGCAAGCATTCAAGACCATTCACCCATACTTATGCAGCAGCCAACGTAGTGCAGTTTGAGTGAGCGCGCAGCTGGGGGTGACACCAAAGGGTCTTTAATGCTGCAACAGTGCCCAAACGATTTCAAGTGTGTTCAACATGTTTGCACGACAGGATGCGGGTGAAGTCAAGTGACTCTGACAGCATGAAAACGCCTCGCTATGCGTCGTTCCCGTCGCGATGCACGCCGTCGTGACACTGACAAAGATGATGACACCCCTGTCAGACCTCACATGCGCAAACCAACAGCAATCATGCTGCACTATGTTACAATCGCGCCCTTCACTTTTCAACACGACATGATGGTTTTATATGCATGTGCCCCGTCAACCATGTTGCAATTGCGCCCTTCGCTTTTCAACACGACATGATGGTTTTGTATGCATGTGCCCCGTCAACCATGTTGCAATCGCGCCCTTCGCTTTTCAACACGACATGATGGTTTTTTATGCATGTGCCCCGTCAACCATGTTGCAATCGCGCCCTTCACTTTTCAACACGGCATGATGGTTTTATATGCATGTGCCCCGTCAACCATGTTGCAATAGCGCCCTTCCACTTTTTCAACTCAGACATGTATGGTTTGTTACTGCCATTGTGCCCGGCAACCATGTTTGCAATCGCGCACCTCGGCTTTTCAACCACGGACATGATGGTTTTTTTGGCATGTGCCCCGTTTCAACCATGTTGCTAAATTCGCGCCCTTTCGCTTCTTCAACAAGACATGATGGGGTTTCTTCTGGTTGCGCATGTGCCCCGTCAACCTTGTTGCAATCGCGCCCTTCGCTTTTCAACACGACATGATGGTTTTGTATGCATGTGCCCCGTCAACCATGTTGCAATCGCGCCCTTCGCTTTTCAACACGACATGATGGTTTTATATGCATGTGCCCCGTCAACCATGTTGCAATCGCGCCCATCGCTTTTCAACACGACATGATGGTTTTATATGCATGTGCCCCGTCAACCATGTTGCAATCGCGCCCTTCGCTTTTCAACACGACATGATGGTTTTATATGCATGTGCCCCGTCAACCATGTTGCAATCGCGCCCTTCACTTTTCAACACGACATGATGGTTTTATATGCATGTGCCCCGTCAACCATGTTGCAATCGCGCCCTTCACTTTTCAACACGGCATGATGGTTTTATACGCATGTGCCCCGTCAACCATGTTGCAATCGCGCCCTTCGCTTTTCAACACGACATGATGGTTTTGTATGCATGTGCCCCGTCAACCATGTTGCAATCGCGCCCTTCGCTTTTCAACACGACATGATGGTTTTGTATGCATGTGCCCCGTCAACCATGTTGCAATCGCGCCCTTCGCTTTTCAACACGACATGATGGTTTTGTATGCATGTGACATCGCGCCCTTCGCTTTTCAACACGACATGATGTTTTTTATGCATGTGCCCCGTCAACCATGTTGCAATCGCGCCCTTCACTTTTCAACACGGCATGATGGTTTTATATGCATGTGCCCCGTCAACCATGTTGCAATCGCGCCCTTCGCTTTTCAACACGACATGATGGTTTTATATGCATGTGCCCCGTCAACCATGTTGCAATCGCGCCCTTCACTTTTCAACACGACATGATGGTTTTATATGCATGTGCCCCGTCAACCATGTTGCAATCGCGCCCTTCGCTTCTCAACACGACATGATGGTTTTATATGCATGTGCCCCGTCAACCATGTTGCAATCGCGCCCTTCGCTTTTCAACACGACATGATGGTTTTATACGCATGTGCCCCGTCAACCATGTTGCAATCGCGCCCTTCGCTTTTCAACACGACATGATGGTTTTGTATGCATGTCTGATCTCAAAGTCAGGGTAGTGCTGACATTGAGACTGACAAAGTGACGCAACGATTCCTCCAGTACCTGGCCCTCGCGTGAATCCATCGATGCGCTTAAAGATGACAAAGACAACAGACGAATCCCAAGAGCAGGGCCAGCGGCAACATAGGGTGGCAAGCCTGCCACTGTCTGCCACTCCAAAAACAATGCCCTTGCGTGAACTAATGTGAATTATTTTTCACTATCCCGCCTTATCCCCAACACATCACAGGCCAGAGCCATCCAGAGCCGGGCCCCTTACCTGCTGAGCTGAGCTGAGCTGAGCTGGTAACACATGCTATGGTGACAACTTGTAGCCTTGTGAAAGTTAAACAAGCAGACGGTAACCCCGTTTCACTCTTTTTCCCAACAGTAACTCAGGAGGATCAGGGATCCATCAGGATAGGTTAGGCGGCAGATGCAAATATGAGCGGCCCAGGTCCCAAACTGACACGCAACGGACAAATGGCTCACGACTGCGGAACCTTCAGAGTTTCATGAAATTATATGAATTTGTTTTGTTTCTCTGACTGCATCAACATGAGACCGTCAGGCGCCTTCTTCGTGACAGTGAAATCCATGTTGGTACATCAAGCAGGTCTACGCAGGTCTTCCTGGAATAACTGCCCTGACCCTAACTCCATTTCCGATGCAGTGCCCCCATAGTGGCCCAACGAGGCACGTCCAGGCCTGGGCGGGGTGTGAGCAGGGAGCCAGCATTTAAAAAACACAATGCAACGACAGGTAAACAATGCTTGCGTGTCAGGCGCGTGAGGAACATTGAGGAGCCATGGCCCATGTTTAACCTATGCATCAAAGCCAAAAATATTGACTGTTTTATCTTGATGTGATTCATCTTTGTATATGTTGCTGGCACCGGTGCTCTCCCTTGTCCGTGGTCAACCAGCCTTCCTGATTTGGCAAGCTGGCGATAGCCGGCGTCTTCTTCAGCGCTGTGGCTCCTTCATTTGGTGGCACCAGAGGCTGTTGCTGACATCACCCACCACTTGACTGTCAGTGTCATGAACAACCCCGACGGCTGGGTGTGCTCCACTGTCCTGCCAGCGCAGGCGAGAACAAGCATTGAGCTCATTGACAGCCCGTTCCCTCTGGATGCAAGCCTTGATGACATCTCCAGGTGCAGGGCACTGGACTGATCTAGTGTCATTGTCAAGAAGCTTTGCAGCTTTGGAATTGGCAGCAAGCTCAACAGGGTGGCGATCCTGGCTGTTGGCCTGCGCGGTAACCCTGCAGATGATCCTTGGCCCACTGGCAGTTTTTCATAGTTGTTCAATGCGTCATAATGGGTTTTGAATGGCGGCGCAGTGGCGTTGGTGGATTTCTTCTTGGAGCCAATTGGAAAGGTACGGCGCATGGAGTCGCCCCAGCAGGCTGCGGTCTTGCTTGCCCCGACCAGCACAATCTGCAGTGGATGATGTCGGCCAAGCCTCTCGGTTAGACATGGGCAGATGGGTCAAAGACCGGGCGAAACCGTAAAGTATGACGACTCAAAATTTTTGAATTTATGATGTCTCAGGACGAGCGCGCTGCGTCACGCCCGCGCTTTCAATTGACTGGGATGTTCACGAGGCATTGCGCTTCTTGGAGCATGGAGATCTCCCGACCGCCGGTGGTGTCAGAGGATCTGTGCTGGCAAGCTCTGGAGTGGGGTAAGAGAGTTGTTAGTTTTTTGCGCTTTGATGTGCTTTGTTGTCGGTGTGGCCCATGGTGCAACTCCTTGGGCGGGGGTGGGGGTGGGGGTGTGGGGTGGGGTGGGGTGGGTGGGGTGGGGGTGGGGGTGGGGTGGGGTGGGGTCTTGTTGGAATGGCATAGCTGCTGCTTCTATGTACACCAGCTTGGCTTCCAGCCTTGCGAGGGAAAGGCCTACCAAAAGACGATTCTGCATTCATTCTGGAAGACGATGACGGGGTGGGGTGGGGTGGGTGGGGTGGGGTGGGGTGGGGTGGGGTGGGGTGGGGTTGGGGGGGGTGGGGCGGGGCGGGGCGGGGCGGGGCGGGGTGGGGTGGTGGGGTGGGGGTGGGGGCGGGTTGGGGGGTATCCATTCACGGGCCCCCTTTTTTGGGTGGATGTTTACTGGTGTCAGCGATTGTCCCACACAATACTGCAACTCAACGTGCAAAAACATGTGGGATGAGGCTGGTGCCCTCCATATGTTGAAAAAACTTTTGCTGTAGCAAAGGCATGCCCCTTGTCCCCACGGCCACGAGATCCAGCCAATGCTCCACACCGAGCGCTGGAGTTTTGAACGCGGCGTGCTAGCTGGGACCTGATCAATGAATGTCGCATAATTTTACAGGGGTTAGTGTTGACCCACGGAGTTGCTGGCTTAGGGAGCCGAATAGTTCATATCATACCAGCCTGCTACACTGCCCGTGAATACCAGCAACATTGATTTGGCTGTACTCAGTGAGATGGCTGTGTTTTCCCTTGAACATTTTTATTTTCAAGATTCTGCTTTTGGCATGTCAGTCTTTCTGAGCTCACAGAAGTGTTTGCATATGTTAGCTCTCAATATCCTAAGGTCCTAAGTGGAGAAAAGCCAGGCTGACTACCCTCTTACTCGGTACCATGACCCTTTAAGTTTTGGGGGCCCTTGACAAGCACATGATGTCTCGCAGGTGGTCAGCCCCGACAATCTCGCTGCCGTGTCCTGCCTGTCCGTGCAGGAGAAGATCGAATCGGGTGAGATGTTTCAAATGTGTGCAATCAAAGAGGCACAGCCAAGCCCGCTTTCAAATTGTCCACATCAAGTTTCACAGCGGCCTTCCAACTCGGTCAACCCCGGTACTTGCCCACTGCGCCTGCACGGAGAGTAAACATGAACCAAGGAGCCCTTTGAACCCACTTGCCGCAAAATCTGCCCTCTCCGGGGCTTCCCTTGAACATGTCCTGCCAAACATGATTTTGAGTTGGCCTGTCAAAAACGCAATGTTTTGAAACCCCCCCGGAATGTGGAAATCTAAGGAACATGAATTCGGCCTAGATAGGAGGTACTTCAAGACCAAACTAGTTCATTTTCAAATCTTGGCAACTATACTTCCAATCCTTGATTTGCTTGAGCGCCCTCCGGACAAAATATATATCCAATAGTGATAGATCCCAATTAAAACCAACCGGGGGAAAGAAATCATATTCTTCAGCAAATGGAAGCAATCGGCAACTCATCTTGGCTGCTGAAAATGCGGGTCACCGCTGTTGAAAACTCACCCCCGCCCCGCTCAATGCTCGGGTTTTATTTTTCCTCGGGTCATGTCGACCCCTTGAGCTGAGGAGCCTCGACATGTTGCAGTTTCAAGATGGGAACCCGCAAGAAGCTCTGTGCTTCTTAGGTGTTTTTCCGTGTTTTTGTCTTTTGGTGTCCCTGTAGCTTGTCTACCTGGAGAGTTACTCAAAGTTAAGGGGTTCTGACCCCTTTTTCTGGGGGTCATTGAGACTCTAGGTAGCAGAAAGGGGTACCCTCAAAACAAGAGCCCATGTCTCTTTGTGGATTTCACCGGAAGCCCTGAAAGATGGCGGGTTCTTTGTACCCCGGTCTCCCAAAAAGCCGGGGGATCCCTTTTTTGCCGGGCAGGAGAGCAGCGAAGAGGCAGATTCCGGGGGGGGGGAGCTGAATCACGCAAAAATATACCTAGAGGCTCCATGACCTGTCCACCAAGATGCGATGCTCGACGCGCGAAAGCCATTGCTTAGTCAATCAAGCTCTTGGTGGTTCCCAGCTGTCCGCTTAGGTTTGCATGTAGGGTTTAGCCGGGTGTTCCCCACTAAAATTGTTAGGCTTTTAGTAGAGGATCTGAAAACGGGCCGCCCAGAGTTGGTTTGCTCCTTTGAGCATTTCGAGATCGTGTCGGTACCATAGAAAGAAAGAGTCCAGTGTTTCACTCTCTAAGCATCTTGGGTCCTCAAAAAGGCTCTTAACACCACCAAAACCGAAGGCGAGTCTTTAAACAACGAAGGCTCAAAACCGTGTTGGGATCCCATTTTGGTTGGGTGAATTCACCACCCATTTTAGGCTTCCTATTTCAGTGGTTGGATTGAATCGGATGTTTTAGTGGGGGCTAACCGATTTGGATTTTGACCCATGGCCATATTCCGGTTTCGCGCAGAAGGCTTCTAGACGCTTTTGGCGGCAGCTCAGGTCCAAAACCTTCCAACGGAGGTCCAGGAACTCTCGGGTGGGCATCACTGAGGTAGGGATTCATGCACAAACTTGTGAGGGTGTTCCTTGTCAAAGGTCTTTGCCGTATGAGAGACGCATGTTGTTTTTATGTTTCTGTTTTTTCCCGAATTGCACTCACAAAAAGTTAAACAGCAACCAAGCAGGAAGATCTCATTTTCAACTGGGTCTCCGCTGACACGGCTCTGTGTAGCTGCAATTTCGCTCGCCGATGCCTCCCTTAGGCGGCAAGATAGATCCCGCACTGTTTCCTGATGTATGGGGTAGCTCTAAACCCTAAGGACCCTTTAAATAAAAATGGGTCCATGACCCATTTTGGGTCATGACCCAACCATTTTTAAAGGGTCAGAAGGAGACTCCAGGTTCTGGACAAATGCTCTCATTTTTTCCAGGGGACTTAAAAGCAAAGTTGTGGGGCCCTTTTTGGCCCAAGAATTCCAAGGGTGTGTCTTGATTTGTTTTGGTTTCCCTGCAAACACATCCGGAAAAGGGGCCCCTATTTTGAAACAGAGCTAAATTTTGTCCTACCCTGACGGACCTTGGGTGGATATCTGCTGGTGGTTTCGCCTTTGGTTTTCCTTTTAACCAACCAAAAAGGGGATCAATTGAAAAGCGAAACACCCATTTTGCAATCTTGCACGGCTTGCCTCTTTCATTTGAAGGATATTGTTGGATATCACCGATCGCAGATTCGAAGCTTGATCCCATGTTGCAGCCTCAGATGTGGCTCTATCCAACAGAGTTCCGATTCGGCCGTGAGACTCTTTTTTTGTGAAGCCCATTATTTGTTTCATTTTGCCAAGCGATGTTAGGACTCAAACACTTTTAGCTAACAAATGGGTCTTACGTATCAAACCACTAAAAACATAGTCAAACTTTTAGCAGGGCTTCGCAGAAATTTCGCCACCGAACCCAAAACCCTCAAACTCCCAAACCCTAAAACCCTAAAACCCTCAAAACCACCCAAACAGTTTTGTATTGCCCAGCAGTTTGGAGTTTGGTTTGTGGCTCATCTGCTCGATCGGAAGTGAGCCATGGGAACCGCAAGCAATGTGGTTCAGTGCCATGCTTTGTTCCTTGTTCAGGGCCCCTCAAAAGTTACATGTTGCCCATTTGAAACATGGCTTTTTCCACCAAAATGAAAGGACACCACCATTTACAAGGCAATTCCAGGTGTAGAATGTAAGGTTCCTCGTTTTTGTTGGTGGGTTACCACGAAATATATAAAAGCTAGACTACCCTTCCTCCCAAAAAACGTGGCACACAGGTCACTCGAAAATGCTTTTTTTTGGGTGGGTTGCCACTAGACATATGGGTGTGGCTTAAAATTAAACGATCGGAGGGGCAAACCGCAGGTTTTGGCAACCATGTTTCCACTTACCAGGGTAACCCATTTTGGAATTCCGGTTTTCTGATCCACTGCCATAATACTAGACACCCTTCCTCCCCAAAAACGTGGCTCTCTTTCGGTCACTCGAAAAATGACTTAATTACATGTGCCCTGGCGCAGGTGCGTTTCAGAATACTTGTTTCTTCTTCTGTTGGTTCTAAGTGCCTGGGGTCTCCGTGACCCTTTAAAAATGGGCTCATTACCCAAAACTAAGGGGTTATGACCCCTTTTTCTAGGGGTCATAGGGACTCTAGGTGAGTCGATTTCAAAAATCTCGCGACTGATGCAAATGGGGGAAGGGTGCCCAAACAGGGTTTGCTTTTTCTACCGGGCTCACTGGTCATTGGCGCTCCGCGAGGTGTGGAAGAAAGAGCGGCAGCAGTTGGAGGTCGGGAACTTTGGGGATACAGTGGGTGAGCGGAATATTGCAATTATCCCCCAGTAGTGCCCATTATCACCCCTTTTTTTGTTGGGAGGGTTCCCCTACTCAAATAGACTACAGGTGTCGCTTTCTCCTGGAAACCACAAGGGGATGGACAAGGTGTCGTTTCAGATATGCAACTGTGGATGGACGAAATCCACTTCGCACATTGTTGGTATTTACATGGGAATCGAATCATTCCAGGGTTTCTGAACGGTGGTGCAGGATTTTGTCCATCCACAGTAGGTCCCCCAGCTGGCAAGTCATGGTTGAATTTGCAGGATTTTCTGTGTTCCCGTGCAGTATTTCAAACATCTACCGTATCAGGGGACCTGCCAAATTCCCAGACAAAGGGGACTCTCATGCCAGCACCAGGATTTCCCTCCCAAAAGCAAAAAGAAAGGCCTCCACAGATAAAACAATGACTTCCATTCGCTTAATAATATTGTTTATTTTCCCCTGTTGGTTTGAAAGGGAATCTATCACTACAGGAAATATGTTTTTTTTCCTGGGGGCTGAACCAAATGGAAGAATGAGACCCTCCTTGAAATGCCTTGCAGCCTGCATGGCTCTGAAGGTAGGGGGGGTTAGCTTGCCACTTTCTATGACAACGACCTCCAGCAAACCAATCGTGCCGATGATCAGAACTTAAACTTTAACATAGTACAAGTAAAACCACTACAGGAGTGGCCAAGGGAGTCTACGCGCAGTATTTACATTCCCTCAGACGAACATGGAAGCTCCCAGGCCTCTGTGAACCACGTCTTCCATTTCGGGGTCCGTGGAGCTTCCATGGAATCGTCGGATGGTAGCCATGGGATAAGGAGCAATCTTTCCCCCTTGGAGGGAAGCCTATGAAAGCCTCTACTGTTGATGGACAAAATCCTGCACCAGTTATCCTATCTACGGGGTTTTATCCATCCCAAGTGGTGCAGGATTTTGTCCATCAGCAGTATTTCCCTGCTGCCTTGGCATCCCAGCAACCGCTTCGGCCAAAAAACAAACGCCTGGGTGGGCTTGACGGAGCAGCATACTCCAACCCAGCTGGTTCACTGGTTCAACCGAATTGTCCGGTTTGCTCGAAGGATTCTTTTTGATCGGCTTACTTGGTTTGGTGCTTTTTGTTCCCATTTAGCCCACAAATCAAACTTTTAGCGGGGGATCTGAGGACGGCCCAGCAACCAACTAGAATGGAGTACTTAAAACTTAATTTAGTCAGTCACGGGACAATCTGAGCATTTGTCCCCCTAAAAATGGCAACTGGTTTCCCTTTAACCGCCACCCAGTAGACCCCAGTTACCACTACACTAGGAAACCAGCCAGGCCCCTTGTTTTCTCAAGAGCGGTTGCCTTGGCAACCTACTATACAACACTATGGCTATTTGGTTGGATCTTTGCACTTTTTTTCTCTTCCGGGAATGTGGATTGTCCGTTGGACCCATAAATCGTTATTCACTTTTGCAGAGGTCGTTGAAGCAATCTAGAAGCCAAGCCAAACCCTTCCTTCCAGAAGTCAAAATTAAACCAGGAATTGGACCGCAGATGTTGGTCCTTGTTTCCATTTACCGATCGGGCAACCCATTTGCGGGACCTATTTTTGACTCCCACTTGTCCGTTGTTGGTAACGGGATCTGTCCATTTTAATTTTGTGTTTTTGATTTTTCCCGAGGGTTTTAAGCAAACGAAGGATTGGACGTGTCCATGTGTTGGATGTGTGCATCGGCCGAGTCTGTGGGTTGCGTGCCAGGGGGCTTTAAGTAAACGGCCAAGAAAAGTGAATCCCTCTCTCCAGCTAGAGTCTCCATGACCCCTAGAAAAAGGGTCGGGCCCTTAATTTTGGTTGTTTCCCCATTCGTTTCAACCATCGTTCTTTTCGACAAGCGGTCGTTTGAGCTGGGTTTCTTGAGGTTTTCTAGAAAGATTCGGATCCCTGGGTTCAGAATGGAAATGGAAGGTACCCCTAGAATTTTGGGTAATGACCAACCATTTTTTAAAAAGTCAGAAGGAGACTCCAGGAATTCACCAAACCGCCGGAAAAGCTTCTTCTTTCGCCAGGTCCAACTGGCGCAAGTCTGCGCGGAAAGGGATCGCATGATGGAGGCCATCGCTGGAAAGGACGCTTGCTTCCGTTTTTGCTGGCACGTCTGTTTGTGTTACATCATTATTATTATTATTATCATTGTTATCATTATTATTACTACTAAGATTAAATATTCCTTATCATTATTATATGATTATCATTATGCTTATTATTATTATTATCATTGTCATTATGATTATTATTAGTACCATATTATTGTTATTATCATTAGGATTATTCTTATTGATTATTACTATTGATTTCCCCTTGTTGACTTGAAATTGCATTTATCACGACTGGAAATATGTTTTTCCCCAAAGGCGCAAATGGAAGCTTGGGCTCTGCGATTCTTTGTCCATATTGTGGATGGTTGCGAAATCCGAATTCTCGAGCCGTTTGGAGAGCCTGGAAGGATGATCTCCCTGTAAATGGTTTCAACGTGGTGCGAAGTGGATTTCGTCCATCCACAGTATGGGTGTGTGTGTGTGGCTGGAGTCTCCATGAACCTTAAAAAATGGGGTCATTACTCAAAATAATGGGGTCAGTCATGGACCTATTTTTAAAGGGTCATGGAGACTCCAGGTGGCTGTTTTCTAGCCTTTCCAGGTTTATCAGGAGAGCTACAGAAAATGATGGTTTGGGAGTGAATTTTGCCACATGCCCATATTCTACACTTCAATAATGAGGAGGACTCTGGTCAGATCAGTTCCCCATGGCTAACGCACAGGAGAGCCAATGGGTTTGAGGATCTGAGATGGTGTCCACTACCCCCAAACCATTCCCCCGAGAGTTTTGTGGACTAATTTAACCGCTACATAATCTATTCCCCTATTGTAAACCCCCCCACTCCACCCCTCCCCGTCCCTCTATCAAGAAGCATTACTTGTTGGCAGCACATATTTATGAACAGGGTGCCAGAAATTCCAACCTTTTTCCCTGGCAACATGTACCACTGGCCACAAGAGGACTAGACTTGCAATTCTGGGGCAGGTGCCGTTTTCGGTTTTTCGGGTTTCACGCCTGTGTCACAGATATTAGTTGGAAAGCAGACAGCTGAGAGCCAGGTAGCAGATGGGAAAGGTGAAGTCACGAGGGCCCGGGTACACCACACGGGTATTCCACAAGAGCCCATGATCCTCCTGAGTCTGATTGTTCCGGGGCTGCTTTCCTGTCAAGTTTTTGTGGATATGAACTTCTAGGATCGATGCTTGTTACTTTTAAAGGGTGGTTATATGAGATCTGGGAATCTGAGATTAAGCCTTGGCAATTACAGACTTTAGAACTGGCAATTCTAAATTCTGTACTGGGAATCTGAGATGAAGTCTTGGCAAGACACCATTTACAGTTGGCAGTTCTGAACTCCCTCCTGGGAATCTGATGATTTAAATCTTGGCACTAAAATTGGATTCTGCAAAAGACTAAATTTGTTTATTGGTTAAACCCAAGTCGACCCCCCCCCCATTTTCCACCTAAGGAGCTCCCTTGCCCGTGGCGCCTGTTTTTCCTTTTTGGGGGAAGGGCTCCCTTCAAAACTCAACCAACCAAGAAATCGGATGCGGATTCTTTTTCCAATGGAAAACCACTGGGCGTCTGAGGGAGGCTCCAAAGGACGGACCTCATTAGTTGAGGCCTTTGGGGGTTCAAGGCCCTGATATTCAGGGCGCAAGAACCTAGGGTATGATGCACAAACCACACATACCGAAATTCCCCAACTAGGGTCCTCCAGTTTTGAGAGGTTAGAATAAGGGTACCAACCTGTCCTGGAGTCTCCATGACCCTTTAAACATGGGTTCATGACCTCATTATTTAGGGTAACGACCAACCATTTTTTAAGGGTCATGGAGACTCCAGGTAGTCTATTTTAGTAGAGGGGCACGGCGTTGCGGTCCTTTGAGCCGAGCGCAGCTAATCGCCAGGCAGCAAATGAGCTGAGGGCGGACCTGAGGCGCAAGGCGGGGGGTTCTCAGTGTGCGAGGCTTCGACCGAAAAATCGGCTTGGCGAAATCCATGGGTCTTGGCAGAAAAATGGGGTCCTTCACTGTTGTGATTTTGGTTTTGTGATTTTTAATGGGGGGCTGCAGAAAACCTCTTGGTTGATCACAAGGGGTTTATCAGCTTTAATCATAGCTTGCAATGTATGGGTGTGTGTGTGTGCGTTTGTGTGATGGAGCTTCTAGGGTCGTCTTTTAGGTCCCCCAGCAATTGGTGCCCTTTCTCACCAACTTTTTTTGGTTGGGAGGGTTCTACTAAAATAGACTATAGGAAAAAAGGGTACCCTTATTCTAACCTCTCTACTGGAGGACCTAGTCTTGGCACAGGCTTGTGGTTGAGCACAAGGGGTTTATCAGGTTTATCCGACCACTTCTGTAATACTGTTAGGAATTCTTGGTAAATCCTATGGTCAAGGGCCCCTTTGCAGTGTGTTTTACCGTGTCTTTACATCCCTGTCTTTCTATTTCTACCCCTTCTGTCGCTTTAATGGCAACTGAACCCAGGGGAGCCAGGGGTGTGGTTGATCACAAAAGGGGTCCACCCAACCACTGTGCTACTTTTGGGAATCTCCCCCTTCTGGGGGGAAAATGTTTTTGGGAGGCGCTTTTTGTTGTATCACAGAAGTGGTCATTTCCCACAAACCTGTTTTGGTCGAGCTGAACAAATCACGGGGCTGAGGTGGATGTGGTATGATCAACGATAATGGCGTTTGATGGCTTAGATGTGGAACCTGGCTGGTCGGTTTGGGGGTCTTCCCCCAAACAATCAATATCTAAGCAGTTAGCTTTAAGAATTAGAGGGTTTCCCATTTCTTGTTCGGTTTGCCCCGTGCCATGATGCGTGCCAGAGAAGGAGGAGAAACCCAAGCCGTGGATGGACGTTCCAGATTACATCACCTGGAAACTCGTGCTGCCATGCAGCCAGAAGGGTTGCAACTCATGGATTTTCTATCGCCATTACCTGAACCAGACATGGCCCAGCTGCACCATGTGTGGCTTGTCCTGGGCCAAGAGCGCGCTTGCCGGGCCCAAGTGGTATAACCACAACTACAAATACGCTGGGAGGCACAACGAGGTTGCCTGGGTCAAGTGACTGGTTCCTGTCTAGGTCCCCCGGTATTGCCCTTTGCACCAAGTTTTTTGGTTGGGAGGATTCCCCTACTAAAATATACTACAGAAAAACAGGTTGGTACCCTTATTCTAACTTCTCTCCTGGAGGACCTAGCTGTACTTGTCTGCGAGTGGCCAATTAAGATGGGAGATCCGCTTGGTAAAGCAGGGTAGTCGTATGTGTCGGACCCTAGCCGGAATGGGTCTTCCTTGTGGCTTCCTTTGACCCCAAAAAAGGTTCCATCACACAAACGCACACACAAAAACACACATACCATTTCAAATTATTCAGATCATGGCCAATTGGGTTACTTAGAGTCTCCATGACCCCTAGAAAAAGGGGTCATAACCCCTTCGTCTTGGGTAATGACCAAGCATTTTTAAAGGGTCATGGAGACTCCATCAGCTTTCCTTCACGTAGCCTCCTTCTCTCCCAACCACCTTGCCATGGAACCCACCATAAGGTCCCTGCTTCGCCTCCAAACAGACCGGTATTCCGAAAATTCAAGGGCTCGGCGGCTTTTTTAAGGGAACCTTCTTTAAGGGCTGCCTTAAGGGAAGCCAAAAGGAAGCCACTTGTTTTCTAGGTCCCCCAGTAGTGCCCTTTCTCTCCCCTTTGTTGGTGGAGGGTTCCCCTACTAAAATCGACTACAGAAAAAATGGTACCCTTATTCTGAACCTCTCTGGTGGAGGACCTAGTTTTGATTTTTTTCGTTTCCAAAAAGTGACAAACCCGCACTCACCTCCAAACCCCTGGCCTGTTTCGCGAACTCCAAACTAGATATGAGCCACGTGTTCAAAACCGATTCGGGTAGATGAAGGTTAGTAAGGGGCAGTTCCAGAAATTGCTTCGGCCGCCTTCTTAATTCCTCGCATGGTTCTGGGTAGACCATTTTAATACCGGGTTTTAATTGTGACTCATATGGTGTTGGGACGGTTGGGAGGCTCCGGCATCGCCGATGCCTTCGGCCAGCGAAGTGATGCGGCAGGCAGCCCCTGTCGCGATTCGGAATGGGCTGGTCAGTCCTTGGAGCTTGTGTACCCCCTACTCCAAATACCCGTTTTTTTTTCTTTTCTTTTTTTTAACCGATCGGTTTTCCAAGGTAAGCACCTCCTTTTTTAGCAGAGGGTCGACATCATACCCTGAAAAAAGTGGGTATTGGGTGTAGGGGGTAAGACTTTCTTCCGGGTTTCCGAGCCGTTTGGCCCCTTGGAGCCTTCAAACGTGGCGATCGTTTCCATGGACACCAGTAAATTGATCAACTTTAGGGAAGGGACATCTAAAAACAAAAATGACTGCCAGCTTCTGAAGGCGGGTTTGTGAGCTGATTTGGACCCCGAAACGTGGCATGTCAAGACTCTACGGGTTTTCTAACAGCCGGGGCTGGCAGATGCTGGCGCTCGAGGCGTTCGGAAGGTTAGGTTTGGGGGCAGTCTTAGTCTTTCCCAGCCATCCGGTTCCTTAGGTTTCTTTGTTCTTCTTCTATTTTTTCGTTGGGTTTACTGGAAGTTTCCCACCAAACCACTAAAAGCCAGACTTTTCGCTGGGTATCTGGGAACAGCCCAGCATTGTCAAGACTGGCAAAGTTGTTGCGCATGAACACAAGCTTGAGCTTTCGGTGTTGCAAAGTTAGCAAGAGCTGAACATGCCAACAAAGGCAGAAGTGTGCAAGACGCCCGGCTGTTCAACACATTCGCTGCTTGAGTAGACTTGGGCATGAGTGTTTTGCGTAGCATTTTTGGCATCCTTAAAGGAAAACCCTAGGGTTCAACGCCAGCTAAAAGAATGGCAAGGACCCAATTTGGATGATGAATTGCGCGAACGGTAAAAAAGGTGGCTATATTCTCACCCCCTTTGATTTACCTCAGGAAATATCTAAGCACATGGTGAACCCCTATACTTAGCCCCTTTATTAACTTACCCGGCTTGAATACTTGTTTTCGCCTGCGGAGCTCACCGCTTGAATTGATCGCCAGGCGTTGCAACTGGCTTCGCCCAGCGCAGGCCGACACTTGCAGACTTGGGCGAAACGGAGTGGAGTGGATAGGTATAGCCCTTCAGCTCCTGACAAGGTTGGCTGGGTTGGTTTGGTCAGGGTCTTTGGAATTTCCCTTCTTTCGAGTCACCAACAGAGCCCCTGACAAGGTTGGCTTGGCTGGTTTGACTCAATTTCCCCTCTTTGGAATCACCAACTCTTGGTGGCTCCCAGCAATCCCCTTAGCTTCTCAGCCTTTTAGTGTTTAGTGGTAGTTTCCATTTAAATCACTAAAAGTGTTTTAAAAAAGGCGGGGGATCGCAGTTTCAATGGAAACCACCCGTCAATTGATCAACTTTTGAAGGGGGGGTTTTGCAGCTGCGATGGCGCGACGCCCAGAAGTGGATGCTCGTGGATCACATGCTGATACATTGAAGGCTGCTGAGTAGGGAATTTTAGGTACAGCCTTTAAGACATGGCTGTGGGTCAAAATTAAACAGCCAGGGGACCGCAGATTTGAGTTCATATTTCCATTTACCAGGGTTGAGTTTTTAGGTAATTGCCTATTTTTGACCCGCAACCATACTCCTCATTCAAGGAGTACAACCGCGGCGAAGTATTCCTGCACGGCTGACAAGTCGGCAGCATAGAAGACGATGTAGGCTGGCGAAAGTATGCTGAAATCTTTGAATCGAAAGCGTTGCGTTTCTAAGTATTTGCTGGTACATGAAGTTTGTTGCTTTCCTTGGTCCGCTCGCGGAACTTTTATACCCATGTTTAGCTTCTTCGGGAGTTCGTACACAGCACAGATTCCTTTCATCCTTTCCCTTACTTGAACCTTTTGGGAAAGGGGAGCCAAGACTTCTCAGGTATCCCAAGTTGGTTGTTTGGATTGGTGGTGGGCGACTTGAACCCCTGGTCCTTGTAGGGGTAAAGAGGGAACCACTCACCACGAACCCCCCAAGGCTCCAAACCAGCCAATTCGCGGCAAGCTGGAGTCTCCATGACCCTTTAAACTGGGGTTACTACCCAAAATTCTTACTGTGGATGGACAAAATCCTGCACCACCCAAGAAACCCTGGAATGATGATTCTCCTGCAAATACCAACAAACCATGGTTACTCATGGTTTCAAAGTGGTGCAGGATTTCGTCCATCCACAGTATGACCCCTTTTTGTAGGGGTCAGAAGGAAGGAAGCTGGGGATTGTTTTTTTTTGATGCCCGGCTCACAAAGTCCCCAAGCAACGAAGGTTACCTTCGCTGGTGGGTTGGACTTTTTTGGCTTGGGGAAGCCGAAACCAGCAGCTCGTGGGAAGCTGAAACACCTCCTGGAAGTTTGTTGGTCATTCTAGGTCCCCCGGGAGGGTTACCCTACTAAAATAGACTACAGAAAAAAACTTGGTACCCTTGGTCTAACTTCTCTACTGGAGGACCTAGCATTAGTCTGGATCTGAAGAGACCTGTTTCGAGGCGCGGAGGACCGGTTCGGTGTGACGCAACTCGGCTTCACCCGAGAAGGGGCGGTGGCGAGAGTACGCCCCCCGCCGAATGAAAACATGGGTTCCCCCAAAGCAGAAACCACGCCCCAACTGGAGAGTCCTCGTAACATGTGAGAGAGCAAAAAGGCAGAGATGGTTGGTTGAAGTCTGGCAGAAGCTTAGCTCAAGCCTGGCTCCATTGTCCATAAGGGTGTATCTTTATAGAGGAATCGGACCTCCTCAAAGTGGTCGGATTTGTGTGTTCCCTGAAAGCCACCGAAAAAGGGGTATATGATGGTTGAGATTCCATATTAGTTTACAAGGAGCACACCATCGCTGATTTTGACGTCTTGAGCAACTAGATATCAAAACCCTATCTACTTCAACATTTAAATGAGGGAGTTTATGGCCGCCCATTTTCCTGTTTGCGGGCAAGCTGGATAAATCCCCCCTTTTCCTGCTCAAGCTGGCAGTGATGAACCTCTACGGACCAGTGGATCAGTTTTGGGGACCGATCCCATGTGTAGGATCATTTAGCTTGGGCCAAGCTTCATGTCATATCATACCGGAGGGGCGCTAAGTGGGTCTTCATGGATCACCTGGCCGGATTTGGGATGGAACTTGTAGACCCCTCAAGGTGCCTCAAGTTTCATTTTGAAATTCCCATTGGCCCCCTGACCAGGGTCTTTCAAGTTTCTAGCTCTCAGCCATCGAGCGAACCCTCTGAAAAGGGATGTAGCCTCCCAGCTTTGTCACATGGAGCCTGTGCGGGGGTCCTGGTTCCTCTTGGGGGAAGGGATTTCTGGTCCATAACCCCATTATTTTGGGTAATGACCACATTTTTCAAGGGTCATGGAGACTCTAGGTGCCCCTTTGTTCGGGGACCCCAAAACGGTGCCTTTCATGTTTCACGTCCCCGGCCATCCGATTTCGCGAAAACATCCCCGGCCAGCCGATGTTTTGTTTTTTTCGAGGCCTTCACCTCGGGAAGCGCCCAAAGGCGCCCTGCGCAAAAAACGTTGGCAAGCGCCGAGCCGTTGGCCAAGCCTTTGGCTGTGGTTGTCAAAACCTTTTTGGATCCCATTTTGGTAGGTAAATTCACCCATTTTAGAACCTATTTTAGTAGGGGTTGGGATGTTCACCGCGGGTGCGGGCTTTGGATTTTGACCTATGGCCAGATGAAGGACGGGGGCAGTCAGCACAAATATCTAAGCTCACTTCCCGAGTTCCGCTCAGGCTCCATTTATATAGACTTGTTTTGGGAGTTTGGATCATCTTGGTGGCAAGCAACAGTTTGGATTTGTTTTGGCCAATATACTCAGGAAGTGAGATGTCATGGTTTTTTGACCATGCTGTAGGCTTCTTTCATACCACCCGCCATGATACCAGGTTGCGTATCGGGATACCCAACGTCCCGACTTCTTTTGAGGAATGATCTCCTGCATGAATCCGGCTGGCCGCACCATCAGAGGGATCACTATACAAGGGAAGAGAAGACTACTCAGTTGTACATGTTGTAATTTGGCACTGGACAAGGTGCAAGCTAATATCGCCATGCCATTGTCTGTTCCGGTTCCGCCATTTGATATCGGATTCCTGGGAGAGCTCTTTGCTCTCCCCCACGTGTTGAGCTTGTCACCAAGCAACTAAACCATCGGTTCACCTTGATTCCAGTGGGTTCCCCATCCCAAAAAGAGCCATGCTTCCCGTTGTTACAAGCCACAGATGGCTGCTTGCGTTTGATTTGCCCAAATCCACGCCAAGCTTGCCCGCCCAAAGGCCAGCAAGCTGACCGAGCATTTCCGCGATTTGTTTCAAGGTGTTCCCTGCCAATCTATTCGACACATCACCGCGGTAAGCGTTCAAATGAAGTAAGACACCTCAGAATGAAGAGAGTGCTTTTGGTGTATGTGTGTTCTTCATTATTGCTGGTCGTATGTTTATATCTTTGGTTTGTTCGCCTCTTCTGGCAAGAAGGGACCAACCAGAACAAAACAACATGGCAAAAAGGGACCAACCAGAACAAACAGACATGGCAAGAAGGAACCAAGCAGAACAAACAGACATGTCAAGAAGGGAGCAACCAGAAAAAAGAAAGAAGGGGAAACACGCCTCGGGCTTGTTCGCTGACTTGCTGACCGGCTGAGTTCTTTTTCCAGGCGGCGCGGCCCTGGTGCTGCCAATCCCGCGTGCAGGGACCTGCTGGATCGACCCGCGGTGGCTGTAGGTTCGAAACCGGAGGTACTTAAAGGGGCGATCGGGTACGTAAGTGGTTGGTAAGCCTGGTCATAACCCACCTAGGAGACTTACAACCATGGCTGTTGTGGGTTATAACCAGGATTGCTCACCACTTACTAAGTACCCGGCGTTTCCGAGTTATTTCTCCCCTTCAAAGTGGCGATCGTTTCAATGGACGTAAATTCATCAACTTCTGAGGGGAAACCTAGTGAGGACCTGTTGGGCCTGGCGCTCAAACTCTTTACTCCCATTTTGGAGTTGAAGTGAGGCATGAGTCAAACATTGCTGTTGAATTAGAGGCTTATGGTCCCGTGGTGTCATCCTTGAGGGTTCCTCAGGTGGCTTGGTACGTAAGTTTCACGGGCGGTTTTCCTGGTAAAGTACCTACTCAGGTGCATGAAATTCTGGCTAAACGTGCAAAATATGCTTGGTTGCCCAGACCCATGAAAGTTACGGAACCATACTCAGTTGTCCCACTGGGCACTTCTTTTCTCGCCGGAAGGTTTGTTCTCTGCGATTCCCCTTCTTGCCCATCTCTGGTAGATACCTCGGTTGAAGAATACCTGGTTGCGTCCTCTGAAAGCGTAGGATTTGCGGAGACCAGCTACAGGAGATTCTACGGGAAATCCTCTTGGTTGGCCAATGTCCTGTGAAAGAATTGCAAAAAGGACAATGCCGGCAGAACACATGTCGGCCATGTTGAACAAATGCTGAACTTCCATGTCGTTGGAAGAGGCTAACCTCGGACAAGTGCATGTGCTTGGTCTTCAGTGGCAAACAGCTGATGCCTCGTGATGGACTTCCGAGTGTTAAGGAGTTGGTGTAGGAGCATGACTCACGGGCTTGACACGTGGGTCAAAGCTGGGACCGACATCAAAGCCGCTAATCTTAACTCCATGTCAATCAACCCCAGTTTATTAATCGGGGGTGTTCCCCTCCAAAAGTGATGATTCCCCGCTAAACCCAGGGACACCCCCTGCGAATATCTGGGGTTGATTAACATGGGGTCAACATTAAGTGGTTTGCTGGGATACCAAATGGTCGCCCTTCTGCGCTATTGGCAAAGTCCTGGCGAATGTGTTGTGTCTTTGTCCAGGCAAGGGGGGTCAGATCGCAGGGTTGTTTGCAGAATTGTTTAAATCAACCAGATTCAGGCATACTAAAAAACCCAGGATACAAATAAACACAGCTTGCACCACGTTTGTGCTCAATGGATCTGAAAATTTGCTTGCTCTTGTGTTCCTCCTTCCAGCACCTCGGGTCTTCCATCATTTTTTGGTTGCCGCCTTGTTATCCAGCAGGATAGCATCTCAGTTCTGTTCCGGGTGAAGCCGGCGAACGTTTTTCGGCCAGCAAAGCCCACGCTCAAGGCTAAGGCCCTACTTAAAGTGGCAAGGCACTTCGTAAGCGGGTAATACGCCTGGATATAACCCATTTAGGAGACTCATAACCATGGTAACTAGGTCTCCCAGTAGTCCCCTTGTACCCCTTTTTTTGGGGAGGGTTCCCCTACTAACATAGACAGAACAAGTTGGTACCCTTGTTCTAACCTCTCAAATCTGGAGGACCTGGGTAAGTATCCACTTACCAAGAACAATGCCTCGTTAAGTAGGCCCTTCAAAGCCTGGCTGCAGGAGCGAGTCCGGCGGGTCAGGCGCGGCGCGGCTTTTCCGGGAAGAGAAAAGCGAGTCGGATCCGATCGATCCGATCAGGTTTCCGGAGGGCCGGGCGTTTTTTGTTTTGCGGATCCGGTTTCTACCTAGAGTCTCCTTCTGACCCGAATGAAACATGGTTGGTCATTACCCAAAATAACGGTTGGTCATGGACCGACTTTTGATTCGGGTCATGGAGACTCCAGGTACCCTCCCACCAAATACGGAAGTGGACAGAAGGGTGCCCCGCTTTTGGGAAGTCGTCTTCCAACCCTTCCAACCCCCTCCTGTCAGCTTCCATGATTGGAGGGAGGGTGAGTCTAACGCGCAACTGATGGTTCAATCTGCTCAGGTGTATTGCTTACTTCCTGAAAGTATGCCTGAGTTGAGTGAAACACTTCAACCAATCCTGCGAACTGGGAAATAGCACAAACTCCTTGGATGTTCGATTTGCCAAGTTCGTATGTGGTTGGCCGCCTGGCTTGTAACCAACTCAGCACTGGGTCAACCCCACTTGAAGAGGCTTATAAGTAAGTTAGAGCCCAGGTTTCTGACGACTTGCTTCAGGAATCTTGACATGTGATGCCTGAATCAGACCCATGAGCTGAGGGCATGTGGTCGACGAAACTCGGCTTCAAGTTTGCCTTCTGCACGAGAGAGGGATGTGACTTTGGGACATTGGCTCCTACGGGCGGAAGTGACAGCCAGTACTCAAAGAAAGTGTTGGGCAACTCGCACCCTTGTTCCAAAGACTATCAGCACTGCGAGATCCTGACCTTTGGTTTAAGAATCAGCTTGGGCCATACGAAAAAGGGACCATGCTGATGCTGTCCCCAAAAGCAGCGAAAGAAACGACTAGGGTTGAGGGGTCAGCTGGCGGACCCCGTAAACTCTTACCAAGTGAGCAGGTCCAAGCAAAACACATACACCCACACACACACACACTTTGTTACATGCCGAGCAAGAGGTGTGAGAAGGCCCCGCGCAAGCAAAACTCTCACACAAGCCAGCTGTTTCGTACTTTTGGGGGAAATATGCAGCTGCGCCCGCATAAGCAGAGCGCTTCCGCAGAGTCATCCACTTCATTCTGAACAGTTCTGGCAGAATTTCCTCCATTTCCCTTTTTGGAACCTCCAAAGCGGCAGTTTCAATGGGCACCACCAGCAAGTTGCAGCTTTTGAGGGGGAATTCCACTGACCGGTTGCAAAGAAAATGGAGCCCGCATAACTGTGCAGGGAATTACGCTCACACTGACGCGCTGATGCACTGCGTAAGCTTTTCCCAGCTCGCCGACCGTAAGCAAAGCGCTAGGTCAATCGGAAGCAACCTTCCACAAGGATTCATGGCGTGTTTATAGAGTCGCTGAAGTGAGGTTTTCTGAAGTTTCGACTTTCGAGTTGCGTCTTGTTGGGCTTTGGGCTGGTACTTCTGGGTCCATCAAAGTGACATGCTCCTCACAATTCCCGCGAGTTAGTACAAGGGAAACCACCGGGCTTAAAGGTAATGTCGAGCACCGATGCAACCAGCCAGCCTTCACCGCATTCACGGAACCCGCCTGTAGGGGCGTTTTTAAGAGTACCCCTTTTCAGGTTGAAAGGGAAACCAGCAGGGAGACCGAAATTCACGGGGCTCCGAAACCTCAAACTTTACTCATATAGTCATGCCGATCATTTCGAGCATGTGGACGCCCACCTTCACAATCCACACCACCAATTGGCACCGGGAAGCCGGAGAAGAACCTCGATCTCGTAATGTCGACGTCGACACTTCTTGGGCTTGCTCCCAAAATCCAAACAAGTGAGGATTCCCTGGAAAATTGCACACTCCACCAAACCACCAGGGCTCGAAACCCACCAATCAGACAAAAGCTACCCGTCGCAGCGACCTGCCTCACGGATGCGCCAGGTACCGTGACGACTCCGCGTGAGCAGGAGGCGACCCTGGAAGACATTTGCCTACCCCCTACACCAAATACTACCCCTTCTTAGCAGAGGGTCGACATGATACCCTAAAAAAGGTGGGTATTTGAAGTCGGGGGTATTTTTAGAGCGAGCTCGCCTATGATCAAGGTCCTTTACTTGGGGATCCGGATCTGAATTCAAGGTTTGGACATATTGACTTGGTGGCTCCCACTCATCCGCTTAGCCTTTTTAGCCTTTTAGTGTTTAGTGGTAGTTTCCATTTAACCCACTAAAAGTCAAACTTTTAGCGGGGATCTGAGGGCAGCCCAGTTGAGAAATTGCAGATGACATGCCTGCAGCCAGCCTCGTTGTTTCTCTGTGTGTGTGTTCTTCTTGCTGGTGCTCAGCAGGGAATGAGTTGGAATGACCCGGAGAAAACCCATTCCCTATGTTTCCTTTCAGGCAATCGCCTTCCGGCTCATTCCCAAAGCTGTGGGTCATTCCCTACCGAGCTGCAGCAAGTTTTGTGGGGATACATTTTGTTTGGTTGAACCTGAAATCAACGGAAACCAATCATAGGGAGGTCCAAATCCCTATTCTGACAGTTCCACATGTGTGTTGAACCTATCTGAAGGCGAGGTAAAATGAGCTAAGAACCTCTGCTTAGGTCCTTTGCTTCCAGGTCCACACTTAGCCATCTTTTCCCTTGACCAAAGCCCATTCTTGGGATGGGCTCCCCTTTAATCTCAACCAACCAAAACATGATGCCCTTTTTTTGCATGGCCACCGGGCATCTGAAATGACAGGGATGGATGATTCTTGATGTTCCAAGAGATGGTTTCTGATGACTCCCCTGTAAATGCCAACAAACAAGTTTGTGCAGGATTTCGTCCATCCACAGTAGGACAAGCCATTTTTGGGCGTCTGTTTCTCAGGGACCCCCAAATCCCGTTTGGTCACACGCAAAACGCACGTGAAGTGCCCGAAAACGCTTGAGCGCGCGGGTTGTGACAGGTGGCGCCGCGTCCGCCGGTCGCAGGTGGGGCTGGTTTGGGCCCGCCCTTGTTTGCGTCGACTCTCCACTGTGTTCCTTTTTTTTTTTCTCGCAACCATCAAGTCACATCTGGGGTTGGAAAGCTGTTTTTTGTCGCAACCATCAAACTCACATCTGGTGTTGGAAACCCAGCGACAGCGTGAAACAAAAAACGGTGCTTCCAACCTCATGGAGATTGCTGGGATCGACTTGAAGAATTTGCCCAGATGCGTTGCTCATGGCGTCTGAAGTTTGAACCGTGCGAAGCAGAGGGGCCTGCAGCCAGTTCAATCAAGTTCGCAGGCAAGGTTTAAAGGGCGTAGCTTCACACAGCGTGCAGACGACGCCAGCGTGGATGATGCTTCATAGCGCAGTGGAGCACTCACATGTCTGCGTGGGTGTGAACACCATTGAAGAACCGCGATTCTGTTTCCACTGGGCTCCTTTGACAGGAACGGCAACAGCGCGCAACAAGGGTTGCTGAATGCCTCCGCATGTCCGCATTTGGTCGATTGTTGCAGGCTACTTGGATACTTGGAACACGCCTTAGCATGACACATATCCACTTAACGTGATTCTGCAGAGAACCGGAATGTCTTTGCATATCCACTGACGTTTGCCTTCACTGTTCTCATGGCATCGACCGCTCGTGTCAGTGTCGCTTAAGACAAAGGACGTGTTGTTATTTGAGTGGCGGGCGCTGCAATTGCATTGCGGGCGGGCAATTCATAGAAATTTGTCTTACACAAACCCTGTTTCATGCGCTGAAGCGCCATGGTGGACTAGGTCCCCCAGTGGTGCCCTTTTACCGTTTCCTTTTTGGGGGAGGGTTTCCCTACTAAGCTATACAACAGAAAAAGGGTACCCTGATTCTAACCTCTCAAATCTGGAGGACCTAGACAACCTCACCCACTTTGAGCTCATTGCTTGGGGAACTTTGGTATGTGTGGTTTGTGAATCATACCCTAGGTTCTTGGGCCCTGAATACAAGGGCCTTGAACCCCCAAACGCATCAAGTAATGAGGTCCTGGGATAGTTTATCTAAACTCAAGAGTCATGCCATGCTCAGCATTTCATGCTGCGATTGTTCAAACAAAAATCACGGCATGGCCTGGTGGCAGGCAGGAAACCGGAAGCGGCGTGTAGGGCACATGAGCGCATGGGCCTTTTGCCAGGGAGTCCCGTACCTGCGCCCGGGGGCCTCGGTTTGGTGACAAACATGGCGCTTGGATGCGGGATGCCGTGGATGAACGAATCTGCTCGCACCACAAAATACAACTACGGTTGAAACCATTGGCGATTGACATTTGCCGAAGAATCATCATTTCAGGGTTTCTTAGGGTTTCCTCCACCCACAGATAGGGAACAACTTCCCAGTTGCCAGTGGATTCCGCCCATTTTGCAACTTTTTCTTGGGACGGGTTCTCTTTTAAACTCAACCGACGAAACAGGATAGCCTGTTCTTCCCATGGCCACCGCGAATCTGAGATGGTTCGTGCCCATTTGACGGACGGGAACCGATGTGGCGAATTGGGCTGACGGGAACCATGGCCCTCGCCACCGCTTTTTGTTTTGTTGTTTTGGATTTTGTATGTGTTGTTTTTACTGGCTGGTTTGTGGGCGTTCCACTGAACACGGTCGTGTGCAAAAGGGTTTGCCTTGTTCCGCCTCGTCCTTGTTGGGGCCGCAAAAAAAAGAAGTTCTCTTTCTTGGGCCCGCAACCCACCAGGATCCTTAGAGCATTTGCTTTAACCTGGTTGCATCGGAAGGAAAACTTTTCGAGTTGGTGCGGGGGGGGGCCGTGTTTGTGGGCGGATGATTGCTTCGCGCACCTGAGGGAAGAAAAGAAGCAAACCTGGCACGTCTTCCGCTTAAGCCGTGTGTTTCGGCCGATTTCTTTCTAAGTCCCCCAGCAATTGGTGCCCTTTTACCCTTTCTTTTTGGGGGGAGGGTTCCTCTACTGGAATAGATCACAGAAAAAAAAAGTTGGTACCCTTATTCTAACCTGTCTACTGGAGGAACTAGCTTTGAACTTAGTCTGTTCCTTGATTGAAATGATTTGTTGCTTGGATGGTTAACTATCCCGCACATGTTCAAACCACTCGTGTGTATTTGATCCGGTTGAAAGGGCCGCCCGTTTAGACTAAGGATGTCGATACTGTTGGACAACATGATTGGTGGATAATCCCAGTATTCACATGATTCACAGGGTTTCGTCCATCTTATTCGGTGCAGGATTCGCCATGTGTTTGCTTACTAACAGATGTAGGAACACCCTAAAACGCGTGGCTTCCCTTGAATTCAACTTCCCAGACGCTCATAGACCCTCTTAGGGAGGGTCTGACCCCTCGGGACAGCCTCAGGGCCCTCAAACAGCAACCCATTTTGATTCGGCCCGCCCAGTAGTCGTGAGCCTTTGGGAAGACTAAAACTAAAAGATATCAAAGCAACCGGGCGAATCGATGATCGGAGATGCAAAGGTTCGAAAGAGTCTGGTCAACAAGTTTGGCATGGGTCTGTCTTGTTGAAGCACCTTCTTCCTTCTTTTTTTTTTGGCGGGGGGTTTAAGGGAAACCCAAACCAAAACCACCCTTTTGGCGGGTCCAACCCAAAAGTCAAGACTCAGTGAGCGAGAAAACCAGAAAAACCAACTAGTTCCCCCAGTACTGCCCTTTTACCGTTTCTTTTTTGGTCGGGGTTTTGGCTTAAAATAGACAGAAAAGACCTCGGGTACCAACTTATTACCTCTCACATCTGGAGGACCAACAGTCAAGGAGTGCCACGAATCGGACGCGCGACCTCGGACTCAAAGCTCAAAGCTTGGCGCCTCAGGTCTTGGCACCGCTTCGAAGCGAAGGCGCGACAAAGGGCGAAACGGAACTGGGCGGCGGGGGGGCGCTTTTTGTTTGCAGTAGAGGCAGAGATGATTGACCTGCGGCCCATGTTTGCGCGTGTTGTTTCCGGTGACGTTTCATGCAACTCCTTCTGCAGTCACAGTCACTGCCTGGAGCATCCTGACCCGAATCAAAACTGGGTCCATGACCAACCAGGATTTTGGGTAATGACCAACCATTTTTGATTCGGGTCAGAAGGAGACTCCAGGTACTCGGTGTCTGGCCCTCTCCCCGTGGCCCCAGAGTGATCATTTCAACGCACTGTCTGGGAAACACATAATTTTTGGGCAAAAATGTGGAACATGTGTTTTGGGCAAAACTGTGGAACTTTTGTTTTTTTCCGTTTTTTTTCTTCGAGACGGTGTGGAAATTGCAGCTCCAACGGGGCCGCGGGGTACCCTTAGACTTTCCACTGGGGTCGGCCAACTTTCGGCACGTCAGATGCACCAGCAAAGTAGTGGGCAAACGAATGAAAAGTGAGCGCGAGCCGGGCTTTTGAAACTCATTTCAAGATATTAATCAACATGGAAGCCAAAAAGGAAGTTCCCGAAATTACTTCAATCAGCATGGTGTTTGGGTTCCATGCTCATTTGCAGGAGAGCAGTTGTGCTTGATTTGACCTCCTCTTTGCCAAAATTAACTTGGGCAAAGAAACATCTCAGGTGCGCGCAAAGGAGGCATGGTTCAGAGTGTGATCGCATCGGACGGCCACAACCATTCCAATCTTGCAAGGGCATTGCAGAAGCTGCAAAATAATGAACAACTAAGGTTTTTTAAAGGCGTGGAGACCCTGCCAGAACGACCTGCGAGCCCGTCAACAAACTTGTGATTTTTTTTGAGCCCGCGAGTGAGCCCTGTGCTTGGCAAAGACCTGGCGCCGCTTATAGCGGCATTGCAGACACTTGCTTCTGCGGCCCGCGATCATGGCCTAACTGCCTTGCCTTTTGAAAGGTACCTAGACTCAGGTAAAAGACCTTCTTCATAGCGGCTTCTCTCCCCTGCTTGCCCCTAAGCTTCCATTTGCTTAAGACTAGTTTTTGTTTTCCCGTTTTAAAAGGGAATCACTTTCACTGGAGATATATTTCTGATTTGTTCCAGGGTTTAAGCAAATGGAAGGTACGCTTCGATGTTTCTGCGGGTGCCTGGGACCCTGGCGACTCGTGAGCCCAAGGCCGGCGTGCCGCCCTGGCCGAGGTGCAGATGGGACGCATGAGCGACGTGCCTTTGATTGGTCGCTGGAGTCAAAGGGAACACAAGAGATACTGTGGATGGACAAATTCCTGCACCACATTGAAGCCCTTGAAAAGCAAATGTTTGTGGTATTTCCGCGGGAATCATCATTCCAGGGTTCTCAGGTGGTGCAGGATTTCGTCCATCCACAGTATGAAAAGGAATGTAGTGGACATGTCTCCATTCATGTAAGTTTCGTGAAAAGTACCTTCAATTTTGGCACATCTTTAGGCATGGCTGGGCCGAGCTCTGATCACGCACGGCTTTCCGATTTCGGGGCCTTGAGGACTATATGCGTGTCCAAAATCAAGCGGGTTGTGGTGAGTGGTCTTCGTTCTCTCAATGTGCAAGTTCTATCCCGTGACAGAAAGCACGGGTCTCCAACTTGTTTGGGGCTGGACAATGATTTTGCAGTCCTTGGTGTGTAGCTCTAGAATGCTATAATATCTCTATACGGGATTCACTCTATCGCACCCACAGGGCGCTTTGGGTGAACGAACGTTGAACGAAGCTTCTGAGGCGATGTAAGACGTTTCGCCCAGTAGCTGAAAACTCGCACAAGATCCTGGCCACGCGGCACAGGCCCAGCTTCAGGCATTGTTCTAGGCGACCTCGTGTTTTTTTGTAGTCTCCATGACCCTTGAAAAAGAAATGGGGTCATTACCCGAATTACTGGGGTCATGGACCTAGTTTTGTTTCGGGTCATGGAGACTCCAGGTTGGTTTATGTGAACCCCGGATTCATAAACCCCAAACACATGTTGCCGCCTTGGGGGCTGTGACGCTGCCTTACTTGAGTCACTTGCTCAAAGCCGATTCGGGTAAGTGAAGGTTAGTAAGGGGCAGTCCCAGCCAGAAATAGGTGCGGATATCCGCCTTCTTGATTTTTGAAGCATGGTTCTGGGTAGACAATTTCAATACCAGTTTTTGATTGTCACTCACTTGCTTCCTCACTTGGGTGTTCGTTGCCAAGTTAGGCGTTGTCGGTAACCTGGGTTCTGTCCCGCTAAGCCTCATTACTAGGTCCCCCAGCTAGGTGCCCTTTCTCTGCCCTTTTTGGGGGGAGGGTTCCCCTACTAAAACAGACTACAGAAAAAACTTGGTAATTACCCTTAGTCTAACCTCTCTACTTTCGCTTAAGTGGGGTTCGCCCAGTCATTAGTGGGTTATCACCCAGGTGGCTAACCACATACTTGGCGAATCGAACATCCGAGTTGAGAAAAACCCTTGCTCTGTTGCTGCATCTGGATTGAGAGCATCAGGTCATCCATGGCTTCCCATCTCCAGAACACTTATAGTTAGATCTTGGTACATTCGTCGCGGAAAACAGCAGGGGCTATTGCACTTGAAGCGACGTGTTCCGCACTTGCCCAGTTGCTGCATCTTGGATTTGCATTCGGATTGGGCGCGGCAACACCTGCTTCGGGACTTTTAACGCACATCCTGCAACACAACCGAGGTGCGCACAGCGTAGAAAAGAGTGTTCCATCGTCGACGATGCCATGTACCTTGAAGCGAAAACCCTGTGCGTTCAGCAACGCCATAGGGAATCTAGGTCCCCCAGTAGTGCCCTTTTACCTTTTTCGGGGAGGGTTCCCCTACTAAAATGGACTACCAAAAAGTTGGTACCCTTATTCTTACCTCTCAAATCTGGAGGACCTAGGAATGAACTGTCAAATACTCTGCCACACCCTCCAACTTCAGCTCCGTATCTACTAGTCTGGGCTCAACGAATCTTCAACTGAAAAAAGCAAATCAGCCTGTGCCCCATTCAAAGGGTCAGTTTCCTTAATTTCCCGTGTTTTTTTGTTTAAACATCACGTTGTTCCAATTAAAGGATCAGTTTCCTTTGGACATCTCGATATTCTTTCGTTTTCTGCCAGGGCCAGTCCATGCTCCTCACCGTGCCTCGAGGCTCATTCCAAATCGCAGAATAATGAGACGGCGTTGGAAAGCCTTGGGGTTCATGGAGTTGTGTTCCGCTTGTTTTCCCTTTAAAGCCACCGAAAAGGGGGTGCCGACTAAAAAAACACGAGCTACCCAGTCTGGAACTTCTCCTTAGTACAAATTTAAGCCTTACTTCAGGGCCTTCCGGGACCCCTTGGTTTCATAAGAAGGGTTCATTTTCGGGGAGATGCCAAGCCTGTCTAAACAAAAATCAAAAGGAGGCTGAGGGTCCCTCATCTCTCAAAGTCTTGGGCTTCCAGGCAAGCCATGGGATTGGCCCAATCCTTGGCTTGCAACCCGAACAACCAAGCAGTCCAACGCCAGAGTTCCTCACTTCCTGAGTTTCGCTTCTAGTGGCTTACCTTTGTATTTTGGACAATGAAGTGGGAGATGGGGGGGATGCACTAGTCACTAGGCACATATCCATCTCGACATGGTTTGCTACCTGCGCTGAACGTTCCTTGCGTCGGGATTCCCATGTGTTGAAGCACCACCAAGATGGTTTTCAGAGCACAACCTGTGCTGAACGACTTTTTGTTCAAAAATCACAAGCGGATGGGACAATGTGAGCCTAGAGGATGTGATTCATGAGGTGACGAACCATGCAACTTTCAGCCTGCCTACTGCATGATCCAATTGCCCGGTGGATTCCGCCCCTTTTTTACAACTTTTTCTTTGGACGGGTTCCCCTTTAAGCTCAAAACCAACCAACAAAAATACCAAGGTTTTCACGCAAGACCGCACATGGCCAGAGGAAACTTTGCAGGGCTATTGCCCTGGTGCCGTGGAACGTGTCTCAGGTAAGCTGGCTGGGTGTCACGCCCAAAATACCAAAATTGGAACCCTTGATTGATCTCACTATTCATGCAAACACAATCCTTTACTCCCGCTAAAACGCGGTTTTTCCAATATAATATCGCAGTATACGTCCGATCAACATTTCTTGTGGCCCAACCGCCCTTTTAGGCGGGCACGTGGCTGACTGATTTTGCAAACGCATGCTGACCACATGCTCCTGCCTCTTGGATGTAATTCATGCTTTGCCCGGTGGGCCTGATGTTTGGCTTCGGCCGGATGTGGGCTCTACTCACTCCAATTCGGGGGGGTGGGGTCTTGAGCAATGTGGCGGAACCAAAATAAGATGCCTTTTTCCCATGGCCGCTGGGCATCTGAGTTCCAAATTTCATTGGGGATGTGGGGGTTGCTCGGCTGATTTCTTTAGTTACTTGCTGACAATGAGTGCCCAATTGAAACTTGGCGGGTTCCAAAAGAACCCCACTTCCATTCACACGCACTCGGCCCCAGTCCGGCTAGCTCTCCTGTGCAAGCTCTGGCCGCATCTTTAGCCTTCTTTGGCGCAGCAGCTGGCGGCTTGGTCTTCCTCCTCGTGCACCGCGCTGTGGCTGCTTTTTGCTGGACAACTTGACCTGGCGCGGGCTGTTGATCTTTCACCTGGTGCACCCGCGCCGTGGCTGTGCTTCCTGAACAACTTGACAGCGCGCAGGGAGCGTGCAGGTAGTGATTTCCTGAGTTTCTCAGAAGCCAGCGAGCCTGCAAATACTCAAGACACCTGCACCGCCACCCTTCACAACACTTTTTACTTATCTTGTCCGGGCAAGTTTTCGCAATAATCAGGGTCTAGCTGTTTATTGTCCTTGGTTCGTTAAATGGGGATCTATCACTATACTGGACATGATTGCTTTTTCCAATGGGCTTAAGCAGATGGAAGCTTGGCTTCCTTTTGGAAAACCAACGACCACTTCGCTTGGAACCACCTGCTTGGAGCTGTTTCTCAGGTGCCTGCCGCACGGCCCGAGCCTCCGCAGGGGCCCTCAAAAAGGGTCCCCACGTTCTCGTTTGGTGTGGGTTATGAGGAGATTTCCTAAAACTTCAACAGAAACAAGAACAACCGTTTTTTTTGGTTGGGGCCCTATCTTTGGTTCAGAATGCCTTTTCTTTGGTTTGAAGGGAAGCCAAGCGCAAAGCATGAAAACTTGCTGGGGTCCCCCCGATTTTGAGGCGAAATCCGAGAAACACCATGGGGTGGCACCCGGCGAAACTGTTCTCCGCTCTGAAAAGGGCGTGGGCCCTCAATTGGGGGCCCGTTTTTTTTTTTTTTTTTTTTTTTTTTTTATATTTGGAAGCCAAAAGGAAGCCAATAATTTTGGAGGGAGTTGGCAACAAACCCACATTCAACCTTTGCAAGTACCTGTAACAACCATTTTATCTTGGAAAATTAGAGCCCGATTTGATTCATAACATGTTTGAACGCGTGGCTTTACCTTGGAGACCCGTGAGTTGCATTTTAGCGCGCGTTTAGTGTTAGCATTTTGGTCGAAGTGTAGTCATGTTCTTTGCCTGGCTGTGCTCAGATTCACAACCTATTGTTTCCTTCAGGAATAGGGTTGTAGACCAAGTTCATAGCGTCGGTTTTGAGCCGCTGGATTTTTTGAACGAACACCATCCAACAGTGCGTTGCACGGGGCATCGGTAGATACGGATGCCAGGCATTCTGAAGCCTTCCATGACGCTTGCTTGGAACAATTTGGCCTGTCAATATCGAGAATGAACCTTGGACAGCCACAAATCGGCACAATTTGGAGTTTGGAAACATTTGGCCGCCTCATAGTTGTGAAACCACAGCCAACTGCAATCCATGTACATAAGTATGTATACACATGTGTATTTTGTATAATCATATATATACATGTATATTGTGCATGTTTTGCAGTGCAGGACTGGTACCCGTCAGTCTAAACCGGACACAAACAGAGGTTGATAGGGTTACTCTGAGCCTATCGACCAACACCCACGGGTAGCTTTTGGGTTGGTTTCCTTCTGATTCCCTTTCCAAACATTGTTCCCCTTGGTTCCTGCTTATAAAATCATCACCCCACCAAGAGGCAACTTGAGGTAGGCCAAGGTGATGTTCAAACTATTTGCTGAAGGGATAAATGGGTGGGACATTTTTAGGCACCCTCCTTCCCCCCCTTCGGAGATCTAGGCCGCTTCGGCCTTGCAGTGCTGGGAGCTTAGCCATGAGGGTCCAGGGACTTTAGTCGTTTCGTTTTTTACTCGCGCCTCGGCTCCTTGTACCTAGCTGTAACACCGGGGCTCTCAGAAACTCCTCCTTTCGTCGCTTTTTGGGTTTGGACCGGTGTGGTAAATAAGTGTGGACTTGTTTGGGGCAATCCACTCAGGAGGTAAGTCTTCCGGTGCACCCACAGATACTCAGCTGACTACGAAGCAAATTTTGTCAGTACGTTGGTCACGTTCCAACCTAAACTATTTCTATGGGTGTGTCAATTTCTTTTTTTGGGGGGGGGGACCGTCGGACCCCCTGAAATGGCGGTTTTCCTTGTGTTCCCGATAAAAAAAAGCCAACCAACAATGGGTCCCCCCAAAAGAAAGACACACGTTCTTACAGTTTCTTTGGTTCAAGGGCAAAAAATGACTCGATGGTCCGAGTCAGCCCACCTAGTCCCCTACGGAAGATCCAAGCACATAATCCCCAAGCCACCCATGAAGCCACCACGTGCGTTGACTCAACTCTGGGGTCCACCAAAAAAGTTTGTTCTGAGAACTGTTTTGTACTTAGCCAATCTTGAGTTAAACAACAGGAAAAACAATACTTTCGGGACGCTAGGTGTCACATGCTCAGGTTGCCTATGTCCTATCACGTGAAAGCTCATAGGAAACAAAGTGTTTTGAGTTCGCACCCATTTTGGGGGCGAAAGGGAAACCAAAAGGAAACATCCATACGTTCAGGAAGCAACCCGACAAATTGTCCAAGAGGCAAAAGGACCCCAACGGGTCCCTAGTTTAGATGTCCAAAATAGGACACATCGCGTTCCAGCTACGTTCAACCAAACAGACCTGAGAGTTTTCCGAAAGGTACCCCGTCTCATGGGTCCCCATGGACGAAGCACTAATATGAGGACACCTATCGGGGAGGGAGAAAGAGGGGGAGAGGCCCTCCAAACACTTGAGGGACAGTATCAACTGATCAGTTACTCACACGGTTTTCTGATTGGCCTTGAGGACTTTTGCCAATAAGCCCTTATTTTGCCCTTAGTAACCCATGGAAGCACTGGCTATGGCGACATATCAGGCGAGCCTCTCGCCACCCCCGCGCGACCCTGAGAGCGTCCGATGGGATCTTGCGCCGAATTCGACCGGTCGAATTGGGTTGGGCGCCCTCAAGAATGAGGTGGGGCTTTTGACGTTGGAAAGTCCGAGGAATCGTTTGTATGGGCCATGCTCTGGCAAGGTTGAGGTATGTTCAACAGGCGGTAGACCTACCAGCTACACTGTGCGCAGCAAAAGCCCGATGATCCCTGCAATTTGTTTCAATAATTCTTGCTTCAGAACACCAGCAGGTCAAGTGGTGCGGGGAGCCTGCATGGCGTGAAAAAGGTTGGGATTTGCTTCTTGTTTGGTTCAAGCAGGCTCACCGGCGGGTCCAAGACTTTACACCACCGAAAACAGTGGCGGCAGCTACAAAGCGCATGAACGTGCAAATGCCATGGCCGCTTGTTTGCTTATTCAAGGTCAGTGCTTAAATTATAGTGTTTATACGCCAAGCACCGGCATGACTCAGCATGACGTCCTTTTTGTCTGCAGCAACCGCTGACTCACGGACTCTGTTCAGCTTTTTGTGATGCAACATGTTCCCTCAAGCTGTGTGTCTCTTTTGGAGGACCCTCCAAAATGGGTGGTTTTCCGGCCTTTTGGATTCCCTTCACAAACCCACAAAAATGATGACGGAACCCCTAAACAAAGACAAACATATATCCCAAAGTAGAGATGGTCCAATTGCCAGGAACAAAATAAAAGTTCGGGTTAGAACCGCCGCCCCCCCTCCCCCCCGATGGTTGTCTCTTCATGCGGCCGCTCATTCACTCGATGAGACAAAGCTCCAATTGCAATTGCAGCATACCTTTTGAGCACCAACCCTCCCATGAGGATTTGTGTAGGGGGTCTGACATATGCAAAAGACATAGGGCATGCCGGAAAGTTCTTGCACACAAAATTCGTGGAACTGTTCATGGAGACAATCACCTGGCTGCATATATCAAGATATACCAAGCGCGGCAAGCAGTAATACTATGAGTGAAACCGCACTACTTTGAAACCATGGGTGAGTTTGCTGGTATTTACAGGGAATGCGCCATTCCAGGGTTTCTTGGGTGGTGCAGGATTTCGTCCATCCACAGTAGGATTGGTATCTTATCTAGAGTGTTAAGAGGCTGCACTTCCGCTTTGACAAAGTCTGCCAGGGAACCCCCCTTGGCAGACCATGTTCCTCAGAGGATATACCGAATTGGACATGGGGGAACCTTCGAGCCTGGAAAAGATGACCCAGACAGAGGAGAAGAATGGTGAAGCGCTTCCTTTGGTTTTCTTCGTGTCCAAAGTTCTACCATTGCGATGGGAGCAATCCCAGTCACAATCAACGGCTGGTTTTAGAATGAAGCCAAAAACTATGCAAAGCCTTTCTGTGCTTCTTGTTGAACTACCTGGAGTCCATGACCCTTTCAAAATGGGGTCATTACCCGAAATTGAAAGGTTATGACCCCTTTTTCTAGGAGCCCATGCAGAGAAATTCCTCAGAATTGCCCAAGATCAGCAACCATGCTGCTATGCAGCATATGGTGGAGGCCAACGAGGAGAATGCGTGGGTTTTGGCTGGCCTCAGGCGCAATGGATTCCTTGCACTCAGACCTGATGCCACAGGTAGGATGAGATGGTGTGGTGAAGAAGATTGGGCCAAAGACAAGGTATTGGGATATAAGAGGATCAGCAAAACATGGCTGGACGACAGATTGGCACATGTTCTTGATGAAGCCCACAGAATCAATAAGCCCAATTGGGAGAGGATAGATGGAGCCAAAGAGCTGAGTGATCTCATAGAATGGGACTATGCACAGCCCACGACCTGCCTGCGATTGAGGATGAGGACTTGCCAGAATGGGTGCAGGCTGGTGAGTTTCAGCTGCCTTTGGATTGGTATATATTTGTTACTTCCGGTTGCCCCTCCACCTCCCCGGTATCTCTAGGCTCGCGGGCCGGGCCACGACTTGTTCGCTTGAGATGAGGCCTCCGCCGCTGGAGGACCCCCACTCCCCCAGCGCACTGCGGGTCCGCGATGCCTTGCGGCACCTGTCTCCGAGGCTTCGGCATGCGCCGAAGCATTCGGCGGGGAGAAACGGGGACCTCCCGTTTCTGGAGCCCGATGTTTGGGGGTAAGTGCCTGGAGTTTGCTTCTGACCCGAATGAAAAATGGTTGGTCATTACTGCTAAATAATGGTTGGCCATGGACCTATTTTGAAGGGGTCATGGAGACTAGGTACCGCAAACATCCAGTGCCGCCCTAGGGGTTGATTCCATGTCCGTCCATTCTTTTCAACCATCGCTATTTTCAACAAAACAGCCGTTTTCCACGGGTTTCCGGAGGTTTTCCGGAAAAAAAACATCCCTGGAAAGAATGGGGAAGGTACCCCTGGAAGTGCCTGATTTTCCTTTTGGAGAGAGGTGCCCTTTCAAATCAACAAACAAACAGATGCCAACTTGTTCATCCCATGGCGAGTGCAACACAAGCTCATCATGATATAGCTCCTTTTCTCAGGGATTTGTTTCGGACTGATTTTTCGCCATTTGCAGATCTGTAAAGAGAGGGACCTGCCTCTGCGAAATGAAAACACCTCTGTGACTCGAGCGGAATCTGGGTTGGAATCCCTGAAGCGAAAGAAGCGAGAGGGAGCCTGGTTGGATTGCTTCCTGCAGTTGGATGTGACTGTGGCGAATGCAAAAAACCGGAATTCCCAAAAGCAACCCGATCGGTAAGTGGAAACATGGTGGCCAAATCCTGCGGAGCCAGCCCCTCCTGTTTAATTTTGTTTTTAAGGACGCGCCATTTGACAAATCCCACAAGGGGCGGTAGAATTAGTTCGGGTAGTGACCCCATGTTTTAAGGGTCATGGAGACTCTAGGTATCGTCCACTTCATCTTTTTTCCGGAGCATCGAGGTGTCCCTTGACAAGCAGAAGCGCCCAACAGCATGTGGCGCTTTGTGCACCCGGAAAGGTGGATCGCTGGTCTCCCCCTTTGCTAAACAGAAAATTCCGCCGTGTACAGCTGATGGACAACGGTTGCGTATGGGGCCCCACTTCGGAGGGTTGCTCCTGTAATTGTCCTTGAAAGCAACCACCTGGCAGGTACCCTCAAGAAAAGACCACCCATATTCTTGACTGCTATTGGGTTGGATCTTTAGACTTTAACTTTTTGGTTGAAACCAAGGGGTTTTCCACTAAACCCACAAAAAGTTAAATTTTTTGCAGAGGGGTCAACAGCAACCAAGATATTCACCACCCTCAACTCTGGTTGGTCGTTCAAAGCACTCCTAAATGCTCAGCGCCCGTTTTTGTCTCTCTGGTTGGTAGGTGGAGAATCATGTACATTGAGAGCCAGTGATGTTGAAGGGGATATTCATCCAGACTCGCCGCTGTCCATTTCGTTTGTCACTGGACATTGGTTTTTTTTGGCTTCCCTGCCTCTGGTTGCCACAGACCAGCAGCTTCCCTTTTAAAGGTTTCTCAAACGGTTTGCCTTGGTGGCACCCTTTTTCCCTTTTATTTTGGTGGCTGACGCACTAAAAATGGTCCAAGCCCCAAAAAAGGGTTCCCTTTTTTTTCCCAGGGTCACTGAACAACTGAGTTGGGTATCAAACGTGACCACTAGTCACGCTGGGTTTCCGAGCGTTTGCTTGGCCAATGTTGCGACTCGCCTTTGTAAGCGCTTGCCAAAGGCGATGCGTGCGTGCGTGTGTGTGTGTGTGACATGGCTGTGGGTCAAAACCAATGGTACCATTTTGGGGTAGGTGCACCACCCAGTTTAGTCTATTTTAGTGGGGATTGGGATGTTCACTGGGGGTATGGGCTTTTGACCCATGGCTACATGGTTGCGGTTGTCCTCGAACTTGGTCCGCTGTGCCAAATGGTTGGGACCAGACAAAAACCGGAAAGCCGGCGGTGTTCCTTAATGCTGACTGCGGATTTAAAACACGGGGGTGACTGTGGTTTAGTGGGGATTGATCACTTTTGGAAGGGAACACCCCCATATTAATAAACTGGGGTTTATGAATCCGGGGTTAGCATTACCCATTCATCTCTTCTTGTTTCCCGCTGGAATTGAATAGAACTCAACAAACTCAGCAGAGTTGCAGTCAAAGCTTAGCTTTCGCGAGGCACGCTGGCATTTGGCATACCATACCATGAACCAGGGTTCCACTTTTGACTACCCCAAGATAGACGCAGAAACCCAGTGGTTCATTCCCCCCAAAACGAGAACTGGGTTTCTGCGTCTATCTTGGGCTAGTCAAGTGGACCCCTGGAGCTTGAGATGAGGACCTGGGAACCAGCGGCTTGCCAAGCTCTTGTGAGCCACAATCAAAACCGATTCGGGTAGATGAAGGTTAGTAAGGGGCAGTCCCAGCCAGAAATAGTTGCGGCCGCCTTCTTAATTCTTCACATGGTGCTGGGTAGACCATTTTAATACCGGGTTTTGATTGTGACTCTTGTGTTAAACTCACTTTGCGAGCCAACGGACATGGTGTTTGGATTTGTGGATGGTTGCGACATCCACTTCGCACGAAAGGAAGCCATGGTTGAAAAAAATGTTGCTGGGTATTTACAGGGGAATCGAATCATTCTAGGGTTTCTAGGGTGGTGCGAAATGGATTTCGCAACCATCCGTAGGTTTTGGTTCAGGCCATGACCGATGTCAGCAACCCGCCCATCGATGATATTGTTTGTTAATGAGGTGAGGTGAATCAAAACTGTTGACCTTCTGGTTTTCCCTTTTCGGTCCACGTTTTAGTAGTGGTCCCAAAAGGTGAACCCTCTATTTCCATGTCCTTTGGGTAAGTCAGAGCCCACCTGCATGTTGCACTTGGAAGTGACATGGGTATAGGTCAAAATTATACCGCTGGTTTTAGTCCTTGGTTCCATTTACCAGGGCAAGCCATTTGGAGCACTGTTTTTTCACCCACACCCACATGTCTGGGGACCAAAAAATCGCCAGGCGCGCTCTGTCTACGAGCCCCAGGACAGAGCACTGAGCCTAGTCCATCCTGCTTCTCTCAGGGCCTGCCCGAGTTCCTGGTACCAAGAGTCTCCCTCTTACCCTTAAAAAATGGGGTCTTACTGGATGGACGAAATGCTGCACCACTTTGAAACCATGGGAAACCCTTGTTTCTTGGTATTTACAGGGGAAGCATCTTTCCAGGGCTTCTTGGGTGGTGCAGGATTTCGTTCACCCACAGTAACCCCTTAATTTTGTGTAATGACCCTTTTTTTCTAGGGGTTATGGAGACTTTAGGTAGACCTTTTTTCGGCCATCCACTCGGGGGATTTGAGCCCCTGGTAAATTAGACGAATAACCACTTGCAGGCAGGGAGTTGACACCTTTGCGGGTCCAACCATGACCGCCTAGTGAGAGGAGCTGCAGGTGGTCATAAGGCTTGCTTGGATGGTTTGGGGCTTAGCTAAATGGCTAGTAACCCTTGTTGCAGGACCTTACAACCATTGTAAGTGGGTTACAACCAGGGTTACCAGCTGGAGTCTCCATGACCCTTTCAAAAGTGGTGTCATGACCCCATTATTTAGGGTACTGCCCAACCTTTTTTTTGGGTCAGAAGGAGACTCCAGGTAGTCATATAGCGATTCCTCCAGACAAGCCAAATGTGCGGCGATCCCCTCAGCAACTGGATCGCCAGTTGCGAACCGCTGTTTTTCATCCGCTTTACCATCCAAAAACCAGCAACAGTGGCTGAAAAGAACAATCGCAACTTGGCGATCTAGGAGTGGGTTTGTAGCTCTCAAAGAATGAGAAGCTGACGGATTTCTTTATGCAAGTTGCTTGGGGGGGTCCACGAGACCACGACCCGGCTGCACCCCCTACTCCAAATGACTATATTTTTTAGGGTTTTTTGTAGAACACCTGGTTTTTCAAGGTAAGCGCTTTGTTTAGTCGACATAATACCCCAAAAACTGTGGGTATTTGGAGTCGGGGGTAAGCTGGAGCACTCTATGACCCCCGCCCCCTTAACGGCATTGGGAGATGGAGATCTCCAGTATGCTTCCATTTTCTCTTGGAGTTGAGTCCCGAACCCCCCAGCCCACTCCCCCCGTAAGGTAGGGGGGATATCGGAGTTAGGGGCTTGTTTGGTCGGAACTCCCCCGCTGAGGTGCTCTTAAATTTGTCGTTTTGTTATGTTGTTGTTTCTTTTGGCCCATGTGGGTCTGTCCTTTTTTGTCGGAATCGGACCTTTAAAATGGCTTGACGGTTTTCCCATTGGTTTGCTTTTAAAACGGACCAACACGGGGCACAAACTCCAAGAAGACAGAACCCATGTTGTTTGCCCTCACGGCGCCCGGCCAATCTATTTTTCCTTCAATCAGTTCAAGCTGAGAGAAGGGTTTTGGCAAGCTTTGCTTTTAGGGAAGCCTGGTTGGAAAGGTTTTCCCTCCCGTCCCCAGGTTGCTTCCCTCCCGTCCCCGTTTCCAGAAAGTGTTTTTATTGTTTTTTCTCCGGGGGGGGGGGTAGTGGTTGGGTTTCAATTCAACCTCTCATTCCTGAGTTGCGTTTCGGACTTTGACACTGTTTGGGTTTGGACCATTTTATATAGTGGTAAACATAACTATATCTACTTTTGCTGGCCAATCCACTCGATCGGAAGTGAGGAAGGTTTTTAGCAAACGATTTTTCGGGGAAGCCTCCTGTCCGGTACCTGAATCCTCAAACTACCCACATAAAAGGGAGGTCACCCCATCACTGTGTGGCAATAGCCCATTTTACTGGGAATCTTGCGAGTCCAGGTAGCTGCAAAGCGGCAGGCAGTTTTGTTGCCTGCGCTCGCCCAAGATGTTTTTCACGCTCAGCCTGGACGTGACTCGAGTGATGAACTGTTCCCCAACACCCTTCCGCGTCCCGGTTCCATATCTTTGGTGCAATTTGCTTGGAGGTTAGGACTTTAACTTTTCGCCAACTAGTGGGTTTTCCATTAAACCACTAAAGGTTAAACTTTTAGCAGGGGAGAAGAAAGCAACCGAGATATGCTTTGCAAGACCAACCACACTTAGCCTCAAAACCACAGGTAGATTACCCCAAGACTAACATGGAACCTCCCAAACAGACCCCGAAATGGAAGACTTGGTTCCATCTACAGAGGCCTTCGGGAGATCTTCCATGTTAGTCTGAGCAACCGAAACTAGAGTAGATCAGGGCATTCCTTGTTCCTCTACTTGCAATGGTTAGAGCGACCGTTTGGCAGCATTGATCACAACCGTTGCACTGCTAGGATACTATGTGAACCAAGGGTTTCCGTCCGCAGACATGGTCACACGCCGAGTGAGCTGACCCATCGACCCATAGCTCTCTGATATAAGCTTTCATTAGTTTTTGTTTATTTCTTGGGGGGTACCTTCCCCATTCAATCCAGGGATCCTTCTTTTCAGGAAGCCATGAAAAACCCAGGGGAAACAGCCGGTTTTTGAAGAGAGCGATGGTTTAAAAGAATGGGGAATCAACCCCTAGATTATTATTCTCCCCTGTTGGTTTAAAGGGAATCTGTCAGTACCGAAATATGTTTTGTTTTCCAGTGGGCGAAAGCACATGGAGTAAGCCCCTAGTTTATGGTGATTTTATCATGGCTGTATGAGCATCCGGTCACTTTGGGGCCATGACCATATGTTCATCCATAGCCAAAACAATTTTGAAGGGTACCCCTGTTTGTGGCTTTAGTGTGAAACCAAAAGGACCACTGGAGCCATTTTTGGGGTACCCAAAGCAGAAAAGAAAGCATACATAGGTCTTCAACCGGTTCTGAGACGTTCGCTTGCGCTCGGCAGGATGCAGCACGGATAGGCTCTCAGCGCACCAGGCGAGCCCGTAGGAAGTGGCCCGTCCTCGTCTCTTTTTTTCAGGCAAGATGGTTGAACACATTATTTTGACGGTTTGGTTCGTCAAAATCAGCAACTGGGATTGGTTCCCTTCAACCTATCATTTAGAAAGGGTGACTTTGATGATGGTGAAACAGTGGGGCCAGTAGATCCGCGGAGTCTGGTTGCTGGTCATTAGCGGAAGGAGTGACTGTGACCATATGAATTGCCTTCAATGCCGAGCACAGGCCCTTGCAAGAGCATGCGAGCACTTGGAACCGGGTACCGGCTTATCCCCGCGTGAGCCACAATCAACAAAATGGTAAATGAAGGTTCGTAAGGGGCAGTCCCAGCCGGAAAGAGTTGCGGAAATGTCGGCCTTCTTAATTATTGAAGCATGGTTCTGGGGATCGACCATTTTAATACCTGGTTTTGAGCAAGTGACTCACGTCTCCTGACTACCAGCATGCCCTCGTGCCCACCCACCTTTTAGCCCTGTCCCAGTCCGATGAGCCGGCCTGCAACCGAAACACACCAGAAACACGGCGGTCTCATGGCCGTTGCACTTTTCCCCATTGCTGCTTGTGGTTTCGTGGTTGAAACCCAACCACTCAACTGCTAAAGTATTCAAAACTGGGTGGTTGAGTGGTTGGGTGGTTTGGTTGCTCCCCAAACCAACTGGTTGAGTGGTTGGGTTTACCAAACCAACCAACCACTCAACTGCTCCCCAAACCCACCGTGCACCAAGCTATCTCCAGGGCTCGGAAAGGCACGGCGTCTTTTGGCCAGGGAGGGGGCGGATTTGCTGCCGGTTTTGGGAAGGGGCTCCCCTAAGTCAAGCAACCAAAAAGGAGAGCCTGTTTTTTCCCATGGAAATCCACTGGGCACCTGAGAGTTGCGCCATTGCGGATTTCAGATTTCAGGGGTTTCCCATTTGGAGACTCACTCAAATTGTTTGTCAGGTGCCTGTTCGGGGCTGGTTCCAATTTTTCAGGTTACCCTAACTTGGTGGTTTCGATTTTGATGGGTTTTGGAGGTGAACTTGAAACCCTTTACCACCAAACCACCAAGCCCCAAACCATGAATTGGGGGAGGCTGAATGATTGCTCGCAATTATCAATTAGCAGTGCGGCAAAAGTGATACTGTGGATGGACGAAATCCAGCGACTCAAGTTGAAACCAAGCAGCTTGATCGAGGCCTCGACACAGGAGGCTCGGGCGAGATTCCAGCCTGAGGCATATGTGGGAGGGACATACTTGCTGGTGCGATAGGAAATGCGGAAATGAACCTAGGATTCCCTTAAGGGAAATAGGGGTGATTCCCTCATTCCCTGCTGAGCATCAGCAAGCATAGGGGACTCAGAAGGAAAACGTCCAGCAAACACCAGCAGGGTTCCTTTAAAAAACATTTTGCCCATTTGAAGCATGTTGCTTTTTCCACCAATATAAAGGGAACCCACCATCTACAGTGCAATGTTCAGGTGTTTTTCATGCAAGGATCCCTAGGTTCCTTGTCCTTTCGGACATCGGCAAATAATTTGACCATGGCTCACCTTCCGCTCGTTTCCGCTCGTTTGAAGCGAAGGCTGCATCCTCGAGCTCGAAGATCCGTTTCGACGGAATCGCTACGGACAGATTCGCCAGGCTTCCTTCAATGAGCACTCCACAATCCAATCTACACGTGTGTTTTCTTGCAATGAACATCATTAATTCCGTGTGTAACTGCACGAAGACTAAAAACAGCGGATAGTCCGTTGAATTGGAAGATGTTCAAATAGAACGTATCAAATTAGAACGTCTCAAATGTCAGAATGGAAGGCTGGCGACGCTTCAGCCGCGTTGCCCCTTTAGGCAAGTTAGGAATTTATTGCTGGCCATCGCCATCAATGTCAGGCCAAAGCAGTTTTTTCCCGCAGGCTCCTGTTGCTTCATGGACCCCCTTTCCAGCTTCCATGTGCGGGTTGATGATCAATATTCCTCGCCCCCCATATGGCCATATGGGTAACTTTTCCTGTTTTTTCAGTTCCAACCAATGGTCATCTCATGTAAAGGAGCTTCTCTAGGTTCCCCAGTAGTGCCCTTTTACGCTTTTTCGGGGGAGGGTTCCCCTTCTAAAATAGACTACAGAGGAAAGGGTACCCTTATTCTAACCAGTCACTGGAGGACCTAGTTCTGATCAACCCGAATGTCAACTTGGGGAAGAACATGAGCGGAACTTGGACAAATGAGAAAAGCGGAGCCATGAGACGGACTGCTTTGGCGGTTTTCCAATGTCGAGGACTAGGTCTGCAGCTTTGAGACGTGGTGTGAGCAGTCAATCAAGTCGGGTGTCAATCATGTCAACCATCACAACAATCACCATATATATATATATATATATATGTATATACACATGTACATATAAGTATATTGTTTTGGGCACACCCTACGTCCAAATGGTTCTTGAAATGCATCAGGCATTTAGTGTCTGTTTTTACACTAGGCAGGTCCAGTGGAGAGCATACCAGTGGGGTAGTTGTGTTTTTGATGGGTCCCCATCTGTTTTGCAGTTGTTGATGGTCCCCTATCAGTGTTTGTGGCAATCTTGGTGGGCGAGGAACAAAAAAACGTTGAGGCTGTTTGGGCTCAGCGTAGACGTCTTCAGAGCTCAGACAAATCACAAAGGGCGCATTGGCAGCGGTTGGGTTGCGTCGTTCGTTGGTCCCTTGCTCCTGTGCTTCTGCCACTCACTGCTAGTCAAGCATCAATTTCAAGTTCTGAACAGGTGCTTTTTTGTTCTCAACCATGGGCCTTGTACCCTGGTTTTGCGGCTAGTGTTTGGAGAAACTAACAAAAACAGCGACGCGTTCTCGAACCGCGGTCTCACCTCGAGTTCGAGAACTCGAGGATCGTTTAGCATATGTTTCCGGGGCCCTGGTCGCGCGCCGCTCGCAGCTACTTGGACGCTGGACGCCAAGGTACTGAGGACCAAGCCAGCTTGGGCCCAAGCTCAGTTATAGCTCAAAATCCTAGTATACGTTGAGTCTCCATGACCCTTAACAGATGGGGTCATTACCCAAAATTAAGGGGTTCCGACCCCTTTTTCTAGAGGTCATGGAGAGTCCAGGTATAAGGATCTAACACATTGGTTTTCATGAAACTCCGCGCAGTTGGTCGGATTGCGAAACACAAGTCATTGTTGGGGGGTTATAATTAATTGCGGTGTGTCAGTTGTAAGATTAACGCCGCCCTTTTAGACAGGTGTCGCTTCCTCCAGGAAACCACAACGGGATGGGCAAGGTGTCGTTTCAGATGTGCTACTGTGGAGGGACGAAATCCTGCACCACTTTGAAACCATGGTTGAAACCATTGTTTGTTGGTCTTTGCAGGGGGAATCGAATCATTCTAGGGCTTCTTGGGTGGTGCAGGATTTCGTCCATACACACCCCTCAAGTGATGATTCCGCACCAAACCCAGGGACACCCCCTATTAAGAAACTGGGGTGGATTACAATGGATTTCGCAACCATTCCGGAAAGGGGCGGTCCAGTCGGTTTTCGCTGCTAGCGCGTGCCGGCCAGAGAAGAGGAGTCGAAGATGTCATTTCCAAAAGGCGCCTTCGCTGTGGGCGGCGGGGATGGCTATCAACCTTTGGAGATCGTACCTAGAGTCTCCTTCTAATGACCCCATTTTTAAAGGGTCATGGAGACTCCAGGTAGACACGCATGCGGGTGCCTGGAGTCTCCTTCTGACCCTTAAAAAATGCCGTCATTACCAAAATATTCGTTGGTCATGGACTATTTTTACTTCGGGCCATGGAGACTCCAGGTATTCCTGAGGGAAGAATCACCCCGGTTGGGTTGATCTTTTGGCAAGTGCGAAAGCAAGCTTTCGAAGGGAGTTGCCTCGTGGGTCGGTTTCAGAGCTTGGCTGTTGCATGCATCGTTTCCTGTAAGGGCTGCTTTTGCGTCGCTTGGGTGGACAGCATGCACATAGTTGCTCCTAAGCTTCTTGTTTTGTTGTCACGTTCAACACTCTGTGTTCCGCTGTAGAAGATGCGCAAATGCGAAGCTTCCCAAGGTGTCCTGCGGGTACAACTTTGACCTTGCTCGTTGGCATCTTCGAGAGCATGGCTAAAAACGAAACGCCTAAGCAGAACCAGGGACGAACGAAGCCTCTTCGGTGTAGAAGGTAACTTGTTTTAGCAAATGAGGCAAATGCAATGCAACGAGCGATTGTAAAGACAAACTGCACAGAGGTGAGTGGCGGGGGAGTTGGAAAAACAGGCATTTGCATGGCACATGGGTCTGTCTTTCTTTGGGTAGCCTTTTAGAATGGTGCTCAAGGGAAATCTTGGAAAGGTCACCACGCATTTTGGGTTCCCAACTAAAGAGACACGCCCAGAATCTGGTTCACAACAAGCCCTCCCCCATCCCCCCCCTCCCCCCCCCCCCATCCCCCCCATCCCCCCCATCCCCCCCATCCCCCCATCCCCCCATCCCCCCATCCCCCATCCCCCCCATCCCATCCCCCCCATCCCCCCCATCCCCCCCATCCCCCCCCCTCCCCCCCCCCCCCCCCCCCCCCCCCATGCCCCCCTCCCCCCATCCCCCCATCCCAGAGCTTCACAACAGGCATTGCAGGCGCATGAACCTCGAGAGCTTAGCTGGTCTTCAAGGGTTGCTCTAGGAACTGGACGCGGTTCTCGTGGATCCGCTGGAGGATATTGAAAGAGTACCAAAAGGAGTACTCAAAAAGAACCTATAGGGGGAAGAACGGGTGAAATCCACAAAAAGCGCGTCCACGCCGTTTTCTGGAACTGCAGTCGAGCCACCATGACAATAGAGATTCTCGCCAGTTCAGATTGATTTTCTAAGCAGTTCGTCTTTGGGAGGCTGTGAAGGCATACCCCGCGTTCTCCTCGATGGGCGGATGGGCGGCCCTTAGGCAACCCATGGGCGCCCCAACGTTTTCAAAGGCCTGCCTAGAGTTTCCATGACCCCTAGAAAAAGGGGTAACCCCTTAATTTGGGGTAATGAGCTGGCATTTTTGAAGGGTCATGGAGACTCCAGGTGTTTGGCTTTCCAGATCGATGTTCAGTTGCTTGGAATGTTGAACACCGCATTTTCCTTTGATTGAGATGCGATAGATTTCGACTGGTCGGCTTTTGGAATTCCGCTTGCCATCCTGGAGTCTCCATGACCCTTTAAAAATGGCTGGTCATTACCCAAAAGTAAGGGGTTACCTCTTTTTCTAGGGGTCAGAAGGAGACTTCAGGTAGAGATTTATCCCACAGCCATGGTTACCCCTTTCTCTGGAGACCGGGTGTTGCTGAGCTTTGCAGCGGTAAAACTACTTTTCAGGAACCACCCCTTCTGTTTTTCTGGTCATGGAGACTCCGGGTGTTTGGCTTAGTCTCCATGACCCTAAAAACTGTGGTCATTACCCCCAAACAAATTGAGGTTATGAGTTATGACCCCTTTTTAAGGGTTTTGACCCCTTCTTAATGCGTTATGACCCCTTTTTGTTCGGGTTATGACCCCTTTTTCTAGGCGGCAAAAGGAGACTCTCGGCTCTCTGCTTGAAGCGCTGCATGTTCGATTGCTTCGGATGCCGCAGCCTTTGTGAGCGAGACCCGCTCGGCTTTGCGGCGTTCTTCGAAGCTCCCCCCTTATTTAACGGGTCAACGGGTCCAATGTGGATGAAATGTCTCAAGTGTAAAACGGGTGGCTCAAAATGTTTAAGAAGTTGGGGCAAACCGCAGGTAGTGTTTTTTTTCGTTTAGTAAGGGGGCCATTCTAGTACATGTTTATGAGCCACTGCCATGTAAGTATCATATCCTTCAAAGGGGCCCCCAGTTCTTCAACGGGTCACCCGTAAAAAATTCGAGGACTCCATCCGCGGGGAATCGAGGCTGTCAGAGGAATTTGGGAAATCCGCGGGGAATCGAGGCCGGCAGGGCCACGTCCTGCTAAGCCGCACGCCCCATGGAAAAGGGAGATCCGGAAGGCCACCATTTGGGCTTCACCAACCTGGCGAATGTCAGGCGGGGGCCTCGGATTTTTCAGATCGATTTCCAGGTCGTTAAACCGCGGGGCGGTTGTGGTGCGCGCACTGGATATTTTATTTTTTTTCCGGGGCTCTCCGGGGCTGGAAAAAAGGCGGTTTGGAGGTTGAACGGGTCTGGGCAGATGTCCCTTTTTGATTTGTGGAAGTGGTTGACACAGTAATGGAAACCCCTGTTTTCGTGGGGTGTCCCTGGTTTTAGTGGCGATTTATCACATAGTAATAAACAGGGGTTGATCAATAGGGGGTCAACATTGATGGTCTCTGGGCGGTGTCCCCAGAAGGGCCTTGTCTTCAAGGGACCCCTGACCAGCATGGGGCCATCTTAGGCAGTGTACCTGCCGGTGGGGCGTCTGAGGGAGACACAACTCATTCACTTTGCCATCATAGCAACGGAAAGCTCTACCACCGCCCTAGTGACGAGCGCCGGGGCGGGGGGTGTCAAAAAACCAGAAGCTCATTCTTTGCAGCGGCCAGACGGTGCCACTTCTCCTGCCCCAAATGACCTGCCTCCTTTCCCTCAAGAAAAAAAACTAGAACATCCACGAGGGCGCTGAAAAGAAGCGGGACATGCCAGGTTTTCTGTGGGTCTAGATCCTTCCTGCGTTTGGCATGGTCCATGGGGGGTTCGGTGCGGGATACTCCTCGTTCCATGTATTTCTCAGCCCTTTAAGCTTTAGACAGCTTCAGGCGTTTCTGATGGTAAATGAGGCATGGGTTTAACGTACCCTTGGCCCAAAGTTCCCTTGGGTAGCTTTCTTCAAGATCTCAAGAGTCTTTTGGTCTGCGCCTACCGATGTACCATGCTTGTTTGTTTGGAGGCTTGCCCATCGATCTCGGCCCTTGGTTATGGAGTCGGGCAATGTGGACCCCGGAAAAACCAACGGCCTGGAGTCTCCATGACCCGAATCAAAAATAGGTCCATGACCCCATGATTTAGGGTAATGACCAACCGTTTTCACACATTCATGGAGACTCCAGGAGATTATTCATAGGGAGGCGAAAAAAAAACGGGTTTAGTGGGGAACTTTGGACCATGTTTGGAGGAGCCCCCACCCCGCTATTGATATACAGGGGTTGCTGAATACTGTGGATGGACGAAATCCATTTCGCACCACTGAAAAAGCATGGTTAAAACCCGTAAAGTTTCTTGGCATTTACGCTGGGGACTCGACTTCGAAGCCAGGGTTTATGAACAGCGCGTTGCATGCATTTCGCGTCCATCCACAGTATGAATTCACCCCAATTTATCAACAGGGGGGTGGGGGCTCGTCCAAACATGGTCCAAAATTCCCCACTAAACCCAGCGACGCCTCCCTATTTATAATATTGTTTTATGTTTTTCCCCCGGGGTCCACAAAAACCCGAAGGGACCGGGTCCCACGGCAATCTCGGATCGCTAGGCACGACAAGCCTCGGGTGCCCGAAGAACCCACGCTGCGCGGGGGCCCGGCAACGGCTTGCGCTGGCGAACCGGGGTTTGTGCGTGGCCCTACCCAAAAAATCAGCGGTTTTCTCTCGGTTTTCTCGAGACAAAACAGAGAAGCATCCTAGCCTGGAGTCTCCTTGAGCCGTTAAAAATAGCTCCATGACCCGGGTAATGACCCCATTTTTCAAGGGTCATGGAGACTCTAGGAGGATGTTTCTCTTTTTGGTTTGCATGTTTCTTGGAAACGTGTGAAGAAGCCTCGAGAGAACCCAACAAACACATTGCCGCTATGAACTTCCGGTGCCTTTCCTTTTCGACCAGTATACCAACACAAAATATGGCTGTGGATAAACACAAACAACAGGACACATAATCGGCGCAAAAAGGGTTGCCCGATCAGCATATGCCAAAGAATCAAAAGCCAGCGGCTTTCTGGCGACCCCAATATCTCTTTGCGGGGGTCCAAGCTTGGCCCAGGAATCTTCCACGTTAAGGATATTGTGTTTTTCCCCTTTTTGGTTTTCAAGGGAATCTATCAACACAGGTTGTTTCTTCTTTCTTTCTTTTTCTTCCCAGGGGGACGTTTCTCACCCCTTTTTCGGGGAGGGTTCCCCTACTAAAGCAGACTGCCGAAGACAAGTTGTTCTAACCTCTGTACTGGAGGACCATCCACTCGGCAAGTGGGATCCACTCTGGTGTCGCATTCTCGCAAAATTCAAACGCTAATTACGGCCTGAGGGTGTCTGAGTTCATGGACTTTACCTTTGTTGGGTTTGGTTCCCAATTCAGTGGCAAATGACAAGTTCAGGTATAAAATGGCCCATTTCAGTGGCAAATCAGAAGTTCAGACTTGTTTTGGACCATTTCAGTGGCAAACAAAAAAATCAAGATGTTTTTTGGCCAATCCACCCAGGAAGTGAGGATGTTAAGATCGGCATATTTGGAAAGACTATAGGTATTATAGGGATGGTTTGGTTTCAATGAAGGTTCCATGAAGGAAATCCCGATGGCATTTCGACAGGGTGTTCTACGCTTTGTTGAGGAAACCAATTTCCTGAAAATTTCCATGACCCCTAGAAAACGGGGTCCATAACCCCTGTATTTTGGCTAATGACCCCATTTTCTAAGGGTCATGGAGACTCCAGGCGGACCATGTTGGTGGCAAACAGACAGTTGGGACTAAGTGTTTTGGCACATCCACTCGATCGGAAGTCAGAAGAGTTCTTAATCGCAGGTCGTATCCCTTTCACAACACCCAGCGAAACCCTAGACTCGGGCGCTCCAAACAACCATCGATCGGCAGAGACACCACGGCTTGGGAAGCATTTACAGCTCAGTTCTTCAAAACCGGGGGTTTGGTCCCGGTATGCCGATGGTTACCTTAGGCTTTCATTCCTTTCAATTGCAGGTCCAAACTGGGGCCGTGAGGTTTTTGCAACGCCTGTTCGTTTTGTTTCTCAGGGATCAATCAGGCAGCCATATATGATTTGTTGTGTCGAAAGGCCGCGAGCATCAAAGGAAGAGCCGTCAAAGGATTGTCGAGTTTTCACGAATTGAGACACAATCAAATCACGGGAAGGTGAAGCTTAAAAGGTGACACTCCCAACCATAAATAGGTGCGGCCGCCTTCTTCATTCTTTACTATGGTTCTGGGTAGACCATCTAATTGCCGGGCTTTGATGACTCAATTGTCCCTTGCGGTGATCCCGCAGCCCTTATAAACGGAATTGGGGGAGGGGGCTCGAACAAAAGACTTGGGGATCCCCACCCCTCCTCCTTAACTTCCATTTGTTGCTCCCCAAACCCAACGTCGACCAAGATTTCATACGCTGTTTCTATGAGTTTGGTTCCGCCGTTGAGCCAAGTCGGTTCCGCTAAACAATTATTTTTATTGCTCCCCTTCCAACGTCAAAGTCCCCGTGTGGCCAAACCCCCGGAGGCGCAGAGCCACCCCCCGCAGCCCTGAGGGCCGTGCCGCATGAGCCAGTGCTCTCCGAGAAGTTCCAGCGCGTGCTGCAGATGCTTGTGCAAGAGCAACGTGGAAAATGCGGGGTCTGCGGACCAAAAAAAACACACCTGGAGTCTCCCTCTGACCCTTGCAAAATGGTTGGTCATTACCCAAAATCCAGGGGTTGTGACCCCTTTTTCTAGGGGTCATGGAGGCTCTAGGCATGTGGGGGGTAAAAAAGACACATGTGGCATGTGGCTCAAAGTTAAACGATCGGAGGGGCAAACCGCAGGCTTTGGTCCACGTTTCCACTTGTCAGGGTTCCATTTGGTACCGGCTTTTTGAGCCATTTGGGGGTGGATCCATATTCCGAATTCCTGGGCCCCAAAATGGCCGTGGGTAGCTTTGTTAGAGTTGATATGATACCCCTTGTCTGGGTCTGTGAGAAATCCTTATGTGTACTGTGGATGGACAAAAACCTGCACCAGTGAGGATGGATAAAATCCGAAACGCTGAAATAATCCACCTAGCATTTGGTGCAGGGTTTGAGTCTTGTTTTTTTTTTTGTTTTGTTTAAAGAGTTTGTACTGCTAGGTTCGTTTAAAACGAAAAGCCGGGAGGACAACCGGAATCCATTTTGGGGTCCCGGTCTGATTCCTAAAGAACACGAGCCGCCCAGAGCCACGTGGTGGAGAACCCTTCAGCCCCGCCTGCGGGGCAAGGCCCCCAAAGTGGGATCGATTTCCGCCGGATTTGGATTTCCGCCTCTGGGAAATCCAGTGACCTCTCTTCATGGCCGTTGTGGGGAAACATTTTATAATCATTTTTGATCTTATTGTGGTTTAGTGGTTGAAATCCAACCACTTCACTGCTAAAATTTTATTTTTGTTGCTCCCCAAACCCAACGTCAACCAAGTCTTCTGGCATGCCAACGGAATCATTACCGTGGCCCAAGTTGGGATCGCAACGGGTGGCTTCAACCACGAAAAGCAACGCGAGGCGGACCGCGTCGACGACCGGTCCTAAAGGATGTTTGTTGATTTCTAGGGGTCATAACCCCTGAATTTTGGGTAATGACCGCACTTTTTGAGGGTCATGGAGACTCCATATCTATATTATATATATATGTATACATACATAATCATGGTTGTTCCCCACTAAGTACTGGTTATCGGGTTATATAACCATGGTTGTTCCCCACTGACTAGTACCTGAACTCCCGGGGCTTTTCTTGTTAGCCGAGGCTTATTTCAGCCTGACTTATTTCACCATGGCTTTTGCGCCCTATATCCGTATATTTTTTTTCTAGATACATAACCATGGTTGTGCCCCAGTGACTATAAGCACCTGCACCCAGCAGGGGCTTTCTTTTTTTGGGCCAAGGCACGTCTCCGAAGTGAACTTCTTGGAGTGCGAGCTGCGGGATCTGCGGCGGAAGGAGCCGGCAGCGCAGCCCGCGCAGAAGGCGCGGGGGCTCGGGTCTCGGGGCGGGCTCGTTGGTTAAAAGGGGGGTCGCTTGGTCTTTGTGTGTTTTGTTTGTCGTGTCTTAGTTTTTCCTGGCAGGGAATTGAAGGGTCGCTTGGTCTTTGTGTTTTTTGTTTGTCGTATTTTATTTAGTTTGTTCTGCAAGGGTCTCTCGGTCTTTGTTTTTTGTGTGTGTCGTGTTTGTTTTTTGGAACTTGGTCTTTGTTTTTTGGTTTTTGTGGAAGGGAAGGGTCGCTCGGTCTTTGTGTTGTTTGTTTGTCGTGTGTAGTTGTTTGGAAGGGAAGGGTCGCTTGGTCTTTGTGTTTTTTGCTGTTGTCGTGTGTAGTGTTTGGGAAGGGAAGAGTCGCTTGGTCTTTGTGTTGTTTGTTTGTCGTGTGTAGTTGTTTGGAAGGGAAAGGTCGCTTGGTCTTTGTGTTTTTGTTTCTTGTGTGCTATTTTGTTTGGAAGGGAAGGGTGGCTTGGTCTTTGTGTTTTTTGTTTGTCGCATGTTTTTTTGGAAGGAAGGGTCGCTTGGTCTTTTGTTTTGTTTGTCGTGTGTTTGTTTTTTGAAAGAGAAGGGTCGCTTGGTCTTTGGTTTTTTTGTCGTGTGTTTTTTTGGAAGGGAAGGGTCGCTTGGTCTTTGTGTTTTTTGTTTGTCGTGTGCTATTTGTTTTGGAAGGGAACGGTCGCTTGGTTTTTGTTCTTTGTTTTGTCGTGTGTGTTTTTTTGGAAGGGAAGGGTCGCTTGGTCTTTGTGTTCTTTGTTCTGTCGTGTGCATTTTTGTTGGAAGGGAAGGGTCGCTTGGTCTTTGTTTTTTGTTTGGCCTCTTTTTTTGAAGCGAAGGGTCGCTTGGTCTTCGCGTTTTTTGTTTGTCGTGTGTTATTTCTTCGGCAAGGAAGGGTCGCTTGGTCTTTGTTTTTTGTCGTGACGGTCGCTTGGTCTTTGTTTTTTGTTTGTCGTGTGTTATTTCTTCGGAAGGGAAGGGTTGCTTGGTCTTCGTGTTTTTTGTTTGTCGTGTTTTATTTGTTTTGGAAGGGAAGGGTCGCATGGTCTTTGTTTAGTTTTTGTCGTGTGATTTTGTTTTGAAAGGAAGGGTCGCTTGGTCTTTTCGTTTTTTTCTTGTGGTGTTTTTTTGGAAGGGAAGGATTGCTTGGTCTTTGTTTTTTGTTAGTCGTGTGTGTGTGTTGTGGAAGGGAAGGGTCGCTTGGTCTTTGTGTTTTCTGTTTGTCGTGTGTTTTGTTTTGGAAGGGAAGGGTCGCTTGGTCTTTGTGTTTTTGTTTGTTGTGTGCTATTTTGTTTGGAAGGGAAGGGTCGCTTGGTCTTTGTGTTTTTTTGTTTGTCGTGTGTTTTTTTTGGAAGGGAAGGGTCGCTTGGTCTTTGTGGTTTTTGTTCTGTCGTGTGCATTTTTGTTGGAAGGGAAGGGTCGCTTGGTCTTTGTTTTTTGTTTGGCCTCTTTTTTTGAAGCGAAGGGTCGCTTGGTCTTCGCGTTTTTTGTTTGTCGTGTGTTATTTCTTCGGCAAGGAAGGGTCGCTTGGTCTTTGTTTTTTGTCGTGACGGTCGCTTGGTCTTTGTTTTTTGTTTGTCGTGTGTTATTTCTTCGGAAGGGAAGGGTTGCTTGGTCTTCGTGTTTTTTGTTTGTCGTGTTTTATTTGTTTTGGAAGGGAAGGGTCGCATGGTCTTTGTTTAGTTTTTGTCGTGTGATTTTGTTTTGAAAGGAAGGGTCGCTTGGTCTTTTCGTTTTTTTCTTGTGGTGTTTTTTTGGAAGGGAAGGATTGCTTGGTCTTTGTTTTTTGTTAGTCGTGTGTGTGTGTTGTGGAAGGGAAGGGTCGCTTGGTCTTTGTGTTTTCTGTTTGTCGTGTGTTTTGTTTTGGAAGGGAAGGGTCGCTTGGTCTTTGTGTTTTTGTTTGTTGTGTGCTATTTTGTTTGGAAGGGAAGGGTCGCTTGGTCTTTGTGTTTTTTTGTTTGTCGTGTGTTTTTTTTGGAAGGGAAGGGTCGCTTGGTCTTTGTGGTTTTTGTTTGTCGTGTGTTTTCTTTGGAAGGGAAGGGTCGCTTGGTCTTCTTTGTTTTTTTGTTTGTTGTGTGCTATTTTGTTTGGAAGGGAAGGGTCGCTTGGTCTTTGTGTTTTTGTTTGTCGTGTGTTAGTTTGTTTGGAAGGGAAGGGTCGCTTGGTCATTGTGTTTGTTGTTTGTCGTGTGTTATTTTGTTTGGAAGGGAAGGGTCGCTTGGTCTTTGTGTTTTTTCTTGTTCGTCGCGTGTTATTCGTGTTGGAAGGGGAGGGTCGCGTGGTCTTTGTGTTTTTGTTTGTCGTGTTTGTTATTTTTTGGAAGGGAAGGGTCGATTGGTCCTTGTGTTTTGTTGTTGTCGTTTTTTGTTGGGGGGGGGAGGGTGAAGGGGGCAGTTTTTGTTGCATTGCCTTTTTGTTTCTTCGGTTTGTGGACATGGATAGATTCTTTGATGGGTTAAGGGGAATCGATTTCTCACTAGTGGAGACATGCTCCTGGAGTTTCCATGACCCTTCTTAAAAATGGGGTCATTACCTCAAATAATGGGGTCAGGACCCCATTTTAAAGGGTCATGGAGACTCCAGGTTGTCATTTTGCCCAGGTGCTCAAGCAAATGGACGTTTTGGGGTATGGGAACACGGTTCCGGCCCCTGGAGCCTGGACAGGCTCCGAGAATTCCGTTGCCACTGTTAACAACTAAATACCTAGGTCCCCCAGTAGTGCCCTTTTACCGTTTCTTTTTGGGGGAGGGTTCCCCTACTTGAATAGACTACAGAAAAAGAGTACCCTTGTTCTATCCTGTCTACTGCAGGACCTAGATACAATGGATGGCCGAAATCCATTTCGCACCACGTTGAAACGATGGCAAACCCTTGTTTGTTGGTATGCGGGAATAAAATCATAAACCAGGGTGTCTCTGCGTGGTGCGAAACGCATGGGGATTTCGCGACCAATCCATAGCAAGGAAAAACCGCCTTCCAAATAATTGTCCACATACGCCCCACTGGGCCATGGGGAAAAACGGGCATCCCTTGTTTGGTCGAGTTTCAACGAGGAATCCTTCAGAGGCGATGGACCGGGCGGTCTCGGGACCTCGGACGCTTGGGCGCGGGCATGCCTGCTTGCGCGAAGGCCGTGCGTTTTAGTCCTGATTGCGCTGTAATGTTCATGGCTCCCGAAAAGAAAAAAAAACAATCAAAACCCGGGTAGATGAAGGTTAGTAAAGGGCAGTCCCAGCCAGAAATAGTTGCGGATATCCGCCTCCTTAATTCTTTACATGGTTCTGGGTAGACCACTTTAATGCCGGGTTTTGATTGTGACTCATTTTGGGGAGGGCAAATCGCCAGGACAACCTCCAGGACTATCGGTCTGAGTACGTGTTTCAGAACGAGACCCCCGGCGTTTGCTTTGAGGAGCTCGACCCAGAGTCCGCGCTTCAGCAGCAAGAACGACTGCCTGGACTCTGAAACTAAGAAAACAACGTGATATGGAATTCACCAACCATAATTTTCGGTTGCTATAACCCATTTTTCAGGGAATTTGGGGGGGTTCAGGTGGTAACAAGGAAGATTGTGAACAAATTGCCGGGGTGTGCGATGGGAGGCCCGCTTGTTTTGCAGTTTCATTTGCAACATGAGTTGGATTTACGGCCTGGACATGCTTTGTGTGGACTTTACGGGTTTCAAAGCGCAAAGCCGGAGTGGGCCAGAGGTCCGCATGTTCAAACAGATCCATGTGAATCAATGGGTGTGTCTTGTTTTGTTTTGGTTGCAAAGTTGGTACCCTGTTTGGATGAGTTGAATGGAAGCCACGCGGAAACTTGTTTGTGTTTGGGGCGGGTCCTCCAAAAAAAAAATCGGTTGGCACAGCCTCGTTTTCCGGAACCTTTTGTTCCGACTGCGGTCTTGGAAACACGGGGAGGGGGCAGATATGGGTTTGTCTTTTGTTGTTGTCCCAGAGGCTCCTGGCTTCGGCTTTCAATGGAAGACCCGACCCCTCCATTAGACACCCCGGAGGTGGTTGGGGGTCTCAAAACCAGGTTGTGTGAAGGCCCTAAATCAATCGGGAGCCTCTGGGGTGTTGAGGAAGGTGGGACCTCCCCGAATCATACCCCCGAATCATACCCTCGAACCATACCCCTGAAAACGTATGCTGCAAGATGCTACTTTTCTGCTACCGTTTGTGTTGTTTACTGCCTCAACAACCACCACCTACGAATACTGCCACTACTAAAGCTACTACCACCACCACGACTACTACTACTGCCGCTACTACTACTGCTGCCACTACTGCTACTACCATCACCACTACTACTACATTCATCACCTATCAACATATATATATATATATATAGAGATATATATATATATGCTGACCATGTCGCGTCCTTTGTCCACATCAACACCAATGTGTTTGCTCAGAACATTGTCTCTTGTACAAGGGAGCTTGTGAGCATAGAGCCGAAGCTCGAAACCAGAGTCCGTTTTGGAGTACTTTCCAGTAGGCTGGACATGCTGTAAGTGCCAGCATTGAAATCCAACAAGCACTGCGTCGACGCACTGCGTCGACCTTGATTGGGTATTCTCGATAGCTGGAAGCATGCAGGATATAAGGGCAAGGTCAATCCCGCTCACCGCTTCCTTCCAAACCCAACCAGGAAACATCCCCCCGAAGCCCTCCAAACCCAACCACCTGGAGACACCATGGGGTCATAACCCCTTATTTTTTGCGCAATGACTCATTTTTTTAAGGGTCATGGAGACTCCAGGTGTACATGGGTTTGTGCGTCTTCAGGTACCCCTTTTTGGGATGGTGTATCTGCAGGGATACCAGGTTGACAAGGCGCTTTTCATGTTTGTTTTCGTTCATCCTTCTGTTGCTCAAAGTAGAGTCCACTAAGATGCTTGAGGTGTCCTTTTCCCTTCAAATACCAAGCCAGAGGGGCTCGCTCGGTCAGCATCTTGAGAGAACGAGTTTGGGCACTAGACTAGACGTGAATCTGCCGTTTCTCCCCGTGAGACCTTTGCCGGCTGAACCTCCAGTCACAACTCACAGCACTTCAGCGTGGTTTCTTCTGATGTCAACTTTTCCTTTTAAAGGTCTTTTGAAAGGAACCCCGTTCTGTTGGTTGTTTGGGGGTCTCAAAACAGACACACACACATAGGTGAATTGTCTATTTCATTTTTTATGGGTAGTTGGAGGGTCCAGGTATATCTGATTCAACAAACATAGTTTTGGGTTCCACCAACCATCATTTTGGGGTTGCTCAACCTTAAAGTCCTGAAATCAGGACCTTTGAGGGTGGATTTTCCCACCCCCCAAACCCACCCCAAAACCACGGAATTCCAAGCCCCTCCGAGTCGGTGAACAAACCAACATGGCTGTGGGTCAAAACCAATGGGATCCCATTTTGGGGAAGGTGCACCACCCATTTTAGTCTATTTGAGTGGAGATTGGTTGATGTTCACTGAGGGTACAAGGCTTTGACCCATGGCCACCTCTCAGGCAGCCTCCAGCCAATCGGCGCAGAGCTGGCAGAGCCAGACCGCCGGCCTGGACCACAAACTGCGGAAGCAGCACACCGTCACGGAGGCGACGGCGCTCGGCGTCCGGCGGCCGGCGGCGTGAACGGCGCGCAGCGTCCAAAGACTCCACCTAGAGTCTCCTTCTGACTTGAAGCAAAAATGGTTGGTCATTACCCTAAATGCTGGGGTGGACCTATTTTTTGTTTCGGGTGAAGGAGACTCTAGGCAGATCTGAGCCACTGGGTAGATGAAGGTTAGTAAGGGACAATCCCCTTGCCATAAATAGCTGCGGATATCCGCCTTCTTGATTCTTCACATGGTGCTGGGTAGACCATTTTAATACCGGGTTTTGATTGTGACTCATTTGGCGCCGGAGGTGTCAACTTTGGCATGAAACCCGGCAGTCCCCAGAAGACCCCCCTTCCCCCCCTTGAAAATAAGGCCTCAAGGCTTAATAAGGTTATGAATTGGGGGCTTTCTTAGGCTTTCGAAGGCTTTGGTTGTAAGGGATGGTCTAGGGACTGTCGGGTTTCATGTTTTTTGACCCGGTTTGGGTCCCGAAATCTCAGTTGTCCAAAAGCGGGTCAACCAGATCTGACCTTTTGGTGTCCCAATGTTGGCAACCTGTTTTATTCATGGCCCCCTTGCTGGTGATTTCCTTGGATTTCTGGGAAGCTGGGCAACTGAAAATTAGATGGCACAGGTTTAGATGGGTTTTATGCCAAGTGCAGTCAGTTTTTGTTTTGGAGGTCGCCCATGCATCTGGCCTTGTGGCTAAAAGAAATAGTTGGAGCGGTTGAAGGACGTTACTTTAATGGCGCCAGCAAAACTCGCGGGGCTCCTCAGTGTCAAAACAGAACTAGTAAAGTTGTAACTGACTGAGAAATCCTTGCAGAGGCCGCGAAAACTGCTGAACACCTCAGTTCCCTTTTTAGGTGTGCTCACTTCCTGCGTTCCTGGACTTTAAGTTTTTTGGGAAGACCAGTTTTTCGGTAAATGACAACTGTTTTGTGTTTTTAATGTTGAGGCGCGCTACCCATTTCGGCTCGGTCGGAAAACATCGAGGTGATGGGGCTTCAAAACGAAGGTGGTTGCACTGCTTTGCTGCGTGGCTTGGTTCCGAATCCTTTGGGATCCTTTGCATTAGAAATCTTCTCGGTCGACTACGGACGGGTGCGTCTTTGTTGGTGGATACCCGTCTTTCTAGGTGGCTTTAAAGAAAACCAAAAGGAACACCAAATCCCATTTCGTCAAAAAAGGCACAAGCGAACTGTCCCTGGGACCCTTTAAAAATAGTAGATCATGACCCAAAATTAAGGCTAGGTCCCCAGTAGTGCCCTTTTGCCCTTTTTTCGGGGAGGGTTCCCCTACTAAAATAGACTACAGAAAAAAGGGGTACCCTTATTCTAACCTCTCTACTGGAGGACCTAGCACTAAGTGGTTATGACCACTTTTTCTAGGGGTCAGAAGGAGAGCAGGGTCTGGTTTCTTTCCTTTGCACGGCGCTCGCTGAGATTCGCCCAGCTCGCCCGGCGTGTGTGCGAGTATTGGCATCTCCATGCCGCAGTTGCCCAGTCGCACCCTTATGTCAGCTTTTCGTTTGGGGAAGGGTTCCCCTTGAAACTCAACCAAGGGATGCCATGTTTCCCCGTGGCCACTGGGCATTTGAGACGCCTCTCTGTTTTGCAAGGATTCCCCTGCGGTGGATGCTTGCGAAATCGATTTCGTGCCTAAGAAACCCTGGAAAGATTCGATTCCCCCTGGAAATTCCAGCAAACAATGGTTACCACCATGGTTTCAAGTTGGTGCGAATTGGATTTCGTCCACAGTATCAGCCAACAATTGGGCCCCCTGCATACCCGAAATGGAAAAGCCCGTATTGCAAGTAGGGGGCACAAGGGAACCTAGAGTCTCCATGCCCTCTAGAAAAAGGGGTCATAACCCCATTATTTAGGGTAATGACCCCATTTTTAAAGAGTCGTGGAGACTCCAGGAAGCTTGTTTGTATTTTGTCCAGTTTGTGGCTGGACGTGGTTGGTTCGCCTAGTTTGTTCCCGGAATCCACCATTCCGGTTTCAAGTGGTGTTTCCGGCCGTTCGGTGGCAGATTTGTTTTCTTTCGGCGGATGCCCTAAATATTGCAAGTAAGCCAGCCAAAATCCATGGTTGAATTCTTCCGACCCGTATAAAACGAATTGGGTCAGTACCCAAAATAATGGTTGGTCATGGACCCATTTTTGATTCGGGTCATGGAGAGTCTACCTGGAGTCTCCATGACCCTTTGAAAATAGGTCCATGACCCCAGTATTTTAGGGTAATGACCCAATTTTTTAGGGGTCATGGAGACTCCAGGTAGGAATTCCTTTGTTCCCTACTGGCAATATTGAGTTGGCATCCAGCGCATGGACCACCCGGAGTCTCCATGACCCTTTAAAATGAGGTCATTACCCTAAATCATGGGTTCATGACCCCTTTTTGTATGGGGTCATGGAGACTCCAGGTGGTTGAATTGAGAGGAACTCCTTTGTTCCCCACTGGCAATATTGAGTTGGCATGCGCATGGACCTCACCTTCGCCAGAGGAACCCTGCGGGAGTTTTGACGCCAGGTGCTCCGAAGGCAGCACGAGGCCATGCCCCATGTGGAAGCCAGCAGGAGCGAGAGAGAGACTCACCCGGCGCGAAAGCCAGAACCAAATATTGGTTCCTAGAGTCTCCATGACCCATAAAAAAATGCGGTCATTACAATAAATACTGGGGTCATGGATCTATTTTTGAAGGGTCGTGGAGTCTTTTGGTTTCCCTACCGAAGGGCGAAAAGGCTACGAAGCCTCCAAAGAACACGCTGAGGGAGAACAGTCGCTTGAACAAAAACACCTCATGCCAAATCTACCCAATGGTTCAAAGCGCTCGGAGAAACACCAAGAAATTCTTCCGAGGAAAGGGGGGGGGAAGGGGGGAAGGGGGGAAGGGGGGAAGGGGCGAAGGGGCGAAGGGGAATTTGCCCTTTTCCAACCTTGAAGTTGGCTTTCTTTGGAGTCACCCCCGGCACAATGGGATGCAGGGTAAAACCCCCAAGAATAGGTGACTGTATCTTAAGTTAAGATACGAGGCGTGAGTACCCCCGACTCCAAATACCCACTTGATTCCGGGTATCATGTCGACCCACTACAAAAGGAGGTATTTACCTTGAAAAACCGATCGGTTTTCAATAAATACCCTGGAAAAAGTGGGTATTTGGAGTAGGGGCAAGCTTCAAGGGGAGCATACAACATGTTTGCGGTTTGGTTTCGGGGGACTCCTTCGACTGCTTTTTCTAAGGGAATTGAAATTGAGTATGTTTTGAACAAGTTGCAGCAAGTGAATGGTTTGGAAGGGTGAAACTTCAACGAGTGTTCGCGTTTTGCCATGGTAAAGATTGCACGTTTCGACCATTTCAGCCGCCGCTTCTTTTCGTTTTGCTCATGTCTTGTTTCTGTGTTTCTTTGCTTCTTACTTTCTTAGGCCAAAAGCCCCCCCCCAAAAAAAGGCACGCCCCGCGTCTTTCTTTTTCCCGCCCCTCCGAGCGCGGAGAATTCCAACGCCTTCCGAGAATCCCAAAGCCGGGAGGATCCTCGAGTCCCTGGAGGGGCTGCAGGGGGTCCAGGAGAGCTCGGCGGTCCGGGCGGTCCGGGCCGGCCTCGCTCGGGCAGTCCGGGTGAAGCCCATAGACCTGAAACCTGGTTGTCTGGCCAAAACCTGAAGAAGTTTCCCAAGAAAAGAGCTCGCCTGGAGTCTCCTTCTGACCCGAAATAGAAATAGAAGAAGAAATGGCCATGACAAACCTTTTTTTTTGGAGAATGACCAACCATTTTTTCAGGGTCATGGAGAGTCTAGGTACTTCCTGCCGGAGCGAGGCATCGACTTTAGTCACCTTTTGGGGGTTTGGACCCATTTCAGTGGCAAATAACAAGTTTGGTTGCTTTTTGTGGCCGGTCCACTTGAGTCAGGCGCGGTGCGTAGCTATGAGGATCAAAGCACGATGGCGGCTTTTTGTTTTGTTTTTGGACTCGGGCCGGGACCCCGAATGGGCGGGCGCAACGGTTCCAACTTTCAATCCCACCTGGAGTCTCCATGACCCTTGAAAAATGGGGTCATTACTCAAAATTCAGGGGTTAGGCCCCTTTTTCTAGAAGTCATGGAGACTCTAGGTACCAAACCGGGGGTCCCCAAAACAGATACACCCATTTGCTCAGGTCTCAAGTGATCCGGGCTTGTCCCAAGCGGAGATCCGCTGAAGTTGTTTGAGGGCCGTCATGTTGGGTGGTTTTAAATGGAAGCCAAAAGGAACACCGTTGCGCCACGTCGGGGGGCGAAAGGATTCCAACACTAGGCCCCCCAGCAATTGGGGCCCTTTCTCACCGTTTCTTTTTTGGAGGGTTCCCCTACTAAAATAGACTACAGAAAAAAGTGGGTACCCTTATTCTAACCTCCCTACTCGAGGACCTAGTACAGGATTCCCAAAAGGAGGTCGGATTCCGAGAAACAGGCACACCCATGTACTTGTTGGGAGCTCCGACGAGAAGGCTCCAATACTTTTTATGATGAATTTGGGAGTTTATGGCTAGGGTCAAAAGTCGCCAATCGAGGGCCCCATGTGCTGGGTTTGGTGGTGGGAACTTGTGTCGCAGACCTGGCTGTGGCTCAAAAACATGTAAATGGAGTCTCTATGACCCTTTAAAAGTAGGTCCATGACCCCATTATTTTAGGGTAATGACCCCATTTTTCAAGGGTCATGGAGACTCTAGGTACCAAAATGGCACCAAAAGCTAAATGCAACCAAGGACCAACAGAATAACCCTAGCTCTTTAATTTTGAGCCAAGCCCACCTGGGTGATTTTTGGGGGAATTTCGGGCCATCCATTGTTGGACAGTGGCAGGACCTTAAGGTGTGCCCGAACCTCTCAAACAAAACAAAGCAAAGCAATCTTAGAGAACCCAAACGCCTGGGCTATATCAAGCATTTGGTTCAGCGCCAAGACTCTCCGTGGATTGGGGTTCAGTTGCCCTTAAAACAAAGGGGGTCGAACATATAGCCAAGTCCTACATCTAAATACATTTACCAAAAGAAAACAACACATAAACAAGTTCACTGTTTGTGTATTTAACAAATCATTATGTGTGTTGAAGGTATTTGTTTTTCTCCACCATTCTTAAAACTAGGGAGTTTCATCCAAAGTGTTTTCCTTGGTTTGCTAGCAACCACGTTCTCTCCAAATGGGGAATACCCTTTGGGAGTCTCATCCTCCAAATTGGGTGCCAAGGCCGTTATTTAATGGGAATCGGTTGAACCCTTCTGCTTGGTAAAAGTCACAGCCTAAACCTCACAGAAAGGGCCAACATTTGGTGGGGACACGTCTCCCCGAGAGCTTTTTCGTCAGTGGCCCATAGATTCCATTTCCCGGGCTGGGGCTGAGCGACTGGTGGTTGAAAAAAATGACACATTCTCAGTTGTTCAGTGGCACCCTTTTTCCCCTTTTTTTTGGGTGGCTGCCCCACTAAAAATGGTCTTCCTCAAAAAGGGTTCCCTTTTTTTCCGGGGTCACCGAACAACTCTAAACAGTGGGCCATGACCTTTTCGGGGCTGAGGTTCTCCCCCAGACCATGTTTTTCTTCCGAAACGGGCTTCCGTGTGGCTTTTCTTTCTTTAGGAACTCCAAAAAGGGTACCAACTCTACCGCCCTTTCTGGCGACCCCAAAAAAATACCGAGCCGCGTAGAAAGGGTACCCAGATGTTTGGGGATCTTCTGATTCTTCCTTCCTGAGCTTCGTGTTGGACTGTGGTCACTTGCCAAATTTTGGTTGCCATGGCAGAGCTCAAAGGATGGGATCGACTTTTTTTTTCTGGTCCATCCACTCGATTGGAAGTGAGCTTACCTAGAGTCTCCTGACCCGAATCAAAAACGGTTGGTCATTACCCCAAATAATGGGTTCATGGACCTATTTTTATTTCGGGTGGAGACTCCAGGTATATATATATATTATTTTGGGTTGGTTTCCCCTGACACCATTCGGGGCTGGAGGCTCGGAGGCTCCGCTTGTTTGGAGCATTCGCCGGTCTCTCTCGATCCCGTGAGAGAATTCTTCACCCGTCGCTCGGATCAGGTCGTTTGGGCCCCCGTCCGGTGTCCGGGGGGCACGTTGTTTTTTTTTTGACCTGGGGGGGTGACTTTGAGAAGAAGCTGCCGAAAATCGCCAGGTGCGAATCGCCTTTTTTTCCATCCGCTTTACCCCAAAACCCCCCGCAGTGACTGAACAAAGCCAGAATTTGGCTATCTAGGTGGTTGGTGGAGTGAAAGCTTCACCTGCCACTTGGGGGGATGGCTTTGATCGTAGGAGGGGCCAGTGTCAAAGGCTCAGAACGACCTGGAGTCTCCATGACCCTTCAAAAATAGGTCCATGACCCCATTACTTTAGGTAATGACCCCATTTTTAAAGGGTCATGGAGACTCTGGGGAGACTCCGGAGCTGGAAACGGGACGAGGAGCCGCGCATCTTTACGACGGAGGCAATGCCGGGTCTCCTCTCCGACACCCCGTCCGAGTTTATCCGGAGGCGAGGAAGCGAGAAAATGTCCGTAACTAGGTCCCCCAGTGGTGCCCTTTCTCCCCAACATTTTTCCAAACTCTCTACTGGAGGACCTAGTTATGTATTGTACTTCCATTTACATAAGAGTATGCTTGATTTTCCCTTGCTGGTTTTAAAGGGAATGGCTTAAGCAAATGGGAGTATATGGTATCGTTTTAAGATACTGACATCAGGATTCTATATATTGTTATGTCGTGCTTCATCAGTAACAGAAGAATGTTTCGTCTCAAGCTCAATTCGTGTTGTTTTGCTTTGTATGCTTGGGCGGGTTGTTGTTTGTGGATGAATGCCCAATGGTTCTGGTTGATTTGGGTGTGTGTTTTTGCCATGCGTCCTCCAGTTGGAGTCTTCATGTGGGCCGTCAAACGAACGCCCATTCAGACCGCTTTTGTTGCTTCTGTTAGATCTTTGTAGGGGTGTCCTTACTTAAAACGGATTTCCCTTTCCCATGCTTCCATTTGCTGAAATGAACATGTTGTATGTTCCCCTGGCGGTTTTAAAGGGAATCGATTTCACCAGTTTTTGTTTTCCCCAGGGGGCGCCTATCCGCAAATGGAATGGAAAGGGTCAACCTAGGCGGTTGGAACCAACTTTGTCACTGTCCGGATTGTGCGCTGACTTGGGAGCGTATGAAAAACCGATGCAAACACTGATCAGGTTTCTGACCATGTTTTTTTGCGTCAGATCCAGCGTGGTCCATTTCTCGAATCGACCTGAGATAACCTTTTGGCTTCCCAATTGTTGGAAGGCATTTTTAGTCGTGGCAAAGGCTTATGGTAGCCATGTCTAGTGGCCTCAAAAGGTGATCACCTTTCATTTCTGGGTGAAGCCTGGGCAATTGAGTACATGGTTAGTCCATGTGTTTGTTTGTTCGATGTCTCCTTTTCAGGCCTTTATGAAGTATCCTTGGGCCTGTAATTGATCCTACTTGCACCACCCTTGTCATTTTCGAATAGCATCCACAAAACTAGACCTGGTTCTGCTTGATTTTTCCCTGAGGTACCAGGGCCTCAGCAGGTTTCAGAAGCTGCAGATGTTTCTGCAGTCTCATCAGTTCGAGATGATCATCTTCTTCGTCCTTTGCCTCAACGTGTTTCCTGGTCGCAAGCTATTCTGGGGGCTCTCGCTTCCCAAGTTGCTACCCACCCTTGTCCTCTTTGGGGCAATGGTTCTTCAAAGATCAATCACCAAAAACGGAGTGGCAACCCACGAGAAGCCGTGAACCCGGGGCAAGCCAACTTGAAATACTATGGCTGAACGGAATCCTGCACTACCCAAGAAACCCTAGAATGATTCGAATTCCCTGTAAATACCAGCAAACGTTATGGTTTCAACCATGGCTTCAGAGCGGTGCCTAAGAGGATTTCGTCCATCCAAAGTATGTCACCTGATAGACTGGGATCCGTTTCAGCAGCTGAAAGTCCTCAAGCGATTGCAAAAGTGTCTTGTTGACGTTCTCGTTTTCAGAACTCGGGAAATCTCTTGGATTTGCATCTACCTGGACCCTCAACATAGCTTGAACAATGGGTATTCCCCAACATTATGGGGTGAGTTCCCTTTTTTATGGTCAGTTTGAGGGTCTTCATGACCCGAATCAACAATAGGTCCATGACCCCATTATTTACAATAATAACCAACCATTTTAAAAGGGACAGAAGGAGACTCCAAGTAGTTTGAGGGTCCAGGTAGCTCCAAGAGACCGTCTCGAAGCAATTTGTTTCACGCACCTTGGGGCAAGGAGCTCCCCATCGGCTTCAGGCGTCGGAATTTTGGGGGCCGGTCTGTCATGCAGCCTAGGTCCCAACCAGCAATTGATTCCCTTTCTCACCCGTTTCTTTTTTGGTTGGGAGGGTTCACTCCCGCAGCAATTGGTTCCCTTTCTCACCCGTTTCTGTTTTGGTTGGGAGGGTTCACTCCCCCAGCAATTGGTTCCCTTTCTCACCCGTTTCTTTTTTGGTTGGGAGGGTTCACTCCCCCAGCAATTGGTTCCCTTTCTCACCCTTTGCTTTTTTGGTTGGGAGGGTTCACTCCCCCAGCAATTGGTTCCCTTTCCCACCCGTTTCTTTTTTGGTTGGGAGGGTTCACTCCCCCAGCAATTGGTTCCCTTTCTCACCCGTTTCTTTTTTGGTTGGGAGGGTTCACTCCCCCAGCAATTGGTTCCCTTTCTCACCCTTTTCTTTGTTGGTTGGGAGGGTTCACTCCCCCAGCAATTGGTTCCCTTTCTTACCCGTTTCTTTTTTGGTTGGGAGGGTTCACTCCCGCAGCAATTGGTTCCCTTTCTCACCCGTGTCTTTTTTGGTTGGGAGGGGATTGGTTCCCTTTCTCCCGTTCACTCACTCCCCAGCAATTGGTTCCCTTTCTCACCCGTTTCTTTTTGGTTGGGAGGGTTCACTCCCCCAGCAATTGGTTCCCTTTCTCACCCGTTTCTTTTTTGGTTGGGAGGGTTCACTCCCCCAGCAATTGGTTCCCTTTCTCACCCGTTTCTTTTTTGGTTGGGAGGGTTCACTCCCCCAGCAATTGGTTCCCTTTCTCACCCGTTTCTTTTTTGGTTGGGAGGGTTCACTCCCCCAGCAATTGGTTCCCTTTCTCACCCGTTTCTTTTTTGGTTGGGAGGGTTCACTCCCCAGCAATTGGTTCCCTTTCTCACCCGTTTCTTTTTTGGTTGGGAGGGTTCACTCCCCCAGCAATTGGTTCCCTTTCTCACCCTTTTCTTTTTTGGTGGGGGGTTACTCCCCAAGCAATTGGTTCCCTTTCTCACCCGTTTCTTTTTTGGTTGGGAGGGTTCACTCCCCCAGCAATTGGTTCCCTTTCTCACCCTTTTCTTTTTGGTTGGGAGGGTTCACTCCCCCAGCAATTGGTTCCCTTGCTCACCCGTTTCTTTTTTGGTTGGGAGGGTTCACTCCCCCAGCAATTGGTTCCCTTTCTCACCCTTTTCTTTTTTGGTTGGGAGGGTTCACTCGCCCAGCAATTGGTTCCCTTTCTCACCCGTTTCTTTTTTGGTTGGGAGGGTTCACTCCCCCAGCAATTGGTTCCCTTTCTCACCCTTTTCTTTTTTGGTTGGGAGGGTTCACTCCCCCAGCAATTGGTTCCCTTGCTCACCCTTTTCTTTTTTGGTTGGGAGGGTTCACTCCCCCAGCAATTGGTTTTCTTTGTCACCCTTTTCTTTTTTGGTTGGGAGGGTTCACTCGCCCAGCAATTGGTTCCCTTTCTCACCCGTTTCTTTTTTGGTTGGGAGGGTTCACTCCCCCAGCAATTGGTTCCCTTGCTCACCCTTTTCTTTTTTGGTTGGGAGGGTTCACTCCCCCAGCAATTGGTTTTCTTTGTCACCCTTTTCTTTTTTGGTTGGGAGGGTTCACTCGCCCAGCAATTGGTTCCCTTTCTCACCCGTTTCTTTTTTGGTTGGGAGGGTTCACTCCCCCAGCAATTGGTTCCCTTTCTCACCCTTTTCTTTTTTGGTTGCCAGGGTTGCCCTATTAAAATAGACAAAACTGCAAAAAGTTGGTGCCCTTATTCTATCCTCTCTACTGGAGGACCTAGCACTGCAGCGCTTGTCTTGAAAGCACGAATTCCTGGGCAGCACATCGTGTTGCCGGGGAAAGCAGATGACTCAATCCTTCCCCCAATTCGGTTTGGTCAAGGGATTTGTGCTGTGTATTTTCGCCCCACTGTCAACACCCGGATAAAGCTTGGGCTGACGTCCAGCTTTCAAAGGCCTTTCAAGGGGATCACTGTGCCCTTTGGCCCGAACTGTTCCCTCCAAGGTTTGGCTCCGAGAGACAGATTCCAGGGTTAGTCCCTTGACCTGCCGGGAGTCTCCATGACCCTTTAAAAAGAAGGTCCATGACCCCATTATTTAGGGCAATACCCCCCATGTTTGATTCGGGTCAGAAGGAGACTCTAGGAGGTTTGCCCGCGGGGAAGCAACGGACCGTCCAAGCCAGGCACCTCGGATGTGCTTAGGGTTCCAATTGAATTCCCCCAAAGAATGCCTTGGCCAGCCAAGTATGATCAAACTCCTGTTTTTTTGTTTTTTGCGTGTTGGTATATGAACCCCCTGTGGTTCAATGGTGGTTTCAACCCATTTCGGGTATGAATACTGGTTGAACGCTTCTCCAATTGGAGCTGGTCATGAGAGCCACAATCAAAACCCGGGTAGATGATGAAGGTTAGAAAACCAGAAATTGCTGCGGATATCCGCCTTCCTAATTCTTTGCATGGCTCTGGGAGTACGACAATTTTAGTACCGGTTTTTTTCATGACTCATGTGGGTTTCAAGTGCATCAGTTCGCTTCTCACTCGTTCAAGTGCCATCCCCGAGGGTTCCTCCCGCCGATTCCCCTTGAAAGAATTGCAACTTGGGGCCCAATTCGGATGACGAAATTCTAGGTCCCCCAGCTAGGTGCCCTTTCTCACCAACTTTTTTTGGGGAGGGTTCCCCTACTAAAATCGACTACAGAAAAAGGGTACCCGTATTCTAACCTCTCTACTGGAGGACCTAGTGAAATTCCCGAACGGTAAGTCAAGGTGCCTGGAGTCTCCTTCCAACCCTTTAAAAATCGGTCCGCGGACTCCGCGGACCGCTTATTTTTTGGTATTGACTCATTTTGTAAGGATCATGGAGACTGTAGGCGGTTATTTTTTTTTTCACCCCCTGTGATTCCGTGGTGGGAACTGCCCCCCACGACCATCCACAATTAGCTCACCTGGAACCGAGCGCCAGTCGTCCAAGTGAAAATTTCCCAATGGGCTAGACTCGTGTGCCGTTTTGCTGGCCCGCCTCGTTCCCAAGGAGCTCTCTTTTCACGAGAAATTTGGAGTGGGGCGACCATTTGTTTTGTTTCTCACCTTATCTTTTCGACCCTCCGCCTTGTGTTCTTCACCACCGAAAATTATACCAACCCTAAGGCCATAAACCCCAGCCTAAAACAACCCTAGACCCGACCTAAATCCGACTCGCGCCAACCCTAAGCCCGCCCTAGGCCAACTCTAGCCAAGCCTCAGCCACTCTAAGCCAACCATAAACCCACCCTTTATCAGCCCTAAACCTACCCTACACCAACCTTGAGAACCCACCCTAAGCCAAGAGTTCAAGGAGGTGATTGGTGGTTTGTCATCCAGGTCAATCCCAAGAATGCTCAGGTATCCCTTAGTCGGAGTTTGGATTTGTGGTTTGGATTTGGATTTGACTTTTTGGCTTTTGCATGGGAAACCACCCCCTAACCACCAAACCGCCAGGCTCCAAGAGGGAAGCTGAAATCTCTCCGGAAGTTCCAACCGGCTGTTTCAACCTGTCAATCTTCCCAATTTCCAAACTGATCGGCAATCTCCAGTTGGGAGCAATCCCATTTAGAAACTCCAAAGTCCCTCCGAAAGTCCAACGCAAATTCCCAAATACGCTCAGTCAATGCAAAGGCAAAGTTTCCAAAAAGTATCGATAGCTAAAAGACAAAAGCAACCAAACTACACAATGGCAGCAACTACGTCCGGCGTCCAGGATGGACATTCCCAATTCTGCTCCAGGAACACATGTCAGCAACTATGTCCGGGATGGATAACCCAACGCAAACATTCAGTAAATACAGTTACAACCAAGCAAACACATCAAATGCACCTCAAGAAGTCACAAAAAAAAAAGCATACTGCAAAGTAGCACCCCCTAGCAGCCCGCAGTAGTTGAGGCCTTTGGGGGTTCAAGGCCCTCATATTTAGGGCTCAAGGGGCTTGTAGGGAACCCTGACTGGGATTGAAGTTCCCAAAAAACAAGCCAAACCAAGCTGACAAACCGCCCGAGGACAGCGGCGATGTCCCAAACCTCGAGCCAAGCTCACAATTGAAGCGAGAGCAAATCCAAAATTCGCCCAAAATCAGCACGAGGAAGCTCGGTATTCACAAAAAGAAACATGAGGAAGCTCAACATTCACAAAACAAGCTCGAGGAAGTCCAAAATTCCCAAGAAACCTCGAACATACCAACGTATCCCAAAAGCTAAAGCGAAAACAACAACCAGGTTCCAAGCACATGTTTAGGGCAGCTATGGGTGCTGATGTTTTGTGTATTTTGCTTGCTTTTTGGAATTCCAAGGTTTTGGGGTACCTCGGGAATTTTCATCCTGGACATAATTGCTGACATGTTGTTTGTTGTCCTTCGTTTCATTTGTGGAATTCACTGAGGGCTTGGGAATTTCAATCTACTGATGATTTTTGGGAATTGCCACCCCGGACATGATTGCTGGCGTTTGTGGTTACCTTGTTTGGAGTTGTAATTGTTTTGTTTATTTACTGGTGTAACCTTTGCATGTCTCCCTAGAGTCTCTATGACCTCTAGAAAAAGGAGTTATAACCCCTTAATTTTTGGTCATGACCCCATTTTGAGGGTCATGGAGACTCCAGGTCGACGCAAAGATGTGTAAAATGTAAAATTGTAGTTTCGACCTTTTGTCAGGATGAGGAGAAACTCGGTCGGATTCCTTTCAAACCAACCCCAAAATTCAGACTTGGTGGCGCCCAGCCATCCAGTTTCTTAGCTTTTTAGTGTTTAGTGGTAGTTTCCGTATTTCACCCACAAGTTATTCACTTTTCGCCGGGGATCAGAAAACGGGAATTCAGCCCTGGAAAAGGGAACTCAGGCCCCAGTTTTTTGGGGTTGCTATAGCCCATTTTTGAGTTGGGCTTTTGAGGCTTCAGGTTCCTTTCAAGCCCCGAAAGGGTCCCAGCATTCAGGTTCCTTCCCAGGCATCCGCATCTTTGATTGAAAAACCAGCTTTTGAAACGTTGGGGAAAGGGATCCGGCGTTTGAGAAAAGAAGGATGGTTGAAAAGACAGGACAAGACATCAACCCCTAGAGGCTCGAGGATTTGTCCTTACCTAGAGTCTCCATGGCCCTTTAAAACTGGTTGGTCATAACCCTAAATCATGGTTGGTCATGGACCTATGTTTATTTTGGAACCAGGTTTTGACTTCCCACATGGAATCATATTTGTTTTTTTCCGCTGAGCGCCCGTTCAGGGGAGAAGGTCTGCCTCGAAGCCAGCGGACGCCCCCGACGCTTTTGCGACGCGCGCACGCGCGCGACGCCCCCCGACGCCCCCCGACGCCCCCGACGCCCCCCGACGCCCCCGACGCCCCCCGACGCCCCCCGACGCCCTTCGACGCGCGACGCGAAGCCTCGTCGCGCTCGTCGGCTGGAGGTTGTGGATGGCCTTTCAGCTGCAGGTCACCGGCTCCGCGGGCGGCTTCCTGCTGGGCCTGGTGGAAGACCCGGCCATGCGCCCCGGGGACCACGGGGGGGGGATCCCAGGGACGGCCGAGGGATGCGGGGGATCCAGGGGGCATGCGGGGATGGGATGCAAGGTGATCCACCTGGGGTCTCCTTCCGACCCTTGGAAATGGGTGGTCCTTGAAATAAAAGGGGTCATGACCCCATTTTGAAAGTTAACTTGTACAAGCGGCGAGTGTTCAGCATATCCTCTAGGGTACCTTCCATTTCCATTCTTTCCAGGGATCCGAATCTTTCTAGAAAACCTCCAGAGACCCAGGAAAAACGGATCCGGAGTTTGGAAGAACGATGGTGGAAAAGAATGTGGAATCAACCCCTAGAACAATCCAAACCGATTCGGGTAGATGAAGGTTAGTAAGGGAGGATCCCAGCCAAAAAGCGGCTCGCCGCCTCGTGTATTTCTTTACCATGGGTCTGGGTAGGACATTTTAATACCGGGTTTTGATTATGACGCAAGTGGGGTTGTCACAGAATGGGGCTTTTGGAGGGTTGGGTATTGGAAGTAGTAGTACTGGGGTTGTGGAAGATCACACTTCTTGAGGGACTTCCTGATGGGGTTCCGTGCGAATGGGTGCATCACGGCGGTAAGGCACACCTGCCCAGAAGGAACTCCAGGTTTCATCAGCAGCTCGTTTGCTGGGAGCCTTGAGGCTGGGCATACGACCATTTTTGTGGTAAAACAACCTCACGCACTTTGAGCTCATTGCTTAGGGAATTTTGGTATGTGTGGTTTGTGAATCACATTGTAGGTTCTTGAGCACTGAATATGAGGGCCTTGAACCCCCAAAGGCCTCAAGTAATGAGATCCTAGGGAGAGTTTATCTAAACTCAAGAGCCATGCTCTGGCGGGTCGCTGCAAAAGGAGTACTGCACGGCTGCGGTACGGTGCTGGACGCCGCCCCCCCCCCCCCCCCGACCCATGACCCGAACACACGTATCCACCGATTTTGGAAATTGTCCACCAAAAGACAAAATCCAAAAGGATTGGATTGATTGTCCACCCCTATCCTCCAATTTTGGATTTTGTGTTTTGTCCAATTATCCAAAAGAGTTTCTTCAAACAACAACACCAACTTCATGTGAGCGCTGCCCATAAACCCTATTGGCCAGTTTGAAAGGTGGCAACCTGGGTTGGGAATAAAGTAAAGCCTATAGAAGTCCCACTCTACCATTAAAAACTGCCAGCTTCTTATACGAAAGACGCACAATCATATAATTAAGTTTTTGGACTAGTTTTGCCTGCTTCAATATATGATCTAGAAACACCTGTACCTGGACTCTCAAACTACCCACAAAAAATCGATTCACCCTATAGCCCATGTTTAAGGGGGAGTTTTGAGGGTTCATGTACCTGGTCTAACCCATGCTGGCGCTGAACCCAACAATTGAGAGGGAATTGTCAGCTTTCGTGATAATGTTGACCCCAGATGAAGTTCAACCCCTGTTTCGCTTCCAAGGGTGGTGTTTGGCCCGGAAAGTGGTCTGATTCCAACCACTAAATCCAGTTGGACACCCCCCTCTTTATAAACTGGGGTTGATTCGTATGGCCCGTTTCGGGTTGTTTTCAAGAGGGAGACCTCAGACCACTTGCCCGGCGCTTCCAGTGAGAAGTATACCCAACAAAAGCCATCATGAACCTGGGAGAAGCCCAGGTTATCAGACCTAGTTCCTTTCCTAGAGGGTCCAAGTACAAGTACCTTCTAAGGAGGTACTGAACGACCCCTTACCCCCCAAAAGCAATCCGCATGAAGTACTTGGACATACTTGGACCCTCTGGGTTGTTGGGAAGACCATTTTACTGGCACGCACGAAGTTTTGACTTTCTTGGTTAATTTACTCAGGAAGCGAGAGAAGTGGAAACAGCAAGCACTGGGTTAAGGGGCTTCTCGTGATGACAAACCATTGCGCGAGGAGGAAGGCAACTGGGAAAGTTTCTTCGTGGTGGGCGACTTGCGGCTCGGTGGGAAGTCTTGGCGCAGCCTGTACAGCCAGTTTTTTCACTTCCTCAGTTCATGAACTTATTTGTTTTTGGGAAGACCATGCTAGTGGTAAATATAAAGTTTGAACTTTTTTTGGGCCATCCACTCAGCAAGTGAGTTTTAGACTTGGTCCAGGAGAGCTTTTGCCACTAAGCACATTGTATGGTGGATTCCGACCACCACATGTTGCTTATTTTCCTGGCTTCATTTCAGCTGCTGGTGGTTTGCCGGGTTGTCAGCTTTGGTGCATTTTGCCAAGGGATGTTAGGACTTTAACCAATTGCCACCTAGTGGGTTTTCCGTATTAAACCGCTAAAAGTTCGTCACTTTTACAGGGGTCCCTATACTTCCCTGTTTGGCTATTTTAAACATCACCTTTTTGGGCCATGAAAGGTAAGTATCCCTGGGGGTGATGTTTTAAGGGGAAATATAGGGAGCCCTGTTTTAGCCGGGCTTCGCAGATTTCGCAACCGAGTCAGGATCTTCGCTGGAATCTTCACCTTGGACGTTCTATTGCGCATCTGCGTGCTGCGCTTGAAGTTCTGGAAGGCGCAAGCGACCTGCCTCTTTGGGCTCCTCAAAAGATCTACATTTTGCAACCAGTTGAAACCTGGCTTTTTCCACCCAAATACAGAAAAGCAACCATTTCCAGAGGTGAGGGCTCCTCAAAAGTTACATGTTGCCCAGTTGAAACATGGTTTTTTTCCACACAAATAAAGGGAAATAAAGGGAAACCACCATTTACTGTTCAGGTGTACAATGTAAGGATCCCTGTTCCTTTCCACTAACATAACCTCGGATGGTTGCGAAATTCATTTCGGACCACCTGAGAAACCCTTCCCCCTCTCAGAGGGCCCCTTGGTACCTCATGAGGATGGCTTTTGGGAGGTAAAAAGGGGTCTAGGTACCTCCTTAGAAGGTACCACGGACCCTCTGGGCCTGTAAATGCCAACAAACCATGGTTTTAACCATGGTTTCACAGTGCCGCGAAGAATGTCGTCCATCCGCAGTAGCAACTGTGGGAGGTTGCCGGGGAGTCTTCAGTTTCTAGGAATTGGGTCCCTTGCTCTGTTGCCCCGTGGTGCCCTTTTGTCAACTGTTTTGGTTTAAAGGTTCCCCTTTAAGCTCAACCAACAAAAAAACGGCCACTGGGCATTCGAGCAGATGATGTTTTAGTGCGATGGGTTTAAAACTGCGGGTCCGCCCCATGTTAGTGGGCTTTGGTAAAGTTGATGCCCCTTTTGGGTTTGTGCTATATGTTGTGCCTTGTGGCTTGGGTGTCGAAACCTTTACAATAAGTGTTGCGCCATAAGGCTATTTGTGCCCACGGAGTATTGGATGATAGTGTTGTTTTCTGTCCTTTCTGTCAGATGAAGTTTTCTCGGGGAATTGTTTCCATTATCCCTTCCAGGAACCGTTCTTTCCAGAAAGCCACCAATCTCAGGTTAGATTCTGGTTTTGGAAAAGATGTTGCAAGAGGATTGACAAGAAATCCACCCCTACCCTCGTTCCGGGAATATGGAAGGGGCTTTTGTTAAAAGGAAAGCAGTCTTCTAAAGTTTCCCGTCAGCTTCCATGATTGGAGGGAAATTCGGGTGAGGGGTTAAGACAAATCTCGCCTGTACTATGGTCACAACTCAATAAACAAAGTAGCCCAAACTCTCTTCTAATGCCTTGGGTTTGCGTAAGAACAAAAACGACCCCCGGCCCAAAAATAGAATGGTTGCCTTTTCATTTCCCTTGCAATCCACCCCAAAATGCATGCCCTCAAACACCCACTTGCTGAGCCCCTGGACTTTAGTCACTTTTTGTGTTTGGACCATGGTGGCGACAAATGGCAAGTGCGGTGACTTTTGTTGGCCCAGCCACTCAATCGAAAGCTAGGTCCCCCAGTAGTGCCCTTTTACCTTTTTTAGGGAGGATTCCCCTATTAGAATAGACTACAGAAGAAAAAACAGTTGGTACCCTTATTCTAACCTCTCTACTGGAGGAGCTAGTCGATATTTACTGGGGCCAAGGATTTCGCAACCATCCACAGTATGACAGGGCTCCTAAAACGACACATTTTGCAACCATTTGAAACATGTTGCTTTTTCCACCAAAAAGTAAAGGGACACCACGAATTTACAAGGCAATGTTCAGGTGTATAGTGTAAGGATCCCTGTGAAACATGGCTTTTTCCACCCAAATAGAGGGAAACCTGCATTTGCAAGGCAATGTTCAGGTGTCTAGCGTAAGGATCCCTGTATGAACACCGCCTCATTGCTTTGGCGAACGCCAGGTGCCGATGAACTTCGTGGATGTGGCCGTCAGCGCCACCACCCTAGCGGAGGCGAAAGCGTGAGAACGCGAAGACGCGAAAAGCTCGGCGAGATCCGGCGTGGTTCTAGGGGTAACTTCCCCATTCTTTCCAGGGATCCTTACTTCTAGAAAACCACCAAAAGCCCTGGGGAAATGGCTGGTTTTTGAAAAGAACGATTGCTGAAATGAATGGGGAATCAACCCCTAGAGTGGTGGAAACCTGTTCCCATGTGAAAGACGGGTAGGGATGTTTTGGATGTGTTTAAACGCCCTTAAATTTTGCTAGACCAATGGGATGTGTTTGAACACGCCTAGGGTTTTGCTAGACTAATGGGATGTCTTTGAACACGGTTTTGCTAGACCAATGTAAGTTGGCAAGGGTGGCAGGCCAAAATGACCACCATGTAGGATTGAGCTTTGGCCCTGGTGGGCATCGCTTTTGTTGGTCAATCTAAATTCATGGCCAACGGTTTGAATGGTCGGGAAGTAAACGAAGCTTGTTCAACTAGATTATCCCGCCTTTATCCCGCCTCTATCCCGCAGCTTGGCTTGCTCATTCCTGCAGGAAAGGGTTCCCCTACGCAGGGGTCACTGGGCCACTTTTTTGGGGGAAGCATCTTGACCCCTAGGTGTAGAAATCATTTGAAGCCTTTCGTCCCTGTTTCACTTTTCAATTCTCCGGACTTTGTGCTTTTTGGAAACAGCAGTTCAGTGGCAAACAGAAAGTCTGCCTGAACCCTCACAATTCCCTGGAAAACTGATTGTAGCCCCAAAATTAGGGGTGAACTCTTTTTTTTAACGTTTTTAGGGGTAGTTTGTTGGACCAACAGAACTCAAGTGAGCTGTATATCTCCCCACGGACTCAAATAGTGGGGAGGTCACGCTCTACTACACGCTCACGCTGCCGGTGAACCCCATCTTCTTCCGGCTGCTGCGCATCGGCAAGCTGGTGCGCGCCGTGCGCATGGTGACCATGACCAGCACCTCGGATGGGAAACAACACGCGAGGCCTTTTTTTTCGTTGTTTTTTTCTTTGTTTGTTTTTTCCCCCTTTTCCCCCCCTCTTTGTTCTTGTTCGGATGGAAAAGGCGAAACCTTGCTTCTTCTTTTTCATGTGGCATCCGCTTGATCTGGCTGTGACTCAAAATGGCACCTTGGTATGTAGAACCAAAGACCAAATCCTGCGTAACCCTAGCTCTTGAATTTTCAGCCTCACCCATTTGTGTCGATGAATTGAACAGCTTGTGATTGAGTGTTTGGGGTTTCTTCCACGCATTCCGACTGGGTGAGCCTCAACCGGTTCGCAGCCGTCGCACTGACCGTGGGCCCGGCATCGGCTACCCCTTTGCTTGAGCAGCTTCGGCCGCCGAGCCGCCAGGCAAAAGCCAAGTGAGCAGTAGGACTTGAGCCAGAATCAACACCCGGGTAGATGAAGGTTTTTTAAGGGACAATCTCAGCCAGAAATAGCTGCGGCCGCCTTCTTCCTTCTGTACATGGTTCTGGGTAGACCATTTCAATACCGGGGTTTGATTGACTCAAATGCTTGGTTTTAAGGGAACTTAGCACCACTCTAGGGGTTGATTCCTTGTCCATTCTTTTCAACCATCGTTCTTTTCTCCAAAGCCGGATTTGTTTCTCCTGGGTGTTTGATGTCTTGAAAAGATTCGGATCCCTGGAAGGAATGGGGAAGCGTTATTTTGGGACGTTGGGACCCTAAAAGCGCACAGCCATGTGTCCATTTGCTGAAATGAATACTTTCAACATTTTCCCTTGTTGGTTTTAAAGGGAATCGCCTGGTTTGCACACCTCGAGGTTTAAGGGAACCTAGAGCTACACGAAACGCGTTCCAGGCTTCAGCCGTACCACCTGGTCCGATCCATCTGAGGATCACTCAGGTACACTCAGGTACGAAAAGCTGGGGTCATTTTTTTCGCTTGTGTTCACTTACTTCCTGAGTTCCTGGATTGTAGTCACTGTTTGGGTAGTCGCTTTTGGGGTTTGGACCACACTCACCTGGATTGTAGTCACTGTTTGGGTGGTCGATTTTGAAGTTTGGACCATTTTAGTGGTAAATGAAAAGTGTGGTTACCTTCTTGGGCCCGTCCTCATGCATTCATGGTGCTGTTGATGCCCGCCACCCACGAATATGGGAGGAGGACACTGGAGGCGCATGCCCCATTCCGAAGACCTCATTTTTTTTTCGCGGATTGGAGGAATCTCTACTTGACCAATCCCCTTGAACCAAACCCAAAACCACAAACATGGTTGTTGCAAAACATTTTACATGTTTGCTTCTTGTGGTTTAGCGGGAAATCCTCACTTAACTGCTAAGATTCAATTTTTTGCTCCCCTTCCAACGTCAACCCCAAAGACGTACATGTGTTGGGTACTTAGGACCCGGGAGGGCCTGGGCAAGCGAAAAGCTCCCAGTGTACTTCGCGAGGCATGCTGGGCTCGCTGCAGCTCCTTGTGAAGTGCCTGGCTGCCAGCAAGGACAGTGACCCAGGGCTGGCAAGTACAACAGAGTCGTGGAGTTTTTTTCGGACAAAAAAGTACTTGTACTTGGATTCGTAGATTTTTGCGGAGATGTTTTTATTACTTGGATTCGTGGATTTTTCGTGGAAACACATGGTACGTACTTGGATTCGTGGAGATGCGTGCGGACAATTTGTTCTTGCTTGGATCCGTGGATTTGTCGCGGACAATTTGTACTTACTTACTTGGGGGTTCGATTTGTCAAGTTAGCAAGTTTGTCAGTGACCTGAGTTCCCAAACCGAACTGTGATAAAAATGCTACCAAAAGCAGTTTTCACCTATCCTGTTTCCACACTGAGACGCTGGCCCTTTTCCGTTGGATACGGTAGAACCTCATCCGCTTCACAACGAATTGTGTTCGCGTGGGGTATCTTCCGATGGATTTTGTAACGAGACCCCCTCTCCTTCATGCAGGAGGCCCCCCAGAACCGAGGACCCCCGGAGACCGGCATTGGAGCTGTCGCTACAAGCAGAGTGGAATTGGGGGGGCAATTCCACGTATGATGCACGCTGGTTTTATTTAGCAACCTCCTTCTTTGAGGGTACCTGGAGTCTCCATGACCCTTGAAAAATAAATCCATGACGGTCATGGAGACTCCCGGTACTGGTTTTTGAGGATAGGCTGCAACAAGTCTACTCGGTCGGTGTCCTTGAAGCGGACCAGGTCAATGCACCTTCTCACCTTCTCACTTCCTGGGTTCCTTTTTCGGATGTTAGTCACTTTTTGGGCTGTTGTTTTGCACTTTGTCAACCTGAACCCTCAAAATTCCAACTTAAAAAAGTGGCTATGGCAACCCTCAATTCTGGGTGACTTGCAACTTTTTTAATGGGTAGTTTGAGAGTCCAGGAAGTTGTATTTGTTTTTTGCCACGTCAAAACCAAGACTTGTGAGGTGTCCCTTAATTGGTGGCTTGGATTGGTGGTTTGGGGATTTGAACCCCTGGTTGTTGTAGAGGGTATTTCCCCACATCTTTGTGTGGGGTTCTTACTTTTTCCGCTCGTCGTCCGCGCGCCGCGTCTCCTCCTCCTTCTCCCGCTCGTCTCCGTCACTCACTCACTCACTCACTCACTCACTCACTCACTCACTCACTCACTCACTCACTCACTCACTCACTCACTCACTTCACTCACTCACTCAACTCACTCACTCACTCACACTCACTCACTCACACTCAGTCACTCACACTCACTCACACTCACTCACACTCACTCACTCACACTCAGTCACTCACACTCACTCACACTCACTCACTCACACTCACTCACTCACTCACTCACTCACTCACGCTCACTCACTCACTCACTCACTCACACTCACTCTCATTCACTCACTCACTCACTCACTCACTCACTCACTCACTCACTCACTCGCTCACTCACTCACTCACACTCGCTGACTCACGGCAGCTGTCTAGAGGGACAGGATGTTGTCGCGCGCGCGGCGGGGGGCGTGCGAAATCGTGGCAGGCGCAGCACTTTGGCGATGCCGTTGCGAAATCGTGGCAGGCGCAGCACTTTGGCGATGCCGTTGCCGAAGTCGTGGCAGGCGCAGCATTCTGTGCATCTGGGTGTGTGTTTGTGTGGCAGGGGTCGCATTCGGCAGCTGTCTAGAGGGACAGGATGTTGTCGCGCGCGCGGCGGGGGGCGTGCGAAATCGTGGCAGGCGCAGCACTTTGGCGATGCCGTTGCGAAATCGTGGCAGGCGCAGCACTTTGGCGATGCCGTTGCCGAAGTCGTGGCAGGCGCAGCATTCTGTGCATCTGGGTGTGTGTTTGTGTGGCAGGGGTCGCATTCGGCAGCTGTCTAGAGGGACAGGATGTTGTCGCGCGCGCGGCGGGGGGCGTGCGAAATCGTGGCAGGCGCAGCACTTTGGCGATGCCGTTGCGAAATCGTGGCAGGCGCAGCACTTTGGCGATGCCGTTGCCGAAGTCGTGGCAGGCGCAGCATTCTGTGCATCTGGGTGTGTGTTTGTGTGGCAGGGGTCGCATTCGGCAGCTGTCTAGAGGGACAGGATGTTGTCGCGCGCGCGGCGGGGGGCGTGCGAAATCGTGGCAGGCGCAGCACTTTGGCGATGCCGTTGCGAAATCGTGGCAGGCGCAGCACTTTGGCGATGCCGTTGCCGAAGTCGTGGCAGGCGCAGCATTCTGTGCATCTGGGTGTGTGTTTGTGTGGCAGGGGTCGCATTCGGCAGCTGTCTAGAGGGACAGGATGTTGTCGCGCGCGCGGCGGGGGGCGTGCGAAATCGTGGCAGGCGCAGCACTTTGGCGATGCCGTTGCGAAATCGTGGCAGGCGCAGCACTTTGGCGATGCCGTTGCCGAAGTCGTGGCAGGCGCAGCATTCTGTGCATCTGGGTGTGTGTTTGTGTGGCAGGGGTCGCATTCGGCAGCTGTCTAGAGGGACAGGATGTTGTCGCGCGCGCGGCGGGGGGCGTGCGAAATCGTGGCAGGCGCAGCACTTTGGCGATGCCGTTGCGAAATCGTGGCAGGCGCAGCACTTTGGCGATGCCGTTGCCGAAGTCGTGGCAGGCGCAGCATTCTGTGCATCTGGGTGTGTGTTTGTGTGGCAGGGGTCGCATTCGGCAGCTGTCTAGAGGGACAGGATGTTCTCGCGCGCGCGGCGGGGGGCGTGCGAAATCGTGGCAGGCGCAGCATTCTGTGCATCTGGGTGTGTGTTTGTGTGGCAGGGGTCGCATTCGGCAGCTGTCTAGAGGGACAGGATGTTGGCGCGCGCGCGGCGGGGGGCGTGCGAAATCGTGGCAGGCGCAGCACCTTAGCGATGCCGTTGCCGAAGTCGTGGCAGGCGCAGCATTCTGTGCATCTGGGTGCGTGTTTGTGTGGCAGGGGTAGCATTCGGCAGCTGTCTAGAGGGACAGGATGTTGGCGCGCGCGCGGCGGGGGGCGTGCGAAATCGTGGCAGGCGCAGCACTTTGGCGATGCCGTTGCCGAAGTCGTGGCAGGCGCAGCATTCTGTGCATCTGGGTGTGTGTTTGTGTGGCAGGGGTCGCATTCGGCAGCTGTCTAGAGGGACAGGATGTTGTCGCGCGCGCGGCGGGGGGCGTGCGAAATCGTGGCAGGCGCAGCACTTTGGCGATGCCGTTGCCGAAGTCGTGGCAGGCGCTGCATTCTGTGCATCTGGGTGTGGAGATGCCATTGCCGAAGTCGTGGCAGGCGCAGCATTCTGTGCATCTGGGTGTGTGTTTGTGTGGCAGGGGCAGCATTTTGTCACTCATTCGCTCGCATTCATACTCACACTCACTCACACTTCTCGGATGTCTAAAGGGTCGTCTACAAGGCTTGTGTAAGTTTTGTCAGAAGTTGGCAGAAGATTGCAGAAGTGTTGTCAGAAGTTCGCAGAAGAATGTTGAGCAGTTCGATCGCATGGCAGAATCGTTGTGTGAGACGTGTTCGCTTGGCCAAAGATGCCGATCGAACGCCACAAAGGCGCATGGCGAGCGTGCGTGTGCAAAGCTGGCTCACGAGTGCGAGGGCCATGTCGAGCATTGGTGAGAGAATGGACTAAGTTCGAGAATGTCTCGAACTTGCTTTGTTTTGTTGATTAGCGGCTCGGGCTGCAGTAGGTTAGCAACGCCTGCGATGAACAAAGCGCGCTAGACCTGCTCTGTAATCGCATCCATACAAGGGGCGCACGGTACATGTGTGTGGACATTTGAACTCACATCCTTGGGAAAAACATAGCATGTAAGGTTATCCGGTCCTTTAATTTTTTGACACACAAGACATGGCATAGTCCTCTATACTTTTCTTGGCCTGCATGGCTTAGCCAATTTCTGGCTGACCTTGCCCCTGCCAAACTTGTAGAGGGTAAATGGAAAGTCCCTCCTGAACCAAACCACCGGGCTCCAAACCACCAATTAGCTTCCCCAGAATTAGCTCCCCTTGTTTGTTTTTTGCTTTTTTGGGTTCCTTCTTTGTTTTGCACTCACCAGGCAAAAAAGATAACCACCAAATAGAAAGCCCCTCCTGAACACCACCGGGCTCAAAACCACCGAGAGTCGGGAGCTGACGAAAGGGCGATGCAGGACATGCTCTTCTGGAGCTTCTGTTTGCTCACCTTCGTGCAGTGCATCGCTGGCATGCCGCCCGGCCTTCGGCCTTCGGCCTTCGGCTCGCTCGCCCAGAAAAACGGCCGGGGCCGGCTGGTTTCGGGCAAAAGCCCTGCTAGAGTCTCCTTCTGACCAAAAAATGGGGCCAAAATGACCCCTGAATCTTCTCCATGACTAGAACAAATTGTCAGAAACCCCTCGATTTTTTTGGGTTGTGACCAACCATTTTTAAAGGGTCAGAGGGAGACTCCAGGCTGGTCCAAAAAATCCACGGGGAAGTGGTGGGCATGGCTTGCCTGAACCTAGAGTCTCCCTCTGACCCTTTAACAATGGTTGGTGATTACCCGAAATAATTGGTTACGAGCCCTTTTTCCAGGGGTCAGAAGGAGACTCTAGGACCCCGCAATGTTGGCCCATGGTTTCCCCTAATGTTGGCCCCATATTTATCTTGCTGGTGGGATAGGCAGGGAATGAGAAATTTAATGACCCCTATAAACCATCCAAGTGGTGGATTCCTTCAAGGGGACCCCTAGGTTCATTCCCTCATTTTTTAATGAGAACCAGCAAGTCATCGCAACATGGAATTAAATAGATCCCTTTGCAAGACAAATCTTCTCGAAGAGGCAGCCTGTGCAGTTCTATTTTTGTTGATTGCTGCTTCTTTCCGGATCTTAGTTTTGGAACATGCCCGGAGTCTCCATGACCCGTAAAAAATTGGGAAACAAAAAGTCATTACCCAAAATCAGGGGTTATGACCCCTTTTTCAGGGGTTATGGAGACTGTAGTAGGGTTTTTGTGAACGGCGCACTCACCATGCGATGCATAACTGCTCCCAGCCGGCTTTCCATGCGAGCGCCGGCTGTTGATCATTTTTGTTTGGGGGGTCGCAGGGTCTGGGCTTGTCTGTTTTTTTTTGGGGGGACAGCCTCGCATTTGCAAGGCTGACCCCAAAAGCGTGGCAGCGTCCCAAAGAAGGAGCTGCAAAGCCCGAGCCACCACAAGAAGACTGAGAGAGGCATTTGAAAACAGCACGGAAAACACTGCGAAGCAAACGCTGAGAAACACCTTGTATAAAACAAAACGACCTTGGGTTTCTACGCTTGTATAAAACGCTGAGAAACCTTGTAAAAAAAAAAAAAACAAAAAACGACCTTGTAGAAAACCCAGCCTCTCAGGAGGCAAACGACTCCCGGTGGCCACGGGAGACCTCTGTTTTCGTCGTCGATTTTGAAGGGCACCGGACTTTCTGAGGTCCTGGACTTGAAACTCGTTGGAAAGACCATTTGGCGGTGGGTCAAGATTAAACCACCATGGGACCACAGGCTCAATCCATGTTCCCATTTACCAGGGGTGCCTATTTTTGACCCACGCCCATTTAGTCGTACCTAGAGTCTCCTTCTGACCCTTTAAAAATGCTTGGTCATTACTCTAAATAATGGGGTCATGGACCTATTTTGTTTCGGGTCATGGAGACTCCAGGTAAGTAAACAGTTCAGACTGTTTTTGGCCAGTCACTCGGAAGCGAAGACAAAAGGAAAACCTTTCCAAGAAAGACGCCGTTTTAGCGGTCCCCATTTTGAGACAATCCATTCTAGGTGGTACCAGCTGGCGAAAAACCTGGAGTCAACCAGGAAAGCCGGTTGGGTACAAAAAGGGTAACCAAGTACTTCAAAAAAGAAGGCGAGCCACTGCGCTTTCACAGGCTGTTGTTTGGATCTAACGGATCATTCATCACAAAGGGGTCCCTACAGATCAGCACATTCGGGAGATGATTCAGCTGGAATCTGCCAAATGGTGTTTGAAATTGTGGGTTCCAAGTACTGAAGCCGAGTCTGAAAACAAAATCCCTCCCTTGCACAAACATGGAACCTCACGGACTATAGACGACCATTTTCCTCTAAGCATGAAACCTGCTGGTCCCGGTTGCATGGGCAGCGCGGACTGCAGGGCACCAGAGGGCACGATTCGGGCCAAGATCCCGTAGGGGACTTGTTCACTTCCTGTGTTCATGAACTTTAGTCACTTTTTGGGAAGACCATTTTAGTGGTAAATATACAGTTTGGACTTTTTTTGGCCATCCACTCAGCAAGTGAGTGTTGCACTGAGGATCTTGGGCACGCTTTGTACGGAATTCATCCATGACGAGACAAAGGACTGGAAGCGGGGGTTGCCGATTCGCTGAGGCCCAGTTCCCCTGACTGATTTGACACGTACGTAGCTGCCCAACAAACTGACTTCGCTTGAGAGAAGTTTTGTCGTGGCCGTTGACCCCAACATGCTGGACTTCGTGCTAGTCATTGGCAGTTTGTTCCTCACATGCTTGATATGTTATGGTGTCATGTCGGTTATGTACCTGGACTCTCAAACTACCCACAAAAATTGGAAATTCACCCACCAAACTTTTGGGGCTATAACCCATTTTTAAGTTGGGTTCATGAGGCTAGTGGTGATTATGTTCAAGTGTTTTGCAACCACCGAAGAGAGGGCATCGCCCCGCACTGAACTCCGTTAGTGTTGCCTTCCGGAAAGTGAATCAATGTATGCAATGTGTTCGAAGAGCCAACTTGCCACTCTGTGTTGGCAAGGCAGCACTATGAATCTAAATGTACAGATACGTGTACATATGCGTTCTGCAAATAAAGCTCTGACCACAGATATTTTGGATTTGCAACCTTGGTGATCTATTGGAATTTACCCAGAATCACAAGAGAAAAGCTGGTGAACGGTACTTGCTTTAAGCTTGCAAACCAAAGTTGGTTTCGACTGTTATGCAGTTGCTGTGACTGCCCTTAACGAAGTGCACAAGGGGAAAACCGCAGTAGCGGCACATGTCAGCTTCCATGAAAAGAACTAGGTCCCCCAGTAGTGCCCTTTCTCACCCCTGTTTCTGTTGGGAGGGTTCCCCTACTAAAATAGACTACAGAAAAAAGGGTACCTTATTCTAACCTCCCTACTGGAGGACCCAGCGAAGGAATCAGGGAGAAAACTAGTTGTCGGGAGCGAGGATGATAAGCTCAGAGAGATGGTCTGGCGCTACTACGGCACCTTCACTCGCTTCTCAGACAGAAATCTGAAATCGCCCAGCCGGGCATCTGACGTTTTCCTTTTTAAAGAAGGGGTGCTTTGGTGCGTGAGGGGCCCAGCGTTTTTTTTTCTTCCCCAAATCACTTCCACCGCGATGGCAAAGACATTTGTTGACCCGTATCCCAATCGAGGGATCAATATTCTGACTTAATCATATGCTAGAAGTTGTTTTTCTTTTTCCTGGATTGGTATTTGTGTCTTTCAAAGGTGAAAGCTGGAGCTGCTCTAACCGAATGCTGTAGACGTGAGCGGGGGGCTGCTTGAGCCAGATGTTTTTTTTTGTTTTTTTCCTTTCTTTTCCCATTTTTTTTAAAGGGGCTTTTAGTACTTGAGGGGAGCTCCCTGGCATGAACTGAGGCAAGGTGTTGGGTACCTAAAGTCTCCATGACTGGAAAAAGCGGTCATAACCTTCAATTTGTTGGTAATGTCCAACCATCTTTAAAGGGTCGTGGAGACTTCAAGCTCCATACCGGCATGGAATGTTGGCAAGGTGTTTCACGTTCTCGTCTGGCGTGTGTTGCTGACTCTGTGCCCGTTGAGGGTTCATTTGAGATCGACAAACCAAAAGGATCCCGCCAAACTGGTTTTGAAGTTCAAACAATGCACAGACGCGCACCAGTTGTCTTGGCACCCTGCATAGACTCGCGTTTGGTTGGGCGGTCCCTGGCGTCGATGCTCAATCCTGGCAGGTCAACAGGTAACACAATGTATGTTTCTCAAATTGGGGAGACGATTCAAACACCCAACATGTTGGGTTCTTGCCTTTTGTTGCTTTTGTGTTTTTTTCGCGCTCCGAGCACCCCCCTTGGGGTCCTTTTCCAAAGTGTGATTCTGCAGGACAACCCCCCCCCCTCCATTTTTTAATGCTCCTAGACTCTCAAACTACACATGGAAAAAAGCAGATTCACCAACCATAACTTCGGGTTGCTATAACCCCTGTTCAATTTGGAATTTTCAGGGCTCTTTAATCCCCCCAGGTTTCAGTCCAAGATCCGAATCGATTTCAGGATTCGGGCAGTCACGTGCATGCGAGCCAGGCACGAGAACATCCATAGCGCTGCTTTGGGGGGGGGGGTGCATTCGTAGCTTTTCAAATCCACCCGGCTCTTGCGCGGCGCATCCGCTTCGAAGAACGCCTCCTTGGGCTTTTTTTTTTTTGTAGCGACCCGTTGGCTCTTGCGGCCCCACTGCGCATCCGCCCCTTTCCGGGTGTAGCGACCCATGTATCGAACACTATTTTCGCCTACTTCCGACCGTGGTTTCGGTCGGCGCGTGTCGGCGCGGTCTCGCCCGCGCGCGCCTGCGCGCCTCCTTCGCCGCGCGTTTGAGGCACCATCCTGACGCTCTTTGAGATCATGTTCGCCAACTGGGGCCCTCCATGCAGGGTGCTGGTGGATCATGTTTCGGAGGTATTCTCCGTCTTCTTCCTGCTCTACAGGCGCCGTCAAAAAAAAACAAAATCCAAAGCGCCGCGACACAAAGATCGCCAGTGGCTCTGGGGATCGATCGCAAGGGTTGAGCGAAACACGATGAAACACGGGACATGCATGAACCGACAAGGAACAAAGGAATAGCCTGTACGCAGAAAGTCGCCTCGTAAACAAGCTCAGACAGGTTCCGTATGCGGAAAAGCTCCCTGAAACTGGAAATGCCTTGGAGGCTCCTTCTTGAGTCTCTTGGGTTTGATTGAAGTCGAAATAGCTGTTCCTGGACTCTCCATGACCCTTTAAAAAAGTATGGCCCTATGATTTAGGGTAATGACCCAACTTTTTACAGGGTCATGGAGGCTCTAGGTTGACACGCTGTTGCGTTCTTTCGGCACTGAAAAGATGCCGAGCGGGCTTAGACAGAGAGAACCGCTTTGGGGGCCTTGAGCAATTCGCGGGCCCCGAGAAAAAAAAGGTCGTTTAGGGAGGTGGCCGGTTTACGTCCCCAACAAACTTTAAAAGTGAAAGGTACCCCCTACTCCAAATACCACTTTGATACCCTAAAAAAAGTTGTTGTTTGGAGTCGGGGGTACCCTTGAATGCTGATACGGTGGTTGCCCAACATATTCAAGCAAACCCATGGGAATTTGCAGGGTTTCCTTTGTTCCTTGCTTGCAATATTTAGGGCATCCAGCGGAACATGGCTGTGTCGAATTTGATGAGAGCACAATTTATGGGAAGCGTTTGCTTACATGATTGCAGGCATCCGAAAGAAAAGCAGGCATTTGGATAGAACACCACAAATTCAAGGGGGAACGTGAGCGCAAGCGCGAGGGGGCAAGATTGCATGTTTGTTGTTCAGAAGCTAGTTGTGTCAATACAGACTCTACGGACTATTGCTCGGCTTATCATAGTGCAGACGGACTATTGCTCGGCTTATCATAGTGTAGGTGCAGGTTTTAGTCGATCTCGCAGCCCATCCTCCGGTGTCCATCTCCCTGAACTGGTACCCCCCAACTCCAAATACCTTTTTTCAGGGTATCATGTCGACCCTCTACTAAAAAGGAGGTATCTACCTCGAAAAACCGATCGGTTTTCCAAAACATACCCTGGAAGAAGTAGGTATTTGGAGTAGGGGGTAGTTTGAGGGTCCATGTCCATCTCCCACAGGTTCGGGGCACGGGTTTTGAGTTGTTTGCTTGACTTCACCAATTGGACTCCAGGCGTACAAGTGCAATTGGATGGATGTGGGGCTTGCAATATAAATGTATCCTTTTTTTGGGGACACCCACAAATCGTGGGTTTCCTTTTGGTTTCTCCTTAAATCCGCAAAAACAGGTGTACCCTTAAAAGAGAGATACGCATGTGCTTTGGAATCCTCAAGTGAAACCCAACGACCCGCTGGCGTTTTCCAAACGGCGCTCGTTGCAGGTGCGTCCTGGGCTTTGCAGTGCTCAATGTGGTCAACGCGGCTCGGCCTCATGCGTGGGGAACGGTTGCCCACGCTTTGGGTACAACCATAGGTGTCCTTTGGTTGATTTGGTTGAAAAACAGAGGCCCCTGGTTTACATGGTGGTTCAATCAACTACCAGGGCCATCTATTTTCCCGAAAAGGATACGCGAGAAGGAAGCTAATGTGCGCTTGGGGCGCAAGTTTGGGAGCTTGCCCGCGAGTGCTTGACTATCCTGTCGTGCGCGCTTGGGGCGCAAGACGATCCCTTAAGACTGTGTTCAGTTCATAGGGATGGTCCATCCAACTTGGTTTTGAACGCTCGCAACCCTTTTGTTTTTTTGCGCGGACATTTGACCATCCAAGCATCCGAGCATACACATTGTCCTTTGAGCGGATGCTGTTCCCAAGGGTCGTTTTTTGTTTTTGTTTTTAAACACGATGGCGCCAATTAAGATATAGACTTGAACGAAACAGCTTATACTACCTGGAGTCTCCATGACCCACAAATGGGGTCATTACCCTAATAATGGGGTCATGGTCCGATTTTCGATTCGGGTCATGACTTCAAGTTGTTTTTTCCTTTCACGGTTCACACGATCTCTTCAAACACGGGATGCCTTTCGGGCAGAACCTCCCCTGAGCCTTCCAGCGCGTTTAGCTCAGATGGGATCCCTCCAGAGAACTTGGCAGATGGGATCCACAGGCCTTGGGAGGGCAAACAGATCCACTCGTAGGTGTTTAGTTTGATTCTCCTTGTTTTTTTTTGTTGTTGTTTTTTTACCTGGAGTCTCCTTCTGACCCGAAATAAAAATAGGTCCATGACCCACCATTATTTAGGGCAATGACCAACCATGTTTAAAGGGTCAGAAGGAGACTCTAGGTAGACGAATTCTTAATACATGGTACGTATAGATGTTTTCGCCTACACGTTGAAGTTCTTGTGGCACATTGCGAGACATACCACGTGCAGCGTGTATCACTTAGAACAAGCTTCACATGCCCGCTTGTCGCAGGAGATATCTTTGAATGTCTTTGGCACTCGAGCTGAGGCCGTCTTTGTGCAGCAGACGATGCGAACAGCCAGTTCAGACGAGGAGCTGGCATACAAGCAGAGGCGATGGGGCGCTGAGAATGTCGAGGGATTAATCCACCTTGCGAGCTTATAGGGTCTTCCCATTAAAACTCTAGCCCCCTCTTAAAAGGGAGGCACCCCAATCAAAATCAGCCAGGGCTCCATGAATCATTTCCACGAAAACGGGCTCATGGGATGCCTGGCGGGATGTGCCGCAACGAACCTTCTTGGGTCTCCTCCAAACATCATTGATATTTTGGGGTAGTGACTAGATATCAAGCAGAATCTGAGCATATGTGAGTTTTTTGCGTACCCCAGAATTGAGCCGAGCTCGAGATGTGGCCCCCTCGGTTGCAACCAATGTTCAGCCAGACAAGAGACCATGAATGCGTCCATTTTGTCAATGCGCCCACATGCAGGTTGGCTGCACCTGACCCAAGTTGCCCATTTCATGGTTGTTGTTTGGACACATTTTACATTTTTGCTTATGGTGGTTGAGTGGTTGAAATCCAAATCCACTTAACTGCTCAAAACTGCTAAACTATTCAATTTGTTGCTCCCCAAACCCAACGTCGACCAAGAACCAGGGAAATTTATCGATTTTCAACCAAAAAGGACACCTATGGAGCTGCCTGAGTTGCCTCTGGGCCCGGTGAATTGTTTCACCCACTGTTTCTATGAGTTTGGTTCCGCCGAGCCAAGTCGGTTTTCAGGAAGCTTCCAGAGCTCTCAGGTCCCGAAGGATCGCACGGATGCTTTTTGGAGAGGATTGGAAAATGCGGTGGATGGACTAAATCCATTTCGCACCACCCAAGAAACTCTAGAATGATATGGTAAAAAGCCGGAGCCGCGAGTGTAACTAACAATGGTTGGTGCTGTGGATGGGCGAAATCCATGCAACGCACCACCGTTGAGAAACCCAAAGGAATGATTCGATTCCCCAACGTAAATACCAACAAACAATGGGTTAAACCATGGTTTCAACGTGGTGCGAAATGGATTTCGTCCATCCACAGTATGAGTCTTAAAACAGGGGGATCCGTGGGTTTCCTTTCGGTGTTTGATGACATGGGTGTGTGTCAAAATTAAAACCACCAGGAATTGGACCGCAGGTTTTAGTCCATGTTTCCATTTACCAGGGCAACCCATTTTGGGTACCTTGTTTTGACCCACAGCCACATAGGCCCGAATTTCTGTGCCCAGAAACAAAGACCCACATGAACCAATTCTTAGCCCTTCAGGGTGCCTGCCCGCTCCGGCGCAAGACTCGACGGAACTTGGAGCAACAAACTCCCCGGCAAATGGGGGTGGGGCAAACCTAGATACCCAAAATGGAACCCAGGTACTGGAAACAAGGACCAGAAACCGCGGTCCAATTCCTGGTTGCTGAGTTTTGCCCCGTTGGACTTCGACAGGTCGCTCGACTCTCGCCAGGTGCTCCTCAAGAGTTTGCTTTGTCTGAGACTTTCCTTTGGAGACGGGTGACACTTCAAGCATTGGTCCCGCTCGGTGTGATTTGCTTTCAGGCAAGACTTGGCATCCCGAATCCGAAAGAACCCGATCAGCCCTGAATACACATTCGTCGCTATTCGCTTCTATTGGGATTGGGGAATCGGCCCCTATTGGGGGGCCCTTGACAACAACCCGGGGCTCTGAATTCAGCTCTGTTGGAGTCATCGTACATGTTGGATACAGGCGGTATGAGGGGTTGAAAGGCAGTCACGCCAACGGATTCCAGGTACTTCAATGCTATTTTTTGGACACATCCGCATTCTGTGGATTTGGTTTCTTTGTCCAGATGCAGTTGGGCTGGTACCGTTTGTTGTTTGTTTGCGCCATGTCAACAGCCCCTCCTTTGGGTGGTTGAAAGAAAGGAAGTCAAAAAGGCACACCAAGGGATTCCTGGTATGCCAATTGGTTGCAGCATTCCAACCGCGGCAAGTTCGGGGAAGTCGAATGCGCGCAGGCAGAAGGAGCTGGCCTTGTACACCAAGAAGGCCGATTCCGATTCCTTGCGTCAACTTGTTTCATGGGAGATGAGCTTTGCCCTCGTGCAGATCAACATGGAACCCGACAACCATTTAAACGCCCCCGAATGTGTGGGAGTAGTGTTGCTTTGCCAATCAGCAAAGTTTCAGTGATTAGGTTTTTGTTTTTTCTATATACTTAATCGCGTAGTCATACAGATCGGACTTTTACTCTTTGGTATGCGGGGGTAGCGCGGGGTTTGGTGCAACAATGCCTTGGTCCCTTGGTACGATAGTTAAACGAAAAGGACAATGCTTGCTCCTTGCAAGAGCTATCTTCACTGGTGAAGCTTGTTTTTTTGCTGCCAGTCCTCATGATAGCACAGGCTCGCAACGTTGTAGCACATGCCCAGCCAACTAAGGTCAACTCAAGGTCAAGCGCAAACCATTGCTTGACACGAGACTCGATGTTCTTTTGAAGGCTGCCGGACAGCAAACAACCACATTATCATACTCGAAGACATCCCGCAAAGCGGGCGAAGATGTGTCCTGTTTTCCACTGCTCACTTTGCAACTTGACCGTCAGGCGCCGACTAAAGTCAGTGAGTCCCTGCGACCTCATTGGGAAGTGGAAGCCAGCCCGCGCCTCCTGTTTAATAGGGAAGCCAAAGCGAATGTCGTATGAACACTTAAAACACGAAACTTTTCTCAACTTTTTGGGGGTCACATGGGCTATATATATGTCTGTCAAAATCTTCACTTCCCCAGGTGGCTTGCAGCTTTAAAAGGGGTAAACAGCTGGTGACAATAAATTTTCTCAGGGGCCTCCGAAAAGACGCCGAAGCGTTTGGGTCGGCTGGAATGCCCCACGTGGGGTCAAGCGATGGTTTTTCGGATTTGACCTCCTGGTCAACAGGTGGACGTTGGAGCGATGTTTTCAGCTGTGAAAGGCAGTGGGGAAGGGGCGTCGCAAGCTCCGCTCGCGAAGCAGCCGAAGCTCACACGCCCTGCTAGATTCTGCAGTCGCTCGCATTGGACACGTTTTCTTGGGATACCACGTGGGAACTTGTGAGCCAAACGCGTCATTCCTGGCCGCGGCCCGCAAAAGCTAACCAGCTTCCCCAAAATTAGCTCCCCTTTCTCCTTTTTTGCTTTTTCGGGGTCCCCTTTTCCACGAGCCAAGCAAAACATATAGTGTTTTGCTGGGGTCAACTAATTCCAGCCAAGCCAGCAGGGCACCTTCTGGCGCTCAGCTCCCATCCATCCGTCCCGGTTGATGTTTGTTTTTTCCCGAAGGTGACCAAATGTGTCCAACCATTTTAGAGTCCAACCATTTCTTAGGGTAGTGACCAACCATTTTTAAGGGCCAGAAGGAGACTCCAGGTAGTTTTTTTTTCCCCAGCGAAGGTGAAGCGGCTCTTTCAGAACATGGACTCCACCGGGGACGGAGCCATCAACTTGGAAGAGTTCTCGAAGCTCGTGCAGTCCCCCAAGCTGAAGCCTCTCGAGCCCAATAGAAAGCGATGCAACGAGTCTTCTTCTGACCCGAATCCAAAATAGGTCCATGACCAACCATTAGTTTAGCTAGTGACCAACCATTTTTTAAGGGTCGTGGAGACTCCGGGTTCTCACTTCCTGAGTTCCTGGATTTTAAGAAGTTGTTGGGTCTGAACTATTTTTGGGTTTGAACTCTTCTTTGTCGGGTCCGAACTTTAAAAAGTTGTTCTGATTGTACTTCGTTCGGCGAAGTTGGATGACTGGTAGCAGGATGACCGCCATCGAGATTTCAAGCGTTCCCGATCGCGGCAAGCTTCCTCTGTGGACCGAAGGAATATCTGTTTTGCTACGGTTTCCGTGCGTCCCGCCGGAGAACCTGAGTGAAGTCTCAGCTGGTGTTCCGGGCATGGTGCACAGTGCCACAGCCCCATCGAACCCAGCCTGTGTGGCTTCTATGTCCTTTTTGTAACGACTTTGGAAAGCCGCGGCTGCTGACCCCCTTGTTAGGCTTCCTCTTGACAACGATAGCTGTAAAGGCGTTTTGCGTTGGCCAGGTTGCCAGCGACATTCGCCCAGGCCGACGGCCAAAGCGTGTGCAGAGCATCGTGCTAACGGGCGAGCGCTATTCCTTTACTCCCGCCAACCTCAAAATCTCAAAACTTGCCTTTCTCCCGTTCGCCTGTTTTGCAAGAACTTTGCCGGAGGCTTTGCAACACGGCAGCCAAAGCCAAGCAACTGATTGGGTCAGGCGGCGTCTCACGTTTCTCCTGGACCCAAGCGGTGTTGCGCTCAACAAGATAGTGGCGCTCGGGCTTTTGTCCTACGAGGTAGACAAGCACACATGGGAATCCTGAGCTTGTACCTAGCGGCGCCTTCGCAGATTTCCGTCTTTCGGGAGCATGCCCAAGTCGGATTAACATGTGGTCGACATTCGATCTATGTCGTTCAGAATGAAGACTTTTGCTGCAAAAGTTGGTTTCACTGGTGCATGAACTCGCGCCTTCCTGGTATTGCTGATGCATCAGGGGGTTTCCAATTGAACAGCATCCGGTCGATCCTTGTTGGCCAAAGTGGTAGAAACATGTAGAAACTCCGACATACTGTGGATGGGCGAAATCCGTTTCGCGCCACCTAAGAAACTCTGGAATGATTGAATTCCCAACGTAAATACCAACACATGTTATGGTTTCAAAGTGGTGCAGATTGGATTTTCGTCCATAGCAGAGCCATGTGTGCTTCGGTAGCTTGGCTACGAGTTGTGCTTATTCTGCGTGATCCGAGGTTTTGGATGAGCCAGCTGGAGATGCCTGGCTGCATGCGAGTACCTGGAGTCTCCTTCCGACCCTTAAAAAAGGTTGGTCACTACCCTAAATAATGGTTGGTCATGACCCACCATTTTTGATTCGGGTCATGGAGACTCCAGATTCCCATAGAAAAAGTGGTGATTACAATATTTGGAGGGCCACGGAGTCTCCAGGTAAGGAAGCTCCAGGCGGTTTTTGGGAATCCCAAAATAGAGACCTGGGATCTTCAGAGAGCCACACTCCGGCGTCGGCTTCCGGGCGACACTCCCAAGTTCTATAGAGCCCTGAGATGGAATTGGCCATGGTTCAAAACCAATGGTACTGTGGATGGACGAAATCCACTTAGGCACCACTTTGAAACCATGGGCAACCATAGTTGGTTGGTATTTTCAGGGGAATCATCATCCTAGGGTTGCTTAGGTGGTGCGAAATGGACTTCGTCCATCCACACTACCACCCATGGTCTCCAGGAGGCGACAGATTTCATGACGCTTTTGGCTTCTTTTTTCAGCTCGCTGGACGACATATGGCTGTGGGTCAAAACCAATGGTAATGACCACTTTGGGATAGGTGAATTCACCACCTAAATTTGTTCCTATTTTAGTGGTTAGATTGGGATGTTCACTGGGGGTACGATTTGGGTTTTGACCCATGGCCAATTCGGAGGGGGTGTGACCCTTGGAATTCCATGAATTGGTTTTCCACGCGACATGGGTACAAAAAGAACGGGGGAACCCCTCAGCAAGCCCCCGGGCTCAAGGCAAGAATGCCGCAACTGACTCTAGGTCCCCCAGTAGTCTTTTCTGGGGGAGGGTTCCCCTACTAAAATAGACTACAGGAAAAAAGTTGGCACCCTTATTCTAACCATCTCTATTGGAGGACCTAGTTGTGTGTTGGATGTGTTTGCTTCACCCGCAATATCCGCCATGTGGGCCATTTGGTCATGGTTCAACACCAATGGTGCCATTCTGGGATAGGTGCACCACCCCAATTTGAGTCCTATTTTCGTGGGGATTGGGATGCTCACGGGGGGTACCTGGAGTCTCCATGATCCTTCAAAAATAGGTCCATGACCCCTCAATTTTGGGTAATGACCCCATTTTTTTTCAGGGTCATGGAGACTGCAGGGACGGGGGTTTTGACCCATGGCCAAAATCGTGCTCGCCGGCTCTCGCAAAGGCTGGAATACCACGACCTGCTTAGCCTCTTCGAGCGTGGCAGCCTATACACAGGAGTGAGTAAGCTCAGGTTTCGCCCAGCAAGAAAAAGGAGAGACAGAAACCCGGATATTTACCTAGAGTCTCCTTCTGACCCTTAATCAATGGTTGGTCATTCCCCTAAACAATGGTTGGTCATGGACCTATTTTGACATTTTTTTAATGGTCATGGAGACTCCAGGTTCCCATAAAAAGTGGTAATTACAACATTTGCCATACTTACCTGGACCCTAAAGGACCCTTTTTCTGCCTTCCCATCCACACAAACGGTAAGGAGGACAACAGGAATCGGCCCCTTGGGTGGTCTGATTTTTTTAAGTCTTCGAGGCCCGAAGGCCAAGCAGCTCCGACGAGAGCCTCGGCCCCTAAGCCCACGGAATGTTAGCATGTTGACTCACTCCCTGAGTTCCTGGACTTTAAACTTTTTGGGAAGACCATTTTAGTGGTAAACAGAAAGTTTGAACTTTTTTTGGCCCATCAACTCAGGAAGTGAGTTGATGCCCACGCATACTACCCCTAAGGCCTCCGTCATGGTTTAATAGGTCAGGTGACTCAGGTGACCCCCTACTTTAAGGGGCATACGTCAGGTAAGTGGTGAGAGTAACCATGGTGAGATGACCTACAAAGGCCCTGGTTGTACGCAGGCCACGCGCCCCAAAAGGGGTACCTGGAGTCTCCATGCCGTAGAATTTGGTTGGTCATTACCCTAAATAATGGTTGGTCATGGACCTATTTGTAAAGGGTCATGGAGACTCCAGGTATCCTGTTTGGGCAGTCTTCGAGGTGTGCGCATTCTGCAAATGGAATGGTGTACAAGCGGTTGACACAGAGGATTTCATGCGATCCATACCACCATGTAATGTTGGCATCTCCCAGGACCAAATCCTGCACAACTTTGGAAACCATGGTTGAAACCATTGTTCATTGGCATTTGCAGGGGAGTCGATTCCCATTCCAGGGCTTCTTGACGGTGGTGCGAAATGGATTTCGCAACCATCCACAGTATTACTCTCTTTTTTTTTGTGTTTACAAACCGCCGGTGGCCTATTTGGCTCATCCAAGGCAGGCAGACTACATGTTCACCTGGCTTTAAGTTAACCCGGCTTTCTGGCAGACACAGAACACTCTGATCCACTGCTTGCTAAGCAGAAATTTTGGGTTCCAGGGTCATTTAATGATTAGTCACATCGTTGTTTGTATGTTCATGATTTGTGGTGATGTAAAAAACACCGCGTTGGTACTATTCCAGCCCTTAAATTTTGGTTCCCCGCAGTTGGTAGTTTGGATTGGAGGTTTTGATTTGGATTTGAGCCCTTGGTTCTTGCAGAGGGTTATAGAAGACCAACCCCCCAACCTCGGAACCACCAATTCGGGGGAAGCCGATTTGTAGTACCAAGGTTCCTGGACAACGGCGACGGCCAGATCACCTTGACACTTGGTGGCTCCCAGCCATCCCGTCAACCTTTTAGCTTTTTAGTGTTTACCTAGACTCTCCATGACCCTTTCAAAATGGGTCCACCCCCCTATTTTGGGTAATGACCAACCATTGTTGAAGGGTCGTGGAGACTCCAGGTAGTGTGCAGTTTCCGAATTTCACCCACTGAAGGTGAGTCAAACTTCTAGCGGGGGATCTGAAAGCGGGCAGCCCAGGACCGAATTTATTGAGGGCGCCGGGCGACTGCGCGGCACTGCCAAGGCGGGATCGACGCAACACAGCGACGCCAAAGCGTGTCGTAGACCGAACAAAACCAATGCCCGGCTGTCGAACAAATGCCTCGGAACGGTTTCTCCGTCACTGCCTGAGATCATGGACTTTAAACAGTTTGGGAAGACCAGAGTTGCAACCCAAGAGTGAAAGTCCAAAGATCCAACCAAGTAACCATAAGGCTGAGCTGTCTTTCTATTCGGCCCAGGAAGACAGTCAACTATCGACATGACCTCTCAAAGAGCCGAATACTAGGCATCGGCTGAAACGTGGCGGCCTGTCGGGTTGTTTGGCACACGCCGGCTCCCCAAACCATTGAGAAACCATTGCAAGTGCATCGCATCCACGGCATAGGATAGGTGTCCTTGTGGAGACATCCATGGCAGGCACTGGTCAATGAGTAGAACTAAACTGAATGGATCTATATACATGTTCAACCAACTGCTCTCTAGAAATAACATGTTGTCACACAGGCACCCCTAAACCTGTAAACAATTATGAGATAAGACAAGCACACATATCCCAACGCTTGTGATTTCAGATACTTGGCTCCCATTTGTTGTTTCCAGTCAGCCATGAGTCACCACTCGAAGGCCATTGACCCTTACTCTCACTTGCTGAGTGGCTGGCCCAACCTCCACGGAAAGTTGGCTCCTATTTCTAGTCTGAACGAGGCTTTGCAAGCCATGTTGAATATGTGTCCTTGTTTAGGAATCCCCCCCCCAAAAGCAAAGAAACATGGTGGTTTTCCTTTTGGTTCCCTTGAAGACCAAGCAAAACAGGGTTCTAAGTTGGAATTTCGAGGTCCCGGTACCTAGGGTTTCCATGACCCCTCGAAAAAGGGGTCATAACCCCTTAATTTTGGGTAATGACCAACCATTTTGAAAGCGTCAGAGGGAGACTCCAGGTAGTTTTTGAGGCTCCCGGCCCCCGTTTTTTTCTCCGCCCGCGTTCCCCACGTCGCTCGCGCTGACGGCACGGACGGCACGTGGCTCGGACGTCCAGAGGCCATCGACATTTGGCGCGTGGAGACCAAGGTGGAGGTGCTCTTCGAAGAGGCGCGAAGAAAAAGACTCGCCAGTCTCCCAGGTAAGTCCTTCGACCTCCAAAGACCCCTGCGGTCTTGGGACAGGGCTTGTTGACTGTAAGATTCTGAAGCGACGTCGAATCAAGCAAACGACTCGCGGGCGGAGAGCTGGTGAGACGTTTCTTGCTGGGGCGTTTTTTAGGGAGACCTTCGCTGCGGCGATTTTTTTTGGTAGCTGAGTCTCTCAGCCAGCCTCCACTTTCGAAGCTCCTGAAATCTGTCGTCTTCAGCTCAATTGAAGCTCCTGAAAGGGGCTTCGAGACCGGTGGCATGTTGGTTTCCAGTTCGAAGTGCCTTTGGACTGGCATCTTGTACCCTACCACCTGGAGTCTCCTTCTGACCCGAATCAAAAATGGTTGGTCATCACCCTAAATAATGGTTGGTCATGGACCTATTCTTAAAGGTTCAGAAGGAGACTCCAGGTACGAATTGGGACCCCCGAAGAAACACCAAATACGGGTCTTGGGACCCTAGGGCTTGCTGACTCTGAACGGGCTTCTCCCGTTCACCAGAAGCGTGAGCCGTTGGCCTTGGTGTTTATCCCGTTCTCGGTTGTTCAAAATGAGTCGACCCGAAATGACCTTCTTTATTGGTTTTCCCGTGTTGGGACCCATTTTTTTTTCGTAGAGGTCCCAGAAGGTGATCACCTTTTGATATCCAGGTCCAAACTGGGCGGAGCTTTGGGTGGACGAGTCCTTCCCCTAATAATATATTTCCATGTCCGCCTTTTAGCATGTTTGAGTACGTCAACCGCATGGTTTCCCTTTGGTTTCCTTTACAAAAGGGCCCCACCGAGGATACTATCTGTATAAGAGGTATTAATCAGTAATTATTGTCTACCGTGGTTTCAGCGAGCCGCTTGTTGCTTGCTTCCGGTGAGGTGCTGCACATGCTGCGGGGTCCTGAGTCGGACACGCCAGACCCAGTGCCCATGGTCTCCAGGAGTGGGCGACTGATTTCATGACGCTTTTGGTTTTTTTCAGCTCGCTGCACGATTTGTTCAGCTCGCTGAATATGGCTTTTGGTCAAAACCAATGGTAATTACCATTTTGGGGTAGGTGCACCACCCATTTTAGTCTATTTTAGTGGGGATTGGGATGTTCACTGGGGGTATGGAATTTTGACCCATGGCTATTTCATGACACTTTGTTTTTTTCAGCTCGCTGAGCGACATATTGGGCGTGTCAGTATTTGAAGGTATCGCAGTATCCTATCTGGGTTTTTTTCAAAGGGAAAAAACGTGTATTTAGCGAATTGTCCGGATTCGGAAAAGGTGTTTAGTTGTTTTTGGTTGGTTTAGTGGTTGGGTTTCCGTATTTTACCCACAAGTGAAACTTTGAGCAGGGATCTGAGGACAACCCAGCTTCCTCTGCCTAGTGTATAGCGAGCTCACCGATTGGGGAGTATAACGAACTCGGTTGTCTGGGTATTGGCTGCGTTTTGGCAGGGCATGCCTTTGGCTCCTGGGTTGAAGCTGGAAGCCGAGTTATGGCTTTGACCTAAGTTTGACCTACCCTGTGAAACCTGACTGGGAGTCTGCAGGCGACTTTACTCTAAGGCTCCATGTGAGGCAAGGTAGGTTTTCAAGGCTCGTCGGGAGCCCCGCTGAAATTGCCGTTGTTTCATTTATCCACGTATACGGCTGGATGGCTGGGTCCCTTTTGCCAGCACTGCCCTCGTACTTTTTATGTGCGAACCGAATGGACAACTGCCACGCGGATTTGTGCCTCGTGCGAAGAAAGCTTCTATCAGTGGCAAAAGGGACCCTTTGACCGGCACGGCTGCCTTCCGGCAGCAGCCCGGTGGTCGAAAAAGGGGTTCCTGGAGGCAAACAGTTGGCCCAACCGTTAACATCATCCGAGTGTAGAACCCAGATAGATATCAAAGCTGAACATTCTCAGGTAGTGGTCTTCTATCTTGCGGACTTCAAGGACTGTTGTCATGTTCCCCAGAGGCTGTAATTACCCGTAATGTCTCCGATCTGTCTATCCATTCTTTTGTTTGACGGGTATGCCGCCAACCCGTAGCAGAGATATCATACCAATATGTGGTTACGTCCTTTTCAGCGGCCGTCGGTGCATTAGGGCAACCATGAACAGCAAGGATTGGGCCTTGTCTCACGCAACTTTTTGCCACATTGCCTGCTTGGCAAATCGTAGAATTCACGAATTGATCTTCGCGTCAGAGATTCGTTCAGATTTTGCGGCCAAGGCTCATCTGAGCCGGAATCAAAACCCGGTTAAGTGAAGGTTCGTAAGGGAAAGTCCCAGCCAGACATAGTTGCCGCCTTTGTGGTTCTTTACATTGGTTTGGGTACATCATTTTCTTACCAGGTTTTGATTCAGCCGCCTCTGTGGTTCTTTACATTTGTTTTCTTACCAGGTTTTGCTTGTGACGCATCTACATGACCCTTGAAAAATGGGGTCATTACCCAAAGTAATGGGGTCATTGACCCAATTTTTAAGGGTCAGAAGGAGACTCTAGGTACTGCAAACAAAGCACCCCCTCCCGCCCATTTGTCGCGCCCTTTTCTTCCAAGATCATTGAGTTGATCTAAGAGTCCGCAGAGCCTTTGATCCGCATTCCAACCTTTCAAACCCTTCCACCTATCTCTTTCGAGGCCGGGCCGTTTTTTTCTTGCATTTGAGCGTTGGATCGAGTAGCTCACATGTTCGGTGGACTGGAAAGTCGGGTTTCCGTGTGTGTTTTTTTTCTTTCTGAAAGGCCAGTGAGTCATCGCGTGTTGCCTTTAGACCCCGGGCGTTTTTTTTTTTTTTTTTTTTTTTTTTTTTCTGAAAGGCCATTGCTCGCGTGTTTCCTTTGGACCCCGGAACTTCGCCCAAAAAACAAAAAAGCCTCGGGAGACGCGAAAAAGTGGAGTGATCTTCGCCTGGCAGGAAGTCGAGCGTGCAGGACGTCTTCAACACATCGTTGTTCCGGTTTATGAAAAGCTCCTTGGTAGAAGCAGATGTTCATCCGGTCTCAGACGAACTCGCGGGAGATGGCGTTTGTGTTGGGTTCTTTAAGTCAGCTCGGTGAATAGTCCAGAATCGGGTGATACAAAGTGTGCGGAGACCACCTGGACCCCTAATGGACCCATTTGGTAAGGCAGACAAAATGGTGTTGGACTCTCAGAATTCCAACTTAATTAAAAACGGGTTATAGCCCCAGAGTCCTGGAGTTATAGCCCCAGAATCCTGGAGAAATTTGAGCGCCCAGGCAGATTTTTTGTTTTTTGCTTCGTGAAGTCGCCGGGTTCTTTGAGATCTGCGGGCCAGAGGTGAAGACACGAATCAGCAGGCAACAACTTGTACGCAGTGCTTTGCGTAGAGCTGACAACCGCTATACATGCACAAGAGAAAATATATTTACCCTTCCTCCAACAAACATGGCACATGTGGGAGGCTACTTGGAAGATTCTCCTTTTAAAGGAACACCCTGTGAGGTGCTATGTTAGTGGGAGGGTATAAGGCTAAGGCCAATCAGAATCTCTTTTTCTGCTTTGCAAGGGTCTTTGTTCTAAGCCTGAAGCAGTTGGTATAGTTGTTTTTTTTTTGCTGGGGAATGCAGTGCCCTAGTGTAACGGATGGCAGAAACAACTCGCTGAGTTTTTGGAAAGTTACTTCTTGCGGAAAGGCCTTTACCTTGAGAGACAAGTTCGCTCTTGTGGCAAACTCAGCGGTCCAAAACTCGACCTTTCGACCTTTTGGTTGACCATGTCCTGAAATCACCTTTTGGGATGATTGCCCATTTTTTGTGAAGGTGCCAAAAGGTCGCCCTTTGATTTCTGGGACCTTGAAAACTGTAATCTAGGAGTGCCGTCCTTCCGTTTCCATTCTTTCCAGGAATCCGAATCTTTCTAGAGAGTCAGAAACCCATAAAAAAAACAGCGATCAGTGTTTCAAAAGAACGACGGTTGAAAAGAACTGTTGGAATCAACACATAGATGAAAACACGAGTCACTCGCTCCTTGGGTTCCAGAACTCGGACTTTAGAGAGTCAATTTCCATGGTTGTCGTTGGGAAGCATTTTACATTTTTGCTTATTGTGGTTTAGTGGGAAATCCCCACTTAACTGCTCAAACATATTTTTTTGCTCCCCTTCCAACGTCAACCAAGTTTCTGCGTCCGGACCATCTTAGCGGCAAACAATACTTTCCTGACTTTTTCTTGCTGGTGCCCAGAAGGGAATGAGCCTGTGTGTTGGGAATGCACCGAGGGATGTCCTTGAAGGGCACCATAGGGGAGGTTGGTTTTCTGCGGGTCCTAGGTTTTCCAGTGCCCTTTCTCACCCTTTTTTGGGTTGGGAGGGTTCCCCCACTAAAAAATAGATGCAGCAAACAATGGGTACCAACTGATTCTATCCTCTCCACTGGAGGACCTACTGTGGATGGACGAAATCCTGCACCACTTTGAAACCACGGGAAACCATGGTATGTTGGTTTTTGCAGGGGAATCGAAAATCATCTTTGGTTTCTTGGGCGGTGCGAAATGGATTTCGCAACCATCCACAGTAGGAGTCATTTTTCATTTCTCTCGAACGCCACTGGATCGGAAGTTGCCAGCGTTCCGACGCCCTCTGGTCGTTGTGGGTGTGGGAACCCCCTGCCTGGAGTCTCCCTAAGGACCCTGAAAGAATGGTTGGTCATTACCCTGAATGGGGTCGTGGACCTATTTTTGATAAGGGTCAGAAGGAGACTCCAGAAGGTTGTAGTGCATGGGAAACCTGTGAACCACGACCCCAAGATGGCATTTCCTTACAGATCCCCAGGAAGAGGAAGAGTTGAAGGAGTCCCCTTGCCACCAGTGGGGTCGCCGCTGTTTGGACGACATGGTTCCTGGAGTCTCCTTCTGACCCGAAATAAAACTCGGTCCATGACCAACCATTATTTGGGGTAATGACCAACCATGTCATGTTTTAAGGGTCAGAAGGAGACACTAGGTTGCCCAATTTAGTAGCTCTTCCCGGTTTGAAGGAGACTCACCTGGGCTCAACACGAGTTCGCCCCAAAGGGGCTTGGACTTGTTCTTGGGACCTTTTTGACTTTTTCAGACTTGACATGGGTTTGTCTCAAACCAGGGAACCCCTCAAAATGGGTTTCCTTTTTGCTGCTACCTTTTTCTCGGGCCGGCAGGCAACACCCACGACCACAAGACGCCGAGCCCCACGCCGCTCGTACGGACCGAGCCCCAGTCTCCGAGAGCGGAGTGAGCTGACGGGTTCCGGTTGGGCCATGGGACGTTTCTTTCGAAAGGAACGTCCCAACCCCTCTGTAAAAGGTTTAACTTTTTGTGGATCCAACGGAAATACATCCACTTGTTCCCAAAAAGTCAAAGTTCAAACATGCAAGCAAACAGCCAAAGAGTCTCCTTCTGACCCTTCAAGAATGGTTGGTCATTGACCTCAAATAATGGGGTCATGGACCTATTTTTGATTCGGGTCATGGAGACTCCAGGTAAAAAAAGCAAAAATCCATCGGAATGTGAACGAAAAGGAGGGTCCTCAATTCCAAAGTGAACCCGCGTCTGCGATGGTCCATCCGATGTTTCTTTCGGATTCGACCAGCTCGGGCCTCGGGATTGGCGGCTTTAGACTGGAGTCAATCGCCGTGTCAAGAGCTGACTTGCCATTTCGGCGCCGGGACATGGGACTTCCACAAGAAAAACACTGGAGCTAGGAGAGATGTTGGCTTCAAGCGGTTGTCAATGAAAACTTGTTGCGCCACCCCTTTGGTTTCAATTCAACTAGACACATGGGAGTATCCTCCTATTTTTTCCGGGGGGGTGCCCGGTGGCACCGGCTTCTCCTTTGTTTGTTTGGCCACCCGCTTCTCCTTAACAGATACATTTTGCAACCATTCGAAACAGGCTTTTTCCCCCAAAATAAGGGGAAGCCACCATTTACAAGGCAATATTCAGGTGTTTTTCATGCAAGGATCCCTGAATTTTCATGGGAAGGGTGGGAAAGGCTTGCTCTTTGGCTTCGGCCGGGGATTTTTTGGGCTCTCATTGCAATTTGGGGGGATGGAGTCCTGAGTGTGGCGGAGCTAACCAAAAAAGGATGACAGTCTCCATGACCCGAAATAAAAATAGGTCCATGACCAACCATTATTTAGGGTAATGACCAACCATTTTTTAAAGATTAGAAGGAGAGACTAGGTGCTCGTTTTGTCCCAGACAGACCCAAGTTTGACATTCTGAGCCTCAATGAGGGAAGTCGCCGCCCGTCAGTTCTCGATCGAGAACTGGACAAGAATTTGGAGCTGGATGGCTGCTATGCTCACTTGCAACCAAGCAAACTTGACCGAATCTCACCCCATTTTCTTCGGGTAACTTCCGCATTCTTTAAGCAGGGATCCTTCTTTCTGCAAAACCACCAAAACCTCTGGGGAAATGGCGATCGGTTTTTGAAAAGAACGATGAGTGAAAAGAATGGACAAGGAATCAACCCCTAGACATGGTTGTTGTTTGGAAACATTTTGCATTTTTGTTTATTGTGGTTTAGTGGGAAATCCCCACTTAACTGCCAAACTTTTTGTTTTTTTGCTTCCCTTCCAACGTCAATCAAGACTGAGTTGCATCGAGTTGTTTGGAGCATCGCATCCCATCGCTGCAGCCAGCCACGAAGTCTCACCAATTCAACAGCTGCACAGAGCTCGTGCCGCACATCTCTCTTGGCGATGAGTTTGGGTGAGGGTCGCAGGGGTTTGTTTCCCTTCCGGTTTGGCGGGTAGTTGAGGGTCTAGGTAATTAGTCCCCCAAAACGTGTTTTTTTTCGTCTGGTTTCCCAATACAAAAAAGAAGAGGAGTTTCGCAAACACAGACGACGGTCATATGCTCTCCGGCCAAGAGCAAGTTATTCATTGAGGAGTAGAACCCGCGCGCTGTGGGCCACGACCCATTTACAAGGGCTGTATTTTTGCGGGTACCCGTTGGGGTGGTGGAAACAAACAGGAGAACCGAAGCCATCTTTGGGCCACCTGAGAAAAGTCACAAACACAAAGCAAGACGTGCGAAGAGTCTGCGTTTTCTTTAGATTCAATTGGGACTCCCATCCCGTGGTCTCAAGGGCAGCAAAATCGACGAAGAATGTTCTTAGTTTCTCTCGAAACCATCCCTAAGGGTAGCCTCAGGATACTTGGACTCATTAACGTGGATCTGTTTGAGCACGGGAGCCCCTCAAGTTGTGCATGCTCTTTGAAGATTTGCCATAAAACAACCCCAGAGGATTCTGATTCTGGAGGCAACTCCGTGACTCAAGCAGACCAAATTGGATCTTATGGAGACCAACAGGTGAAACCCAATGTCAATCCCACCTGCCCCTAAACGCACCCACACAGACACCGTCTATGTTAGTCTATTTGAAGTGGGTATCCGGAGGTTTTTTTCTTTTGGGGGCACGCGCCTTGACCGCTATTGGGTTGGATTTTTGTACTTTGACTTTTTGGAAATCAAGGGGTTTTCCACTAAAGCCACAAAAAGTTAAACTTTTTGCAGGGGGGGTCAACAGCAACCAAGGCGCCCTATTCAATACTGGATGCGTCCTTTTGCTAACGGATGCTTTGGCAGCCTTCCAAGAAGTCGTTTTTCCGGGTCGACTTGGCATCCTGAGGTTCTCAACAAGTCGTTTGCGGGGCGAACGAGCCCTTTCACCCATCTGAGAGTGTTGCTTGAGTGCTTTTTTGTTTTTTCTCTCCTGAGGCTTGAAATGAACCTAAGGGTTCCTGCACGAAGAGACCAAGAGTGGCTTTAGGGGTGTCAAAAGGACCTATTAGACCCCTTAGGGTTCCTGCTAAAAATCATGAGGCCAATTCATTCGACGTTCCAACTTGCGCAGCCATCACTTGCAAGCACGCGAGAACCGCTTGGTGCGGTGCAAAGGTTGCTCCTCCTTTTCTTGGTGGTTCCCAGCCATCCGGTTCCTTAGAGATTTGATCTTCTTTTTTTTTCCGGGTTTAGTGCGGTTTCCCCTTAACCCACTAAAAAGCTATATATGTGTTTGTTTGTCTTTCTTCTTTTTTTGGAAGGGATTAGAAAACGGACAGCCCAGTAAGGGGCCAGAGTGTGGGAGAGATGGAACTCCGACCAAGAGACCGCGCACGAGTTCGCACCACGCTGTACAAGCAAAGCGGGAGCAATGATTGTTCCCGGCCGACGGATGTTCCCTTAAAGCCAGCAAAGCTGAAGCCGGGTGATGTCGGCCTTAGCCATGCGAAATTCCGAGGCAAGATGGCTAGGGAGATGTTTGCTTAAGCACCACTGCGTGTTTTTTTTGTTTTTTGCCAAGCAGTTCTTTTTGATCAGCGTTTGGTCAACCATGAACATTTCGCAATGATCAGATAAGTTGTCCGCACTGGTCAAAGACGCCCATCCTATCTCGTGTGACAGCATGTTCATCATGTTACCATGCTCACTAGCTGCACTAGCTTACCAAAATCGGCAGCGGCGATGTAGTGATTGCCCCTCTCAAGACTTTGCCCATGAAGTGGCCCATGTCTACTTGAAAGGATGGCGTTCGTACCTGCGGACCCGGAGGAAGACTGCCGCCCCTCAATCTCAAGACAGTCCTCCCGGAATGGGCATTTGTACACGGTCCATGATATCTTGTACGCTATGGAGAGGCCAAGGAAGCACACGAAAATGTTCGGAAGGCATGGCTATCTCTGCCGATTGCGTAGAAAAGATCGCAGGACGTGGACGTTGAATGCTTGCCTGAATGCTGCAAAACCTGGCGCGAAGTCAACTGGTGGAAGCCGAGCGAACGTCTGGTGTCGTAAATCTGACGAATCAAGCCTGAAATGCACCATTATATAAGGGAAACCAACTAGCAGGGCAGGGATACGGGAGGATTCCCCCCCAATGCACCTTGACTAAGTTTGATATGGGAAATGGCGCCAATGGAATGCCCCCATATCCCCGCTCCCTCCGCATCCCCGCTTGTTCGTTTGTCCAACTGACCATGTATTTGTGTTGACGCAAGTACTCTAAGAGATGTAAGGGATTCCTCCCTCGCATGGTTGACGACTGTCCACACTCGTGGAAACCATGGATTTGACTTGGTGACAGATTCCGGCCAGGGGGTGGGGGGGGGGGGGTTAGGCTTGTATTCACAGAGCAACTCTCAAATCGAGAACCGACCCAATTAGCCTCCCACCAACTGACACGGGTTTGTGCAAAAAGAGCCTTTTCCGGAGGAAAGTTGTCTTTGTACAGGGGTCTGCGCACAAACCCATGTTAGCTGGTGAGAGGGTCGCCTCAACTCCACCCTAAGAGCTAAGAATCAAGGGAAGAACTCTTTACACACTGATAGAGGGCACTCGACTGGCTACAAGGGGATGCGTAAAACGTTGGTAAACTGCAGCACAGTATGTGTATATATGCATATATGTTTATGTATTTATTATTATAGGCGTAACATGCTGTGTTTGTGTCCCGCGTTCTTTTGCTGGAAGGAAGCTTAGAACATCCGGTCAAAGAATTTCTGGCCCTGAATTAGCGGCTTGGGATTCGTTCGGGAAGTTGAAACGCGGCTTCTCCATAGCCTCCACCTGGAGTCTTCATGACACGTTCATCAAAAATAGGTCCATGACCAACCATTCTTTGAGGTAATGTCCAACCATTTTTGATTCGGGTCAGAAGGAGACTCTAGGCAAATCAATCCAAACCGCCAAGGGGTCTTTGTGATTCCCCGTGGGCCACTTTGGGAAGGTGAGCAACCCAGTTGAGATTCAGGCTTGACTTGTGAAGGGTACCTTTTCGGGGGTTGGGTTTAATTAAAGGGGAAACCAACAGGAAACCACCCCTTTTGTTCGGAAGTATCCTTTGACACAACCGAAGTGGGATTCATTTGCTGAACACTGCACAGTCCACTGATCTTGACCTGGATAGGTCTTTGGTCCAGCCGCAAATCCAACTAGAAGAGACTTCGGCCCATGTTTCTAAAGATGTGCACCATTTAGCATTGCAAAGGATGTAGGGAAGCCAACAAATATGGATGTGTGTCTTTTTTAGAGGACCCGCAAGACACACCCACATCTTGGCGTTGTTTCTCTTGGCTCTGCTCTAGAACCACACCAAACAACCGGCCCACTTCAAGGACCCGCCTTCCTTTTATCGTCCCGCCAGGAACCGAACCCATCGGTTCTTAAGTTCTTTCCGGTTGCTTCAGACTCGTACTCTCCCCTTCTGGGCCCCGTCTGGCCCCGTCTGGCCCCGTCTGGCCCAGCCCTGATAGGCACTGAGCGCTTTCAAGAACCTGAATTGCATCTGGG